GACTTGCGGATTTTGTGGGCAAATGTGGCATCTAATTGTGAGGTGTAACGTAACCGGCAGAAACGGTTTCGTGTCGGTTCCTGGCAGTTACAGTCCTGAAATGAATTAACTTTGGAGGCACCTGGGAGGTCTTCGTGGTTCAAGTGCACGTTACAGATCCCCCCGGCACTGTTTGAAAAGAGAAGGGAATTTTGTTTGGTGTCCCGGCCAACAAATTTCCCCACATAAAATCGGTCATTCGCTTCATGGCTGTTTACGGGACATTGCGGTGCACAAACGTGCGTACAAAATACAGTCAATTCCACTTTGCGGTATGTCCTATGAAGGGCTTCGGGACATTGGCTGCAGCAAAAGACACCGTATCAAATGTAAGGATTATTATTATTACTATTCCTCCTTTGAAGAACTTCACATTTAAGTAATAATTTGGTGCGGTTTATGTTGATGCAATAAATGTGGCATCTATTTCTGAATGAAGATCCCAATTCTTTCAGAGTTGTCCGTCTTCTCCTGGAGTGTTTGTGTTTTCTTTGGTTCTTAATATGCTTCTTTAAAGTATGTTTTTATGAACTAGGCCTCTGTTACTGTTTTGAAATGTTGTTACAAAAAGAATCTTTATTTTGAACAGATCAAGGAACAAAACGTTGCCATCAATGAACTGTCCAACTTAAAGGAAACTCGAGTAAGTTAAGACGTCATTCTGAGGCTTCTGTTTGTAGACAGTGAATTTTGATGTAATCTTTTAAATTACAGTATTAGAAAAATAAGGTTTTCTTTTAAATAGAACATACCTATTATTAAATATAAAAAAATATGTGCATACATAAGATACAATGGGTAATTATAATCACATTTGTATGGTTGAACAGGCACAAATAAAATTGAAAAGCGCTTTGGGACGTCCTCCCGACGTGAAAAGCGCTATATCAAATGCAAGGATTATTATTATTATTATTATTAAAAGGTACATTTGAGTGTCCTTACATTGTGACGACACTGCAATCCAATTTTTAAATCTGTATGTGCATGTTTGAAAGCAAAATGTGGATATGCACCCAAAACTGCAATGACCCCGTGTGTATATGTACAGTTTGTGTATTTTGGTGGAATGTACACCCATGAGATAAGAATCCATTACAGTAATATCAAATGTGTCAGATTTGCGAAGTTTGAATTGATTGTCACAGAGTTAAATTACCCCAAAATAATTGCCTAAACTATGATTGTTTTCTTACTGCGGAGTGTTTAACTTCTATTCATAGTCTCTTTCTTCTTGCTCAACTTTGATTAACTAAGATTCTTCATTGCAGAAAACTGCAATTGCAACAGATGATTAACCGATTAAAATTCTGCTCCTGTACTTTTAGAGAACTCGTGTATTTCTTCCACCGCCTTTTTGTGATTTGAGTGTGAATTGACATTACCTGTGGTTATTCTGTTTCAGAGAGTTTATAAGCAGCAACCCAACAGCAACATATTCTTCTTGACAGATAAGACAACAGCTCTGACTGAATGTAAACGTAAGTTGATTCCTTAAGGCTTATTTGAAAATGGGAGAGTAGGATGAGTGTTTCGGGGGTAGAGCTGAAGAGAGAGAGAGAGAGAGAGAAATACGTGCACAGCGGAAACTACCTTTTGTCGATTCATGTAAAAGTTGGGAGAGTGATGAGACATACACTTGTTTTAATGATATGTAGCTAAATAAAAAAAGATCATTTGTTAGGATTTTTTTCTTTGTCACTTTTATCTTACTCTTGCCCATCACTTTTGAGATCAGGGTGAAAGTGTCTGTCGGAGTCAAATATCTTGCTTTTTCTTCCTGTCACCTCCTCTCGCCTCTTACATGTCCTGCCCCCAAAAGATAATGATCCCTCACACCTGTGGGCAAAAGATGAAATAGATGCCAATCTTGCAGCAAATTTTCTGATCTATTTTTAGAATCACAAAAATAGGTTTTAAACATTTAATTAGTTTGGTCATTTTGCATTAAATGTTGTGAAAATGGCCATTTAACTTTGAAGTCCTCATTTTGAAAGATTACCTTGAAGACAGCTGGGTCCTGTGCAATATTGTCACGGAGGTTATGTAAATTCACAGGTGCATTTGATGAGTTGAAGAAAGAACACCAAGATTTGGAAAACCCTGATAAAATGATGAAGTAACAAAGCAGACTCTTGATATTTCGTTATTCCTTGAAGACCGTTCGGTAAATTGAAGCAAAAGCACAAAATGTGCGGAATTTGTTGTGTATTAATTTTCACTCCACAAAAAGATGCCGCCGATCTTTTGGAAAAGGGAGTGCTACAAAACCTTCAAAGAAGAGGTCCAGACCACAGCCAACAACTATCCACAAGATTGTCCGATTTGAACTACAACTGTTTTTTCTCTAGTCATGTGCTGCATTTGAGAGGTACTTTCAGCCCTCAGCCCATGCAAGATGCGCAAGGAAACCTTTTCCTTTGGAATGGAGAAGTCTTTGGTGGAATAGAGGTCGGAACTGAAGACAATGATACGCAGATTATTTTCCAGCATTTAACGTCAGCTAAGAGCGAAGACATTATTCTCTCCGTTTTGTCATCCATTCGCGGACCATGGGCTTTTATGTATTACCAACCATCCAGTCATTGTTTGTGGTTCGGTCGAGACTTTTTTGGTCGCCGTAGTTTGCTGTGGCGGTTTAAGAATGATGATAAAATATGCCTTACTCTTACATCAGTGGGTACATTAGTCCCAGGAAATGGAGACGAGTCTTGGCAGGAAGTGCCAGCAGGTGGAGTTTACAAAATCGACCTCCAAAAGCAGTCCAATGGTGACTCCTTATCAATAATGTGGTATCCATGGAAACATCCATTAACTGAACATGAAGCCAGAAATGAAGAAGCTCAGTTTACTGACCAACTACCAAGTTTTGTTTCTGTTTGTTTGAACGAATCAAAACTTTTCCTGAGAGCGCCAGTCACTCCCATGAATGATAGTATTCCAGAATTTTGCATCAATACTGAAGATAGTGAAACACCTTCAATAAATGTTGAACTTTTTCTTGCAGATGAACATAAAAAGAGATTAGTCCATCAGTTTACCAATGTCTTGAGTGAGTCTGTTAGACAGCGTGTGTTATGTTTGCCAAGACACCAGGATCTCTCTGGCTTCGAAGTTCATGCCACTGTTTCTGACCCAGCAAAAGTTGCTATTCTCTTTTCTGGTGGTGTTGATTCTATGGTTCTTTCAGCCCTCGCTGACCACCACATTCCTCCAGGTGAACCTATCGATCTGTTGAATGTAGCCTTTAAGCAACAAGAACCGAAAAGACAGAAAATCTCAACAAAGAAACAAAAAAAAGAGAAAGGCGTTTCCACCGCTGCCCATCAGGTGTCTCTAAACTGTGACTCCAGCAATGCTGAAGAGAAGGCCTCTTTTAATGTACCTGATAGGATCACTGGTCTGTCAGGTTTAAAAGAGTTGCAAGCCATAAACCCGTCTAGAATGTGGAATTTTGTAGAAATCAACATCGATTTAGAGGAGCTGAAGGAAATGAGACGGCAGCGGATTTGCCACCTGGTGCAACCATTGGACACAGTGTTGGACGACAGCATTGGTTGTGCAGTGTGGTTTGCTGCCAGAGGTGTTGGCACCATTTTGTGCAATGGAGAAACCCAACCATTCACCAGTACTGCAAAGGTGAGGTAATAATCTGTTGAAAGTTATAATTGCATCCATAATTTCAAATGTAAAACTCACGTGCAAAGTCAGTTGACGGAATCCTTTGTGAAACAGTCACATTTAATTGTTGCATTTGGTGCTGTTTCCTGCTACGATTTTAAAGTAATGGCAAGTTAAATTTAAGAAAGGTTCAATGGTAAGCATGCACACGCCTTTAATATTCTCACATACTGTACTTCCTTTGTGTATTTCAATTTCTAAGTTGTTTCTCAGTATTCACCTCACATCAATGCAGATTCGCAAGAATGCTGAAATTACTTACTGGTGCGCATTGGTTTAAAATGCTACGTTATTAGACTATTTTATATTCCAGGACTTTATTGCGCAAATTCATCAGTATATAAGGTTTGTGTTTGATTAGCACACAGAATGTTAGATGGAAAGTGTCTACTTAACGATCCAAACTGATTCTCTTTCCATCTGGTTCAACAGTGGATCTTTTTTATTAAAATGATGTTTCAGATTCTTGGCATGAACATGATCAGCACATTTGAATGTGTATTTTGGGTTTCAGGTGGTGTTGACTGGTATAGGAGCCGATGAGCAACTTGCAGGTTATTCCCGCCATAGAGTTTGTTACAAGGTGTCGGGGTTTGAGGGTCTGATCAAAGAACTGGGGATGGAATTAGGTCGTATCTCCTCGCGTAATCTGGGAAGGGATGATCGAGTTATCGGAGACCATGGGAAAGAAGCCAGGCAAGTCTTTGGCAGCTTCTGCAAGTCTGTTTAGAAGCTCAAACCTATTACAATTCACATTATTTCAATTATTCCGATAATGTCACTCTGCAATCTGAGAGAAACTAGAGAGACCCAATAGGAGGCAGAGTGGTCTTGAACTCAACATATTCACCGAATGGATTTGAGAATCAATTCAACCATGAGAGATTAATTTAAAGATTCCCATGACAGCTGTTGAGTCTGAAATAAAATTTGCAGGTAATCTCAATCTGTTTTATGCTGAATATCAATTTACATCATCAAATATCCAAATCATTCTGTACAAAATCTTACTTAGAAAGTTATAAGAAGAGTTTGGGAAGTGGATACATAACAGAAGTGAAATTTTTTTGTCTAGGTTTGTCACTCAGGGTAATGAGTTGATTGCTCTTAATAAGGTCTCTGATATATTTATGTGAAATATCATCTAACATACTATGTCTCTTACAATGGGAAGGATTATTGGTAATGTGACAGCAGGAAACTGTTGTAGTAGGTTGTAAAATTCCATAACATTTTCTGGATGCAGACAGAATACTAGATATTTTTATTGGAATAAATGGAATAGAGTGGCAATCCCAACACGTTTTTCCATTTTGGACTTGGCAAAGGATTTGACAAAAAGCTATATGTCCACTTTTAAGTTTCACCTGGCGCTTTGCATTTCTAGGAATACACTTCACACAAATTCTCACTATTTCAATCTTCAAGTGTCATCGACCGTGCATAATGCTTAGTGAGTTTAGTTTTAACATTTCTGTCTCATTTCAGGTTTCCCTTTTTGGACGAAGCAGTTGTTTCTTTTCTAAATGCACTTCCTGTGTGGGAAAAGGCAGACTTGACTCTGCCCCGGGGGACTGGTGAGAAACTGCTTCTGCGATTGGTCGCAAAAGAACTGGGTCTCACTGCCTCTGCTTTTCTCCCAAAGAGAGCGATGCAGTTTGGGTCTCGAATTGCAAAAATGGAAAACCACAATGAGAAAGCCTCTGATAAGTGCGATAGGCTACTTCAGCGCTTGGTGGATTAGTCCATTTGTATAAATTTAGCTTCTTCACATCAATTTAAGGAAAGATAGAAACTATACTATCCAGTGAATCTACCTTTGGCACAATTTCAGGTACAAATACTGTACATACTCTGTACAATAATGTATAAACCGTACATTATTTTCTTTAACTGTACAATTAAATAAGACTGTTCTGTGGGTAAGGGAAATCTAGGAGAAAGCCATAACAGAATTTTATTGTGGAGTATTCAAATGTATATTTTCATATAAAAAAATGTAATTGAAAAGATTTGTTTTTCTGTTCAAAGCAACCCAACCGACTCTAAATTTCACTGAAATGACAGTTCCTGAAAGAAATAACTTTGAAAGCTTTTTGATCACTCATATTCAAAACCAATTACATGGAAATTCTTGGCTTTTTAATGCATTTATATCAGGCACATCCATGTGTTGAATCTTAACAATCTTTCAATAAGGAATGCTGGTTTTATTATTCTTTTTAAACTGATACAGTACAATTTATTTAATTTTTCTGAATGATTCCTCTAGTGATTTCCATAGAATTTTTCATATTTGGATCATTGATACTCCTAATCATAAGGTATTATCCATCATAGAAACCACGTCTAACTCCAAAGAACAGAATTCTGCCATGAGTACGATCTGTGATGGGGATTTCAGGTACAAGTCCATGTGCAAACTTAATGCTGGCAATGTCTGTCGACGATGGAAGATGCTTTTTGGTACTTTATAACCGCTTATAAAGCAACTTGAAAGCTTAAGCTTTTATACCTCAAGGTAGCAATTGTTCGTAATAACACCACTACCAATCTTACAAGTGCACAGGAGCAATTGTATGTAAATGACATGAGCAATCTACAGCTGTACATTCCTGCTCTCATTTCACAGATTCTGTGAACTTCCTGCTTCTACATTCATTGCATGGTAACAGAACTAAATTAATTTTAAAAATAGCAATTCAAATATATCTTTATAAAAGTATTCAGCATAAAATCACAGGGTAATTCCAGGGCTCCAGAGGGGCTTCAGGTTATAATTGCCATATTCAGTTCCTCTCATCAGCGAAAGTGCAAAGTAGTTTAGTTCTACATTATTTTTTCTGTGCACAGGAACAGTTTAAAAGCACTGAATGGAATGTTGCTGCTTGTATTAAGCAGTTGTATCTTGACGCTTCTGAAAATATTTGTTACAGTCAATGTATGATGGAAGATTTCCGACATCAAAGCGCCCAGATATATGTTGAGCAAAGACTGGCTTTCTGCAATGTAGGAAGAAAAATGGATGCAATGTAAATGTTAAATGAACTGTGAAATGATCACTGCAAAGCAACAACTTACCTCGTGTGGACCCAGGATAAGAAGTTTCCAGGTGCATCCTTCTCTTCCAAGGGTGTATTCTGTTGAATGTTAAAATATAATGGGTCTGAAGATAGGTTGTTGCATTGTGGAAATTTGCAATATTGTACACCTGGTCAATATTGTACACCAGGCCTGATGAAAAGCAACAATGTAGACATTTGGTTTCGCATCAACTTTAAATACTGGTCAAATACTAAACAGCTATTCATTTATACTGTTTTTAAATGTTTCCCACTTTTTATAGTCTCTTCATCAAATCCCATGTTGGAGACAGCAGCACAAGTTTCCAATTTACCACTAAGTAAAATAGTTCAGTGGCTATTCAGAATCGATTGTTGAATCATAGTCTTGATACTTTCCAACCATCTGGGAAGCTAGTTATTGATTTAAAAATCAGGTTTTAGCTACTTTTCAACTACCAGCAATTCCTTACCTGTTTTTCTTGAAGAAATTTTGCAATCAATGGAATTGTGTTTTTTGAGTACACATAAAAACAAGGACACTGGAAAAGAAATAGATATTCTATTTACTAATTTAAATACTAACATATTTGCATTTAATACAGTAAAATCTTAACCAAAAATTCAATATTATAACCAGTTACTTGAATATCATTTCATACAAACTGGTGTGTGTGCCTGAGTGTTTCTTTTTGTACAACATGTGGTCGAGGAACGTGTCAATTTACAATTTATGAAAATATTAAACACTCACTGCTCTGCGAGATGTTGTTTGGGTGGAGCTGGGTTTTTCTTTAAATGCAGTGACTTTGAAGTTTTCGTCGACTTCTAAAATCCCAAACTTTGTAGTTTCTGTTGAGTGTAGAAATAGTGTTAGATTTGTTTCCCTATAAGTCAGTTTCAAAAAGAGTGGGGCACTTTAATGATACATTTAGAATGGGAGAAAAAATGGGTAAATTGAACTCAATGGATTGTACTTTCAAAGAGCCAGAACACATATTAGGCCAAATGGCCTTCTGCGCTGCAAATTTCTGTAGTTCTATTTTGAACCAACCTTCATCTTTGCACAAGTAAGACAGAACTAGATTGCTGTCACAATTAGTCTTCTGTAGCTCAACAAATTTTGTGATGACATCTGAGAGGCTGAAATCATCATAGAATAGTGTGTCACTGAGGAAGGTACAATAACACAGAATTGGTTATCAGAAATAGTTATTAAAATATTATTTGTTACAACTTAGAGCACGCAATAAAATAACATGAAATAGTCATGTTCAATTTTCAGTTTTTAATTTTCACTTTTATTCAGAGAGGTACATTTAACAACTAAAAAGAAACCAGATTTTAAGCAAAACTTTCAAGTGATTATTTTACACATTTTATTTTGGGAGTGGTAAAGTCAACCAAAATGTGCTGCCAAATTTTAGAAAAGAAAACTTTGAAACTTGAAGGAATGATTTGGAGAGAAGCAAAATTGGAAAATAAATAAAAACCTTTTTAAACAACAACTTGAATTTATACAGCCTCCTTCGTGCAGGTTATCATCTCAGAGCGCAAATGAGTGGCAGAGCTGGACAACAATTTAAACTGACAGTGAAAGTTTGTGGATCTATTCCTTAGAAAAGGAGTAATATAGAGGAACAAATATCTCAGTGGCTAAAAGAGTTTAAAAAATTAAAGATACAAATCAAATCTCAAAAAGAATCTTAACTGAATGTGTAATAGAAAAAGTAAGATAACAGAAAGGTAAATTATAAACAGCAGCAAGAAAAATTAAAAAAAAATTCAGCTAATGCATATAGTATACAGGGGACTCAAGAACAGATAAGTTGGATAGAAATTCAGTATACTCTTTCTTTAATTCTGTATTCTCCCTTAAATCTATTTCCATTTATTACAATGGACCTCTGTGTCTAGCAACCAGTGAGATGCAAGGATGTTCCTCAAAACTACCAAACAGTTCTAAACCATTTCTATCTCATTGTTTCATGAATTTTCAAATTACTGCAACAAACTATTGCCACATACAAAAACCTAATGAATTTGCCCAGTTTTAAAATCGACAAATGCCTAAGTCCCAACTGCATGTGGCTGTACAAGTGCTTCTACCACCTAGTTCTATGTTAATTGCTTACCCGCCAATAACCAATATGTGATCATTGATGTTAAATTTATCAATTGCAAGTTGCAGACAAGCTATGGCACCCAACCGTTCCTGTAAGGCGAGGGGAAAAAAATTACAGTTAAAATCCTTAGTTCAGAATAAAATTTTACTAGGTACAGTTTAAATAATTCAAATTTGTAGGTGCACAATGTAAACGGTTTCATTCATAAGTTTTAAATTTAGAACAGTTAAGCAAAATTTTGAACTAATAAAAACTTCTTTCTCTTTCCCCTTTAGCCTTTCTGTACAGTAGTTTTGGTTGATGTTTGAAACAAACAGGCTTATAATACTTTTATCCAGAAGTTATCCCACACATAATGTTATGAAACAGCATCTTTGTTAAAATAAATAATCTTAGTTGTATCTCTTCCCTATTGGAAGCTGAACAACACCTTCACTAATAGTGTGTCCTTTCTTAAAGTTTGATTTATCCATTGTGTTTATTGCGAGTTCGGTACTCACCTCATTCCTTCTTGTTCCATCATTCAAAACTTGAACCAGTTTAAATTCTTTTGCCCAATCCTGAAACCTCTCATAGTAGAGATCGTTTGTCTGAAAGAAATAATAATCCTCACTACTGCTTCGGAACTCATAGAGATGAAATCTTTTTGCTCAAGTAGAAGTTGCGCCTTGCACAGAGAAGTACGAAAGCCATGCTATTTAGTTCTACAATAACATTTTTTTCTTTTAGTGGGGGATGAAAAAAATATTTGCTACCCTTTGTTAAACGTTATGCTCAGGGCCTCACCGCAAATATCCCATTACTCCTACAGACCAAATAGCAGTAATAATAATCCTTGCATTTTGATATAGCGCCTTATCACCTCTTCCAGGACGTCTCAAAGCGCTTCACAGAGTACACTGTAAAGTGAATTGACTGTAGATTTTGTCGGGCAATCGCCCACAAAACAGCGGTGGATTGATTGTAATATTAACGTTAACGTTACTAACAAAACCAGCAGAAAGAGCTCCGTGACTCGGACCGCCGAGCGCTTATTTTCGTTCGCCAGCACAAGTGTTTGGGGACTGAATCAGCATTTAACGTTAACAACAACAACAACAAACAAACAAACAAGCAAACAAACAGCAATCCTTTGCGCGATTCGGTGTCGAGCGAGAGTTTTCCCGAAGGGACGCAAGTCGAAGCGTGAACGTGTTATTCGTTTTCCTACAACAACGTAAACCGCGTCAATAGCGCCGCCGTCCTCCTCGACGGCCGCCATCCAGTGACTGATGAGCGGCCGGGGCCCAACCGGTAGAAGCGGCTTGGGGGTGCCCAGGAGGGGCCGCAGCTCCACCGTGGTCTGACTCTGGAGGTCACGGTTCAGCCTCGTGCCATAACCAGCTGCCAGTATGATAGCCTTCATGACACCCAACGCCGCTCTGGTCCTGGGCTCTGCTGGAGAACACACTCCCGGTCAACCGCTGCTCTGCACACACGGAAACCACGTTACACACTCGGTCAATACAGACTGATGTCACTCTCCTCCCTCCCCCACTCCCCCACTCCCCCCTCCCCTCCCCCCGGGCTGTCGCTGTCACTCAACTTCAACGCTCTGCTCCTCGCTGACCCCGGAACCGGAACTTCTCCCTCGACCTCTCCCGCCCTCCCGCCGCCCAGAGCCACGTGGTCGATTGGCGTCGTCAGGGCAACCGCGTCCCGGAAGCGAGAAGAGCTTCACCTTCACAGCACAACAGAGCGCAGGTTTTACCCCCTCACACACACACACACAGGCTTCACCCCCTCACACACACACTCACACACACACACACAGGCTTCACCCCCTCACACACACACTCACACACACACACACAGGGCTTCACCCCCTCACACACACACACACACAGGGCTTCACCCCCTCACACACACACACAGGGCTTCACCCCCCCCCCCCCCCCCCACACACACACAGGGCTTCACCCCCCCACACACACACACAGCCTTCACCCCCCCCCCCCCCCACACACACAGGCTCTCACCCACACACACACACACACACACAGGCTTCACCCCCCACACACACACACAGCCTTCACCCCCCCCCCCCCCCACACACACAGGGCTTCACCCCCCCACACACACACACACACAGGCTTCACCCCCTCACACACACACACACACAGCCTTCACCCTCACACACACACAACCCTCACACACACAGCCTTCACCCTCACACACACACACCCTCACACACACAGCCTTCACCCTCACACACACAACTCTCTCACACACACAGCCTTCACCCTCACACACACACAACCCTCACACACAGCATTCACTTTCACAGCACCGGTTCCAACATATCAGAGCACAACACAGCCTCCATCTTCACTCCACAAGATAGAGCAACACAACACTGCGCAACACCGACTCCAACACAACAAAGGCTCTGACACTACAAAACACAGGTTCAACACATCACTTGCTCCAACAACTTAAGACCTGCACCTGTACATCACTCCAGGTCCAGCACACAAGCGAGAACAGCCTCCAAGTGCAATACAAGATCGACTCCAGTACAACACAACACAGACTCCAGCAACGTTACTACACCGGCTCCAATAACTCAGCAGTGGATCCAGTAACAGGAACTCATTCGAGCCACTTTCATGTGAAACATACTGTCGTGTGGATACGTACTGTCATATTGACAATGTGGAAACATTAACCTGTCCTTTTGGCAAACCTTATTAGAGGTATATAAGTGTTTAAATGGTATTCAGAAAGTAACTCGGAACAGTTCTTTCCAGATGCTACCAGACAGCAGAACAAGAGGACACATGTTTAGAGCTGCAAAGAGCCATTTCAGAACAGACACCAGGAAGTATTTTTTTTAACCAAGAGGTTAATTAAGGATTGGAATAGATTGCTAGGCAGGGTGATTGAGGTCAGGATGCTGGACTCATTTTTTAAAAAGTTGATCGCGTGATGGGAGGACGTTAGGTAGGATATTCGGGAAAATTTAGATCAAAGGGGATCATGGCCTTCTTCACCTGTACCTATTATGATCTTGTGATACTTTGCTTGCTTGCCAATTTTTCACAACTAATGTTCTGAAGAGAGGTGTTGAGGAAGATTACGCGGTCAACAGTGTTGAAGGCATCAGAGGATAAAGGGCAAGGAGGATGAAGTGGGGCAGTGACCTACGGTTGGAATGATAAAGGCTGATATTGATAACTTTGATCTGGTTAATCACATTTCTGTGGGTTGGTTGGAGCTGGACTGGAGGGACTTGAACAAGGAATGGTCAGAGAGGTGGGCACATGGTTGGGTGGCAACAATGAAAGATCCTTGCAAGGAAGAACATGTCACAGATAAGGCAGAAATTTGTGAAAATTGAAAAGGTTGGCTTTTTAAGGGTTAGTACCTTCAGGAGAGTAGGAAACTGTTCTGACATCAATGTTACAGATGCAGATTGAAAGGCCATTGTAATATCGATAGCTTTTTATGTAATATCATCTTAAAAACAGTCAATTAGAACATAATTGGTTGATGAAGTGTACACGCCTCACTGTAAACAAAGATTAAACCAACTATTAAAAATAATGTCCCTGTACTGAAATTGTACTGATATTTTGTAGGTTAAACTGGGAGAATGGCAAGGTCTTCCTCTCAACATGCCTCTAGTAAAAGTGTACATAGTAATGAAGAAATTGAAGAAGTTGACGAGTCTTACTTGGCTGCCCTTGCAGTAGAAAGGAATACAAAAGCCTTTTTTGACAAATATGATAGAAATGAACTTCAGGAATTGGTCGCCGCAACCTACTGCAGCTGGCTACAAACCAGTGAAGAGATTCGCCTTCCAGTAGAGTTCCCCAATGGACTCATAAACCAAATGAATGACTTCAGCCATTCGAATATTGTTATTCTAGCACCAGTAGAGCCAAACGCTCCTTTGGACTATAAAGAAGTCCATCAAATTCTGAAGGAATTGGTGATTGGAATTTTTAGCCTGAACCAAATCCCATCTATTCATTTCCAAGCCAACTATGATTGCAGTACCACGTGTCTTCTGCCACCAGCTTATTATGACAGTCGAGTTGGGCAGCTTTTGATAAACGTAGATTACACAATGAAAACACTTTGGCATGGAGTCTGTGTTCCGAAGGAAAAAAGGAAGAGATATGCAGAATGGTGGCGAGCCAATGTGGACTTAGAAAATAATGGAATTCCTCAAGCAAGGAAGTACACAGTTACTGATTTTCTTGCAGCAGGTACAGTAATGTGAAACACAGACTTGGTCAATCATATTTGGATTTAAGTTCAGGAATATTATTTAACCTGCAAACAGTGATTTCAATGCCCAGAACCCAAAGGTGCTATCATTCTGCACTTAAAGAATTTGAAAAATGTATTAAAATTCATTGCTATTTTAATTTAACACTTATATAGAGAAATATTGCTTTAGATACAGCTGACAGATTGTAAAATGTTTAGTAGAATCAAATATTATTTTTTTAATCATTATTTTAAAATAATTAAAATCATTATTTTAAAATATATGATAAATATGATTAAATGTATGGATGAATATGAATAATGAAAGATATAATTTAGGCTAAATAAAGAAATCTGGCACATTTAATATTGTAAATAATGCGTAAATATTGTGGAGTTCTGTAGCTCAGTGGTTAGAGCACTCGCTTTGCAAGTGAGAGACCTGAGTTCAATTCCAGGCAGAGGGCGAAACCTTGGGCAAGTTTCCTTACTCCACACAGAGCCTAATAATAATAATCCCTCCAAAACCAAAAACAATAATAAATTGGTCATTTTCAATCTACGACTGTTTGTGGGACATTGCTGTGCGCAATTGGCTGCCGCGTTCGCACACAAATATACAGTCAATTCACTTTACAGTGTGTTCTGTGAAGTGCTTTGGGACGTCCTCCCGACGTGAAAAGCGCTATATCAAATGCAAGGATTATTATTATTATTATTAATTATATTTTTGATGTTCCAAATAAGTCTGACTTCCTCCAATTCTTTTAAAATATATTAAAATATATTTAATTGTAACTTAGGTCTTACAGATGTTTCAACAGACCCAGATTTTGAAGGAATATATAGTGATGATGTAAACACTGACCCAACATATGAGCCCAACAGCTGTCTGGAGAAGCAACTATTTATGGAGTATGCAGACAGTTTTTTGTTACAAATAATTTTGCACAATACCTATGTCAAACAGCATGAGAATATTTTTGTCTATGAAACAGCCTACACCCTCAATAATGCGATACAGCTTACAGACGACAAATTTGATCCAGTAATCTACCAGAAACTTCAACAGAGACTGGGACTCCAACAGAAAGTGGTTTTGAATTATCTTGAGAGGAAAGAAGAGATCCAACAAAACATGGCCTACCTCAAACTGATTGCCTTCCTTGTGCCACTTCTTCTCGGACTAAAGAAGAAGAGAAAGGTCCCAGAACTGAGCAGGTTCCTACCTGCATTTTCAGGTAAAATGTGCTATTTATAATACAGTACCTTGTTTGATAAATTTTAGTAATTAGTCTGACACTAAAAATAGAGGATAAGAAAGCCTCGTTTTTAAAAATCAATCCAAATTATCTTTCTAACGTACATTTTTGTTCCAAGGGATAATTTTCTTCTGAGGTTACGTTTTTATTATTATTATTATTATTACTCTCTTCTGTACTATGCACCTGCTGCAGCCAAGAGGGTGGAGTATGCACTAGTCCCCAGGGCAACCCCACTGCTTACAAGTCACCGGGAAGTATACGGTATTGTGTAGTGACGACCTGTCCAGTTTTTCTTCTCCCTCTTGTCTCAGTCCGCTCCCTCCACTTGGCGGACACCGGCCTGCTTCGGCTCCCCTGCACTTCCCTCCCCACCAAAGGTGGTCGGGCATTCAGCATACCTGCCCCCACACGCTGGAACTCTATCCCTCAAACCTTCTGCCTCACCTCCTCTCTTGCCTCCTTCAAGTTCCTTCTGAGGAGCCTTTTTAAAAAGACTTACAACAGAAATCAGCAGAGAAAAACAAAAGAAATCTAATTTCTTTGTAAATTGCAATTACATTGATTGTGAGATTCCTTTCAGATCCTGGTATGAACACTCTACCATAGTATTCATACCATTACCAGGCTGAATATAGGGAATGTTAATCTTAAATTTCCTTCAGATATAAATAATTGATGATATGGTCGGTTGCATAAGACTTGTGGAGAGAGTAGATTTGCCAGAAATAAAAGTAGAGCAGAAAGTCTGAATACATCACCAATAAATTGATGTCATGCCATCAAAATTCATAAATAATGCTCTGTATATGAATTAGGTACCAACAAGGGCAATCAATTTATTTAATAATCTATCTGCAGAGTTTTTACTGTGATGTTAATGCAGAAAACACAAGCTGATGAAATAAAGCACTTGTTGGTAAGGACACAGAAAAACTCCAGAAGAACTTTGTTTCATGGGTTGTACCCATTAAATCAAAAAAACAGTTATTTTAACTAATGCACAGCACTGAATTTGCTAAATTATGAACAGAGACAGACCTCTTGGTGTATGATGAATCATATAATGAAAGGGCATTTGGAATTTCATGAATAGTTAAGATAATATAGATATGCAATTATTTTACTTAAAATGACTAATGATGCTTCAATATGTGCAAAATATAATTTTAGAACATCTGTGAGACTCTGCATTTGTACGCACAGTATTACCTCTTAATAAACTGTAGAGAGTAGGATCCATACTGTCATTACATAATATAATTGAAATGCTCTCTACCCCCTAATTCTCAACAGATGAAAAGCTAAAGACTGATCGCATCTTACCACCTTTTCTCCTTGGTGAGAGCTTCCGTTGTCAGCATTTTACATACCCACCAAACCAATATTTTCATCTGCATGGTGGGATTGAATTTGATTTAGGAACTCCTCCAATCACATATTTTTCTAGAGAAATGAAGGTACTTCTCCAGTAATTGATGACTTTTTCTTATTATATTTTGATATTGACAAAACTGAGGCTATCCTGCTTGGCTCCCATCATTGCCTAAGGTGAGGAGGCACTGATAGGTGCTGATCGGAATAGCCTTAGTTCACTCTACGATAGGTGCTATGTTGTTGGTGATCTGCTATGTCCCTTTTCATGCTCTCTCTTGGCTTCCCTAATCTCTTTTATTACCTGTTCGTCTATAATGTTTTACTTAACTCAGCAGTGTTACAACCCTGTATTTTCTAATAATCTTTGTAAATCTCCCTTTTTTCTCTTTAATTTAGTTTCACTGTTGATCTATTTTGGAACATTTTTTGTACTTATCTGACTTCAGCTACAGCATCAGTTAAACTCAGTGTCCTTAGGATAAGGAGATTGAAGCACCATTGATCCTCCATCTAAACAATAAAATGACACTCACTGCCTGAGTTTACACATAAACTTGCCACTTGGTTGAAGCACAGGTGAACAGCTAGCATCTCTGCTGCTGTGTACTTTACGAGCTAGTAACAGAAGGTAGGGAAGGAGAAGAAAATGCACGCGCATTTTTTTAATGCAAGTTAATGAGGTAACACAAGACATCCACAAAAACACACAGTCACTCCACTACAGTATATCCCGTGAAGCGCTTTGGGACACCCTCCCAACATGAAAGGCGCTATAACAAATGTAAGGATTATTATTATAATATTCCTTTGTTTTCTTGATATTTATAAAACTGTAAGTAATAATAAATGCTATAAAACTATTGTGTTTTGATGCAGGATTCCGCTACAGATATCCAAACTGAAGCAGCAAGCTATCTGAATCAACTGCTACACTCTGATGTATTATACAGGGGGCAATTTCCCATTCCTATTATGGAGTTTAGTGGAAAAAGGTAACAGTCTGGTAAAAGGGATAATTCAGCTGCAGTATAAATACTTTACATAATAACTGCAGCATTTATTCACTGTATTTGGTGTTGCTTCGTTATCCCAAATGTTTAAAATACATAATTTAGAGAAAGTTGCTGCACTAATTGTGACTTCTGGGTTGTAACTGAAACAATTTAATTTGCCACCAAAATCAGTACAACAACTGATGAAACATCTCAGCACACAAGGCCAGCAAAGGCTGCTTTTGCTTTCTAACATTTTGTAATTTGGGGGTCTTTTCTCAGGCATGAAACAGCCCAAAAGCTTAGTACTGCATAATCCAGTGTGTAAATGATGCATTATCAATATCTCATGTTTGGTTTAACTTGCACATTAAGGAAGGAAATGCAGTGGCTTTGTTCCAATTGGCTCAGTTCACTATTAACATGTTTGAAACCTCTTTCTGTGATATTGTGTTTCTACTTTTACAGCTATTATGCAATCTCTGTAGACCTGGAAACCTTCTTCCAACACTTTAACAAGGCTCCTTGGTGGGGAGTCATGAGTGAAACAATCTCCTCGCTTAAATCCAAGAAACTACCATTAAGTGATATACAGTTGTATGAACAGTTAAAGAAAAAGTTTGGTACTAAAAAGGCCATGAAGTGCAAGGTACTGAAAATGTAGGTTATTAATTGTTGTTCCATTGAATTGCTAGGGGACAGACGTTTTCACAAATTCTACATTAACTGCTGATTATCTGGTTAGGCTCTGCTGGAAATCTGTGTATTTATGTTCAATGAAAACAGAGATAGGTTGGGTTGTTTTTTCTCTCTCTGTCACAATGAAAGTAGCCCCCAGTATGAGTCACCATAATTATGAGTATGGAGTCCACAGTCTAATTGAACAGGCTGAATGTACTGAATGGTCTTTCTTCATCCATATTTACCAGTGTTTTATGTACTGTTAAAAAATACAGATGAATCTTAGATCTGCTAATAACACCATTTTAGAGGTCCCTATGAGGTCCACATGTCTCTAATTTGCTGGGTGGTTACATAAATTTTACCAATCCTGAAGTCTTGCAAAACTGATCTAAGTGCCCGTCTGTTGGAAGTGGAAACGTATTCAATTAGCATCTCACAAAGGTACAAATACACTGAATAAACAAGTTCATTTTTCCTGAATTGTTGAGGAAATCAGTTTTAAATAAAATGTACTAGGGAGTTAAATATCATGAAATGATCCTGTTTTTTGTATGTTCCTTGTTTAGAATTTGCCCACAGCTCTCCTGTCTTCTGTTGATAGTGGACTTGTTGCTATCTTTCACACATTATGCCACAATAATCCAACATCTCATCTCGCTGTTTTGGATGAAGTTGGTTATCCACTTGTTTATCATGCTGCCATGTATAACCATCCACCAATTATCTATCAGTTGGCTACAAGTGGCCTGAAACTAAATCAACGTCGCAGCATCTATTACCAGAAATCAAGTAAGCCCAGCTATCTAACCACGGGCTCAAATAGATGCACATAACACATCTGGGAGGTATAGTTATCTGTTGCCTGCCACTTATGTATCAATAGCATGTTTTATTTTATTACATAATAATAAATTATTCAACAATTTGAAAAATTACCTCATTTGGAAGACAACAAACAAATAGCCTTTACATTTTGCCTTGTGTTCTTAAGATTGAATTTGTTTATTTAGTAATTTATTCCTTACTGTTTTTTGACTTTTAGATAGATCACCTAACATAAATGAGGAAAAAATTGGTAAGTTCTAAATAAATATTTTCATGTATTACTTATTTTAAAATCGAGGGCTCCATACCATTTATCTTGACCGTAAGGCAAACACCAACAAATCATCTTTAACATTTGAACTGATTGTTGTAGGTTTAGGTATTTTATTTAAGTGTTTTAACAATATAATTAGAAAAAAATTAATAATAAATCAGTCACTTCAATCCACAACTGTTTGTGGGACACTGCTATGCACAATTGGCTACCGCGATTCACCTACAAAATATACAGTCAATTCACTTTACAGTATATTCTGTGAAGCGCTTTGAGACATCTCGAAGATGTAATAAGGCGCTGTATGAAATACAATGGTTATTATTATTAATTTAGATGCGCACATCCCAAAGCACTGGACTTTATTATTGGTCATGAAATGTTTTTATTAAGTCCCATCGATGGGAAGTAACAGTGTGGTGCTTTTGTTCTACCTATTAAAATAGAAAGTTGTAGCTTTCTAAATTTGCCTTATGTTTCAGTAGTATTTGCTTTGTTTACAGGACCAACTGCTCTTCACGCTGCAGCAAAATGTGGATCATTGGGAGCACTGACTTGCCTCCTAGCCCTGCAGGCAGATTACATGAAGACTGATGGACGAGGCTGGACACCAATGCACTTTGCTGCATTTTTTGACCACATTCCCTGTGTTAGGGCTCTGTATAGGAAAAATCCCAATTTGTTGGACTTAGAGACAACAGCTGAGTAAGTGTGCTACAATGTCATCTGGGAAGCAGTCAAATAATTTTAAGATAAGCAGACATGTTATTCAGTAAATACTATACTGAGGGTTACGTTCATGAATGCTGGGAGAGTGCTGCATTTTCAGAGGTACCGTCTTTCAAATGAGGTATTAAACTGAGGTCCCAGTTGCCTGTTCAGGTAGACGCATGGGAGGGAAAGCTAGATTCCCCATTAGGTTAGCCCTCTCTATTAATGTAATATATTTTCCACTGGACGGATCTTAAAACAATAGTAAGGGAATAGGCCACCTATCCCATCTGCAGGACACAGGAGCTATCAAGAGAAATAGACCAAAATGGGACAACGTCAGGAAAAAAATGTGTGCACACCTCCATTGAAGACCGCTTATCTTCAAAAGACATTAGACTGCAAGACTGCCTATTTTAGGAAACTGTAAATATTAGCCGATGTAATATATTTTCAAAGATTGATACAACTAAGTCTTAAATGTTAGCATTATTAATTTGTAATGTTATTTTTGTTTTAGATATCGCTCAACTCCACTATTACTTGCTGCCATGGTGGGTGCACTTGATGTGCTCCAATACCTCTTATCTATTGGTGCAAACTGGAGAAAGACGGACAGTAAAGGAAACAATCTGATTCATTTAGCAGCATTGTACTTCCACACAGAAGTCCTCAAGTATTTTATTGAGCAGGATATGCCAGGGCTACCAGTCTGGAACCTCCTTATAGGCATGTACTTGCTTTCACTCAAAATTAACATGTGGATTTCTCCCCATTAACATAGAATGATGGTAGGAAAAAATATGCACTCTTTGATTGTGAGCACAATCAAACACCTCACCTGACATCCACAGAGGTTACTGCAGACCAAATGGGAGGAACAACTTGGGCCGATATTTTCCCAATATTTTGTAATGCGTAACATTCTCCTTTCAACAAAATGCAAAATTCACCTGTAAATAAAGTGCTACATGAATGTTTCAATTGATTTTGTTACTTCTGTCATTCATTGATTCTCTAGACCTTTTTATATTTCTTATAATGTACCAGAAATTATGCACAAATTAAAAAGCTGAAGATGTAAAATATCCTCTCGCAAGCGAGAGGACCTGGGTTTGATTCCCGGCAGAGTGAAACGTTGGGCAGCTTTCCTTACTCCACGTGCCTCTATTTACCTAGCAGTAAGTAGGAACCTGCTCGATAGGCTGATCGCTTTTCCGGGGGTAATAATCCCTTCCAAAAGAAATTAAGAAATAATTATAATAATTTGGTCACTCAATCCACTATTGTTTGTGGGACACCGCTGTGCGCAATTGGCTGTTGCGTTTCACCACAAAATATACAGTCAATTTACTTTACAATATATTCTGTGAAGCACTTGGAGACCTCTCTAAGATGTGATAAGCCACTATATCAAATGCAAGGATTATTATTATTATATATTTTTAAGTAATACCACTAATAATTTGAAGTACCATAAACACATGTGCAGAGCACACATCTGCTTACTCTTAAGTTAGTTTGTGTATGAAAAGCAGAGATGGATGTTTACCATTTTCTTGTTTACTCTTCCCTAGGAATGGTGGAGACTTTTGAATATTATAGGAATGAAATGGGAGTGAGGGCACTTGAGGTACTTTGTGTGGCAAAGGAAACTTACTGGAAATCAATTATTGATGCAGGTAAGAAAAGTTAAAGATACCAGCTTACAACAAGCGAGAAAACAAATTTGTGAAAATATTCCCCATCAGCAAACGTAACATTTTGATAAGGTACTTATGAGATCTATTTAAATCTTGGTGTTAATGATCGCGTAATAAATGATGGACTATATACATAAATGGCTCGGACTTGGGTATAGAGAGCAAAAGTTTTACAGTTTGCAAGTGACACAAAACTTGGAAATCGTACTACACAGTGCGGAGATTGGTAGCAGACTGCAGGAGGGTAAAATGGGCAAACACATGGCAGATGAAGTTTAATGCAAAGAAACGTGAGGTGATACATTTGGAATGAGAAGAGGCAATATACACTAAATAATAATCCTTGCATTTTGATATAGCGCTTTTCACGTCTTCTCGTCGTCTCAAAGCGCTTCACAGAATAGACTGTAAAGTGAATTGACAGTATATTTGTGGGCGAATCATGGCAGCCAATTGCACACAGCAGTGTCCCACAAACAGTCGTGGATTGAAAATGACCAATTTATTATTGTTTTGTTTTGGAGGGTTTATTATGGTACTACTATGGTATTATAAATGGTACAGTTTTAAATGGGGTTCAGGAGCAAAGAGACCTGGGTTTCACATACACAGATCGTTGAAGGTGGCAGGACAGGTTGATAGAGCTGTTAAAAAGAATATGGGATCCTTGGCTTTATAAATAGAGGCATAGAGTACAAAAGCAAGAAAGTTCCGTTAAACCTTTGTAAGTCACTGGGTTAGGCCTCAGCTGGAGTATTGTGTCCAATTTTGGGCACCACACTTTAGGAAGGCCTTGGAGATTAGACTTAACATAATGGTAACAGGGATGAGGAACTTTAGTTATGTGGAGAGACTAGAGAAGCTGGGTTTGTTCTCCTTAGAGCACAGAAGGTTAAGGGAAGATTTCATGGAGGTCAAAATTTTGAGGGGTTTTGATAGAGTAGATAGTAAATAGATAGTAGATTTAACTATTCTCATTTGTAGAAGTTATCATCTATACAATGCCATTTGTAATGTGCACCAGAGACAGTGAATTCTGATAATAGGTTGCACAATAAAATCCAGTAATACTGCAGTAATATGATCACAAAGCATTAATGTCCTTTTACCAACAACTTAAAAGCAGTATTTAAACTCAAAAACAATTTCTTCCCAGAGGTGGAGGGGAATTTCTTGGTGGATTGAATATTTTTGTATGAATGTGTCTCAGCGTCTTCATTGCCCCAGCCTTTGCAGTTGTTAGACATTTTCATTAGTGCCTCCTCTAATATGCAATAATATGAATGTAACTGTGACACATGAAGCCACTGAATGTCTTATCCATTAAATGTAAGCCAGGGGTAGATTATGTCAAGAATGGCTTCTCGTGTCCTGGAGTCCTATAGTGTTTCAGGAGATTGTATTGTACTTCTTGCTGACTATTTAAATTCTCTCATCTAGATGGCATTCCTGCTCTCGTGAATATGTTACGCAGCCAACACAAGACACTGCAGTGTGTTGCTGCTGCTGTGCTGTGTAATATATCCAATCATCAGTTAGTTTGTCACAGTATTGTTCAGGCTAAGATCATTCCAGAGCTTATTGAATTACTGATGTCCCCTGAACCTGAGCTTCAGTCACGCTGTTCCCTCCTCCTGTACGATATTGGCCAGATTGATGATAACGCTGCTGTGATTGTTAGACTAGTAAGTATTGCTTATTTGTAGCATTAAAATAACTACAGATTACAAACCACAGTATTCCCAAACAGATCAATCATTACGAATTGGGACATGTTATTAGGCTTTTAATAACATTTATTTAAAGAGTAGTTCCTTTGCTACCTCATGAAAATGACAGCATTGCTCATTGGTTGCAAAGCTGCAGACCAGAAGCTCACAGTTTGAATCACAGTCTGTACTGAATTAGTTGTTTTCTGCTAAGGTGACCATAGAGTGTTGCATGATTTAACAATCTACTTAATAATAATAAAATAATCCTTGAATTTGATATAGTGCTTTTCACGTCAGGAGGATACCTAAAACAGTAACAAAAGAGCTAGAATCTTAAAAATTTGCAAGAGATGAATGAAATAATATTTCTAGCTGTTGTCTTTACAAAAAGATGGGTAAAAGAGAGTTACAATATTGAAACACGATTAGCATACTGATGAGAAACAAAACCACAAGACCAAAACTTGAGCAGTTTACAATTGTCTCAGATAGACAAGTTTGCATATCTCAACATTTTCCCAAATGTCTGATTTTTTTTCTAAAAGGTTTTTGTAAGGTCTTCTGTTTTCATCTGGATGACTTTTCCTTTTCACTCTTGTAACCTCCATGTCTGCCCATCATTTTGCAATATGGGCTCTTTACCTTTTTGTGTGAAAAAAGCTTTCTTTCCCCTCTAAAATGAATCAATGGAGTTTCTTTGTAATTTGAATTTGGAAACACTGCTCTTGTTTCAATTGATTATTTATTCTCTTGATTTCTTAGGGTGGAATCTCTCCTATGGTGAAGCTCTTGAGTTCAAAAATTGAAGATGTGCTGGTAAATGTAATTAAATGCCTGATGGCCATATATAAAGAAAACCCAGACCATCAGACCTTAGTAGCACAGGAAGGAGCTATTCCTCTATTGGTGGAAATGTTGTCAATGACATCGGGTAACTTATTTTTAGCCTTTTTTTTAGTATTGAACCTTTTAAAAAGAAGTTTTGTATGAAGCATTCAAGACTTTGCTTAGAGCTGTATTATTAATTTCCTTTTCAATCACTTCATGCTAGTTTTTAAATGCATATTAGTTTAATATAATATGTACAGTGCGTGTCACCTCCTTGTAAAAGGCAGTGAACTAAATCCCCAAATTCAATGCATATATTGTAAAGAATATTACCAGCTTTGCTGGGGTTACTAATCCTGTTATTCAACTCCTTCTCTTCCCTGACTTCCCATCAGCAATTTGCATTATTAATAATAATATAACTGATGTGAGGCTCTTAACATGTAAAAAAAGGTAGATGTGAACCCATATCCTACCATTGTATGACACAAAAACTCCTCCATCAAGTTCTTGTTCATAGAAATTAAGGAAATACATTTTTGTAAGAGGATTTTATAAGGAAATAAATACACTCACTGGTGTTTATACCAGTGTTTGGAATTAGATGTGTTAGGGCGGGTGTTCCCTTAATTTATATTCTTTCTACATCATTCCTAATTTATTTGTTCAAATGTTAAAGGATAACTATGTGGCTCCATAGAGAATTCCTATAAAATTTGATTTTATTGAAATCAAATTTATTTTTTTAAAAAACTGGATGTATCTTGGATTAAGCATTTACTATTTGTAGCAAGAGTTTAACTTGTTTTATTTCCCCAGATAAATTCGATTTTTATTATTTTAATAATTCCTATAAAGGATTCAAATAATGCAATAACAAATCAAGTATCTTGCTAATGCTTTTTAATTCAGAATTTGTATGATAGCTACAGACAGCTCCAACTTGGGTAGTTTATGTGCAATTGCTGGATAGATGTTTTGCAGGAGACAGCTTCAATTGCACTGGCTGAACTTGCTTGTGACCACAGAAGCAATCAAGTTTCAATAGCAGACGAAGGTTCAGTAGACTTACTGATAAATATTCTCGGGGGAACCAAACTCCATTTACAATTGAAAGCAGCAAAAACCGTTGAAGCTTTAGCTGACAGAAATCCTACCATACAAAAAGCATTCCTAGAAAGATCTGCAGACAAATATCTCTTAAAGCTTCTCAAGGTACTGTATTTTACTGTATTTTACAAACATATTTTTCTTAAACATCTTTTTTTTAAAAAAACTGATTTGCTTGTCCAATGTGCACTATAAAATAATTCATGAATGGCAAGGAAAGGATGTAGATATATGAAAGCCATAGTTCTGTGAATGGTATTATTTATTGAATTTCTTTGTAAAAAAAAGACAAATTGGTACTTAAACAATTTTTTGCCCACAAATAAAATATAAAGTGAGTTTTATTTACAAAGGTATTCTCTCTTTAAAAATGTAGCCCATTACCATTACCAAAGGCCTACTGCCTTTCAGCTAAGGTGAGTGAAATGATTCCTAGGTTTTACCATCAAAATCTACAACACTACAATAGTGGTACAAAAAGGTAGCTTGTCTAAGGTTTTCATTTGTACACCATCTTTTAATACACCATTTTTTAATCACTTAGTAATCATCAAGTCTTATAATGTGTTATCACGGTAATATTGCTGGAAAGTTATATGGATTTGTATGGATACAAAGTTTCTAGACATTGCCTATATACTAAGTTAGTAAAATATAATGATTCTGTCAGACAAAACAATGTATTAACCTCATCCAGCGCAGACTATAAATGATTTTGATTCTTCAGGTATTTGATCTTGAAGTCCGAGAACAAGCATCAACAGCCATTTGGGCACTGGCAGGAAATGCTGAGAAACAACAAAAAAGTATGGCAGAACAAATTGGTTATAGTTTCATCATTGATCTGTTATTATCCCCATCTGATAATATGCGTTATGTTGGTAAGTGGCTCTTTTTCAAATAAGAATGTTTTCATCTGTTCGGATACACTAGAAAATGGAACATAAATCAATAGTATCCTTCAACTTAGGTATAGCAAGGCAACATACTGGAACACCAATACAGAATGCCTTTGCAGCACTTTTATATTCCAGACCCCTTGTTATAAAGTCCAAAGTTATAAGAACAACATAAGTTGTTATAAGTTATAGATAATTAAGAAGTGCTTCTGGCGGTAAATATATACAAGATGTTGCTTCACAAAATGTTGCATTTTTCCAAATAAATAAAAACACATTTAAGATTGCATTAATGTGGATCACTAGTTTCACTTTATCAATTACAGTACATTTGCCGAATTGTGGATTGGATGAATTCTAGGAGAATGTGCTGGTTAATTAATTTATAAAGCGATAGTTTGCCTTATTTGAAATTATAATGCTTTCTTCAGGCTCTGAGGCAGTGATTTCCATAAGCAAAGACAACAAGGAATACCAAAATCAGATTTGTGCAGCAAATGGAATCCCTCCTTTGGTCCGAATTTTACGAAGATCTGAATCAACTGTGCGAACATTACTGAGAGCCATCGTTGCATTGGGGACTCTGTGTATTGGTTTGTATATTCCAGCTATTTGGTATTATTTTATCTATCATGTAAGTATATGTTGTTACATTATATTTCAGATGTATGCCCAAACCATGTTTAAGTGTCCATTTTTACCTTGCACTCATATTGACTATGAGCCTGCTGTTGCACGTGTAAATGTACAAATGAAGAGATGAATAAACCGTATCATTTAGATCTAATTAAATCATATGCACTTAAGTTAAGAATATAACTGATGTTTCTGTTCTTACTTTACAGGGGTGGCATATATAAATAATGAATTCTGTCAAAATAAAATCGCAGAAGAAGGTGGCATGACTAGCCTTGTTGATTTGTTGAGTTTTGAAACAACCCTTGAAGTTAAGGTAACAAAGGGAGGGCACGGTGAGATGTACAGCTCACTCCAGAAACAGGGTTGAAGTCAGCAGCACATGTTTTGCTGTGGCTGGTGATCCTCTGAATTCATCAGCACACTGGTTTCCCCTCTTGCTGGAAACAAGTGCTACTGAACTAATTGGAAAGTGATATTCATGGCTGACATTCACTTCATAGCTGATATGTTCACACTGTACCAAAAACATTATTCTAGCAATGCTAAAGTGTCCAGAGTCATTGTCCCAGTATAAGAATCAACAATACAAAAATCACTAATGAGTGAAAATCTTTTCAAACGATATAAAGTAAAATCCCCTGCCCCATTCTAGGTGTTTCACTCCAGCTCAGTTGGTAGTACTCTTGCTTCTGAGTCAGAAGGTTGTGGGTTTAAGCCCTACACAAGGACTTTGAACTCACGATCTAGACTGGCCAGTGCAGTGATGGGGCTGTGCTGCATTGTCAGAGGTGCCATCCTCCGAATGAGACTGTTCAAGTGGACCTTAAAGATCCAATGGCAGTATTCAAAAAGTGATGGATGTTTCAACTGGTATCCTGGCCAACAATCTCCCAAATAAAATTGGTCATTCACTTCATAGCTGTTTGTAGCACATTGCTGTATGCAAATTATCTTTTGCATTTGCCTACAAAATACAGTCACTGCACTTTACTGTGAATCCTATGAAGCACTTTGAGTCATCCTCCTGATGTAAAAGGGGACAAATGCAAGGATAATAATAAATATATTAATTAATGTTAAATAATAATAAATGCTGACCAGGAATATGCAGCTATGCATATGCAAGATGGACTTTCTCTCCGTTTCTCTGGAATTATATGTGCTTATGATTGAAACTTTAAAGTAGTACATTAGTACCTTAACTGCTGGGAAAATGTTTTCTTTCAACACAAAAATTATTGTTAATTCCCACATTTATTTTATGTGAGTAGGTTGAAGTGGTCCATGCCCTTGCACGCATTGTGTTGGGAAACCCTAAATTGCAGTTAAGTTTGCACAATAACAAGGATTTCTCCTATCGAATTCCACTGAGCCTTTTGACAACTGGAGACAAAGTAAGTGCAGTAAAGTTGTATAAAATATTTTAAGGAAAACAATCAGATATGCAAAATGCTTCCGCTGATGATGTAATAGATAAAATGACTTGAGTACCCATGCAAACTAGGAGGTACTATATTCAAACCCTGAAGTGTCCTGGTTTATCAGGGGGCCAGTCAGGTATACTGTAGTTGGGTAGAGCAATTGGCAGAGGGGGGAGGAGGTAGAAAGAGTTTTTTGTTCTGATTGCTATCTATTCCAAGTCAGTGTTGAGTTTGCCTGCAAAGCTATAATTCAGCAAAAAGCTCTATCTTTTTTCTATTAGTTATAATTGAATTGTCTGACAGGAACACATTACAGGACGTAACTTATCACACTTATGGTTTTGCAGAAGATAGGTTTGCGAGCAGGATCTGCTTTAGCTCTGTTTTCATACAACAACCCTGCACAGCAGGCATTGATCCTTGACTGTGGGGGAATTCAGATGTCAATCTATGAAGATTTTCTGCAGTCCAAGAATGAGGAAGAGAAAGTCTCTGCTTCGTTTCAGGTATTCCGCCTGTCAAAACAGTCCCCAGTGCCGAATAGTTTATCGCCCACAAAATATACAGTCAATTCACTTTATAGTATATTCTGTGAAGCTCTTTGAGGCGTCTCAAAGATGTGATGAGGTGCTATATCAAATGCAAGGATATTATTATTTCTTTGACTAAACATTCCTTGCACATTATACTATTTTTCTGCACCTTTGGGCTAGGCATTAAAAGTACTGTAATTATTTTTTATTTTAAAAAATATTATTGAATTAACATTGTAACCATATCCAAATGAGAATTTATGCAGTTTGTTAAGTGGTTTCTATATTGCTAGTATTCCCTTATTCACAGGTACATAACATTAGTACAATAGTTATGGAGAATTATAGCGCCAAGAAGGAAGAGACAACGGATCACAAGTGTCAAAAAAAAATCTTTAAATGGAAACCTCTTCCACATACATTCTCAGAAGACTATACGCACTCCAGTGCACAAATTATTGAAATATTATAGATGCTTTGAAAGTAAATAGATTCAATCTGATTACATGTGCTAATGTATTCAAAAAAAATACAAAGAATCCCTACAGATTCCCCTTCAAAGGTGGACAAAGGGTAACTCAGTGTATAGAGGTTTATATTTAATGATTTAAGTCGATTGCACTAAAACCTACTGCATATCGAATAAGTAATAACATGAAACGGTAAAAACTAAGAAAAGTCCTTTCAAACTACCAAGACACCGAGCTCCTTTCAGCATCAGGATAATAATATCTTTTTCTGTTTGATACAGATTGTTGCATTGGGCAAAGTCATTGTAGGCAGGGATGTGGTTGCATTGTCAGCTATGGGCATTACAACCTTAGTCAAACTACTAACGTCACACAACTTTACCACAGTTATTAAAGCAGGTAAAAGGGCTTTATTATGTGCTTACTGTTTTTAGTAATCTGGAGAAATCCATATCAATATATTTCAGTACAGATACAATTATGATTAAAAACTCTATTAATCCTGATATTAGAACTAATTGGGAGTAGTGGCACTCTATAATATTCGTAATTATTCTTTTTTAATCTGTATTGTAACAAAACATTATGGTTGGCTCTCCCAAGCAGAATTAGTCATTCTTGAGCCTTCATTGGACAGCTGTTTACTGATTTTGTTTCTTAACAGCTTCTATGAGGCTGACAGCAGAAACTCCGCAAGTAATTATTTAAATGTCATGTTTGATAAACAGTGAATTTCGGTTTTTTTTGGTCTCTTTCCATTCCCCTACACTAAATTGCATTGTTACTGAAATTCATTGAATGGGGTAATTGCTAAAAGATTAATTGGTTTCTGACATTGTCAAGCTTTATACCTCATCCAAACTAACTCCTGTTAAAGGAGCATGAACTAACTTCAGTAACAAACTGGAAGTGCTAATTGGTGACATTTGTTTTGTGCACTTTGTTATAATGTGAGTTCTGAGTTTATTAACCCAAACAACTGTGCTGAAACATGGTCAGCCTGTACATGGAACTCCCAGTGGGTGTTTGCAAACTCCTAAGTATGGTGATGGATATTCATGTGTGTCAAATACCCGACTGTTCAAAAAATAAGCACCTGTCATTTAATTTGCAATACTGAAGTAGAATTGCTGCAAATTATGCCTTTTTTTTAACAGTAAGAATTTTTTGACCATTTTGCTAAATGGTTTTCCTTCCAGGGGAACTCCTGGCCGCTCTATGTCGCACCAGAGGAGGCATTTCTGATGCTATTGTTACTATGGGAGCTGTGGAAAAATTATGCGCACATTTAGACTCTACCAATGAACAGGTAAAGGAAACACAACCAAAAAGCGTACTATCTTCTGAATTTGCCTATGTGTATTAATACTATATGGTTAGTTGGGAGACTCAAATGTCTCACAATTCCAATCTTTCCTGAAAACTATCTGTATCTTCTCTCATCTTATTGTTACCAAATGGATAATGAAGGTCAATAAGAAGGCAACGATAATGTTTATTGATTTTGGTACATATATTGTACTAAAAAGGCAACGCTGGTTGCATCCATATATGTTTTTGGAATAAATTTAAGATATTTATCAACTTGCACTTTCACCATCACCTTTGACCTTAAAAAATACACAGGCATACAGAAACTCTTTCTGGTTGTTTCAGATTCAGAAGGTTTGTGCTGTAACTCTGGGATACTTAACATTTAATCTTACTGCTCAGCGTCGCCTGATGGTGCAGTGCAGGAATCAACCCAAATTATTTGACCTTTTAATAAGTGCATTGAGCATAGATGCCACCATCTGCATGGATTTCATTGAAGAATTCAAAAGGCAAAAAAAAATGGGGCTTCCTTCACAAAGGTATGATATCACCTGTTCAAGAAATGTTGCAATTCTGGAAAATCTCTCAACATATTAAATATTAATGAGTCGGTAACACTGCTTTTCTTTGATTTAAACCAGCTTGGAAATAAATGGCGGTCCACCAGTCATACCAATCAGGAAAGGTAAATAATATCAATATCCTTAAATTCAGCAGATGTTTGTAAGTACCGTAATTCACAAACCACCCATAGGTGTTGAAAGGTGATTTTTTAAATTAATGTTATGCTTATCATTTGCCATCGTTATCAGATATGATTTAACATAATAAAAATAATCCTTGTATCTGATATAGTGCCTAGAACATCAAGCAAGTACTTCACAAAGTCTCTTTGAAGTTTGTATTTCTAGGCAAATCTGAACTAATGCTTCATAGAGATTACAATTAATGCCCATTGGATATGATCACATCCATATGAGATTTTTATATCTCTTAAATCTAATGATTCTCAGTGAATTGCCTGTTTTTTTTACCTTAGGTATCTATCTCATTGTGTAGTAATTCCTAGATATAGAACAAAAGGCTTGTCTCTCTGATGATTCTTACACTTACTGTGTAAAGCATAAACTGGATAAAGTGAAAGGAATTTGGATAATAATAACCTGGGGGCAAAAAATCTACCTGGAACTAATGTTACTCTATTTTTGTAGCTTGTCAAATTTAACCAACATAGGCAAATTCTTAAATGCAGCCAATTTTCTGTAAGTTCTTTTAAGAACTACAGAAGTGAGCTTCAGAGTTAAGACAAAATTTTAATTATTTGCCAAATTCTGGATGATCTAAAATGCTCTATAAATAGAGCAAATCTGGACCCAGGTGGAATTTCTTTCCAACTCCTAATGGATGTAAATCCACAGCATAAAGCTTTCCAAAATATCAGAAGAGGAACTATCAGGATAGCTCTTGTGGAAAGTGGAAATGGCTTGTTGATTTATGATTGGTGCTATTTTGAGGCTGGAATTGATGCACAGATCAATCAGCGTAGAGAAAACATTTACCTGACCAAGGAATGCTGACAATGTATGGATAAAGTTCTGTTCCCCATCTCCTGATATCCTTCACAATAGTGAGAATCAACAAATAAACAAGGCAAAAAAATCTGGATAAATGTCATTACTGTTCGAGTTCAACACTTTTTTAAAATAGTCTCTATGGGCATCGTACATTTGCAACAGAGTTTTCCTCTGTGAAAGAGATTATAAAAATATGAATTAGATCGGCGAATAATGAGTCCATATATCGATGAGGAGGGGGTCACCTTTTTATGGGGTCTGTTATTCCTGGAGTACTGAAATGAAAGTTTGATTTAAAGTTTAGATTTGATAATCTAAATGAATATTTTATTATCACTACAGTGAGACCAAAATCTGTCGGTGTACCTTACAAAGAATCTCAAAAAGTAGGTTTCCGAACAAAGTCTGCACCTGCAGTGTCATCTGAAAAACCCAAGACTGCTGTTAATCAGAGCAAGAATGCTCAGGCACTTGATATGAAGAAACTAAAGGACAAACAGGTGACGAAATAGAAGAAAAGAAAACAAATCTCTCGTCAAGTTTTGTCTCTTCCTCTATGATATGCACATGATGTACATATTTGGGGGCATTATGAGGAAGAGATTTATATTTGCTCATCTCAGCAGGAAAATCCATGAAAAGCATTTAAAAAATAAAGCCATCTGAAGTTGTTAAAGGTCAACAACCTTGTGTGTGTTTCTTAACCTGACAATTGTTACAACTTACAGTTGATTACATACAAACAATTAAAGAACTATACCCCAATTTTACCTGTTTGACTTATTTCATATATATTGATTGCTAGCCAAAATGCTGCTTTGCTTGTTAGCCCCAATAAATAAATATTTATATTCATACATTCCTATTTTCCTTAAAACATTTCTCAAATAATAGAACCACATCCTGATACTTAAATAGCTTAAAACATTTTTATTGTACTTAACATATAATTAGTGGAACAAAATATGTGTAGTTTTCAAATCCTATGCACTATTCCTTATAATTGTTTGTGATTTTACTTCAGTTCCAAAATAAAATCTATTCATTTTATCTTCAGTTTCAAACTTGGAACTTTGAGAGCCGCATTCTTGACTTGTTCTGAAAAATCTTTTCCAAGAGGGGCTCTGTAGGCCAAAATAAGCATATCAAGTAAATTCCCAGTCGCATCAATACATTTATCATTTACATATGCTTTTCTTAAAATGGTTAACAATTACAGGCTAACCCTTAAACCACAGATTTGTCACAATTTTGAACACAGCTTTAAATAACCATATGGGCTCACAATGTACAGGTACAATGTGAGTTACTCAGATGTGTTTAAAAAAAACTAGATGTGTAAAAGCTTTGTCACTTACTTTGGCTCATAATGGATCGTTTTAGGATTATGCAGTACACCTATTCCTGCTTGAAGCCTCTCAATCCCATTCCTAAAGACAAAGTAAATTTTAGCAGTGACGGATTTTAGATCCAACAAAAAACAGTCTGTTTTCAGAATTTGTTTTACTAGCAATACATGTGCAAGTTATAGTCAAGGGGGTCATTAAATACAAAATGAAGTGTATTTAGTAGAAACATATAAAAGACAATACTTCAATGAACCATTTAGTGTTTATAACATTCATGTAAAAAGGTTGCATAGTATGGTGGATGTAAACTATTGTTCAAAGGCTGACAATAGAGGATGATATGCTTAGGCTATCAGAAGTATTTTTGTTTTGACACATTGCTTAGCACACTTTATTTAAATGTTTTGAAGTCTGTCATTTAAATATGTGCATTGACGAATCATAGTGTTCAATATTTCGAAGTAGGATGATCCATTTCATGGCTCTCACCATGCAATCATGATGCCATTGTCTGTGCAAAGCTCAGGCGGAGGGCAATGCATTGAGAATCCATTTGCTTCAGTTACTATCTGAAGAACTTTTCTGATGTATTGATTACTCGCTACACCTCCTGATATCACCTGAAAGAAAAATATAAATATTCTACAAATGCAAAGATAAGAACTCTTAAGTACTTTGGGACACTAACCTGCATAAGGGATGCTATATAAATGCACGTTATTGTTAAGACCCTTTTTCAAAATAACTTGAATATTTGTGTTCACATTTATATGCTTATTTCTCGTAATGAAACGGGAATTAATCCGAAGTAATAAATATAAATTCATATGAATTATTTTTTCTTCCACTTTAATTCCCCTCTGCTGTTCTTCAGCTAGGAAAGTAGATAGTTGAGCTGCTTTTAGATTTCTGCAAAAGTGGCGTTTCCTTCATTACCATAATGTGAGTTGGTAAGGACAAGAACATTTGTTTCTTTCTAAATTTCTCTCAATGGGAGGCATACTCTCCCTCTGGGCCTCTGATAGATTCATTCTGAAAATGTTTACTGATTTTCCTTCCTTCCAAGTGAAGTTCCTGGCCTGCACCCAGTAATATAGCAGGTCATGACTGAGACTGCCAAATCAGCAAGAAAAGGCCACGAGCACTAATCTATGTTCTACCACTTTTATGCCATAGTGCGCAACAATAATAATAATAATCCTTGCATTTGATATAGCGCTTCTAACGTCTTCTAGACGTCTCAAAGCACTTCATAGAATAGACTGTAAAGTGAACTGATTATCTATTTGTGAATGAAACCCGGCAGCCAATTGCGCACAGCAGTGTCCCACAAACAGTCGTGGATTGAAGTGACCAATTTATTATCAATAAATAAACACAGTAAGAAATGCAGAAAACTGTGAGATACTAACCAAGGCTGCATTTGTTTGAGGCAGCAAACCTTCCTGCTTGCAAAAGAGAATTGCTCGTTGGGTACGCTTTGCTATGTGCATAGCCACTGTATATTGTACGGCAGCAGCAATGTCACTGGCACAAGCTAGAATCTGTCCCTCCTGGAGACCTGGCTTAAAAAAAATTCATGCAGTGAGTAAAGCAGCACTTATAATAATAATAATAATAATCCTTCCATTTGATATAGCGCCTTATCACGTCTTTGAGACGTCTCAAAGTGCTTCACAGAATATACTGTACAGTAAATTGATTGTATATTTTGTGGGCAAAACACAGCAGCCAATTACATACAAGCAGCATCCCACAAACAGTCATGGATTAAGTGTACAAATTATTATTAGTAGTTTTTTTACCCTATTCCCATAAACTGTGTGACCTGGCTTAAAAAAAATGCAGCAAATCAAGCAGCACTTGAATGATTCACCAGAGTAATCAGAAATCTATACGTCTCATCCCACCTTCGTCACTTTCCTTTTTGATAATTATTTGATTGACTTGGTTTCGCAAACCAGAAAACGAAAAGTTGCAGTCTGGGCGCTGGCTCATAGGAATCTTTAGAGTAATATTCAGCCGGTCTCCACTTTTTGACAAGTGCTCAATGGCTTCTCCACCACTCATTGTAGAGCAATCTGGGTGATTCTTCAGTGATAATCTTCTTGCAACCTGCGGGATGAAGATCATTATAGTGTAAATGACTGATGCTAAACAAACAATATTGCTAGTACTTTCTAGATTGTAAGATAGACAAGTTAAAGTATATTTGGGTGCCATGAGTTCAAAATGGGTTAAGGACAATTTTACACCAGGGAGATCATGTTTCATATAAATTTTTTGCAGTAGTTTATAAGTCAAATTATTACTGCACTTTCCATAAGAAATTGTAACAGGGCATATAAATATATAAAATAAAAATATTTACCTAAGCAATAAATGAACCAATGGGTACTAATTGTACCTAGTTGGATATTACGTATGGTAAATTTAAATAATATTCATTAGAGTTGATGTTTCGACAATTCTACATACAGGATATCTCTTAAAATGCCTCTTTCACTTTACACATTGACGTAAGTGAATAAAGTGTAAGACAACCAAATGTTAAATATTCTAAATTAATGAAGAACATAATCTGGCAAGATGTTGCATGTCCTCTCAAATTAGTAAGTGCATATTTAATTTTTTAAAAAGTTTTATATGTAATAAAAGGCTTGGTAATACATGCTCTGTAACACGATAAATGGATAAAGAACTTTAAAGTTACAGTAAAAGTTTTTTTTTGTTTGTTCAAAGCCAGTTTTAAAGTTTAGCTCTATACTTACCTTATCTAAAGTGTCTCCAGGGGCTTCATCCAGTGACTGCCCGAGGAGAAGAAAATCTGACACCCCACGAGCAACTGCCAGCAAACAGTGGCCACCAGAAACCAAGAGGACCAGGAAAGGAAATTCCACTGAATGTAGCATTCTAACAGTTAATGCATGTGCCTCCATATGGTGAATTGGAATAAAGGGTCTCTTATATTGCTGCACAAGATTTAAGCTGTACGTTAGCCCCACTTCCAAGCTAAATGCAAGTCCGGGTTTTACGGTAGTTGCTATTGCTGTTAGTTCCTGAAGAGGTACACCACTCTTTTCCACAGCTTCTTGCACCACTCTTTCAATGTTCTCTTTGTGTAGCCTCCCAGCCACTGGTGGAATTATACCACCAGCCCTATAGTAAAACAAAATACACCAAACACAATTGCAAACCAGCATCTGCTGCAAGTAAATTAAACCGTATAATTTTGTCACTCAATCTACGGCTGTGGGACACTGCTGTGCACAATCGGCTGCCAAGTTTCGCATAGAGACAGTCAATTCACTTTACAGTATATTCTGAGAAGCGCTTTCAAAGACATGATAAGACGCTATATCAAATGCAAGGATTATTATTATTGGCAACAACCAACTTAACATTTGATTGCTAACCATGCTTTTAGTCACCATTAGTTTTAAAACCACTGCTGGAAGAAGATGGAGAAGTTCCAGAGAGTGGGGCAGAGAACAGTCTGAAAGCTCTTGTATTGATTGCAGGGCAGAGCACACGGGGGGCATGAAGCCAGGCCAGAGTTGGTGGAGCAAAGGAAGTGTTTGAAATTAAATTGAGTTATAATTTGACATTGGAGGAACTTTGCATTAAAGTTTCCTAACCACGGAACAAGCAGAAACTATTCTGGGGTTTATCCAATGTGGCAAATCTAACATCATTGTCTCAACCAGCGTGCCTGTGCACATGATGTTGTACAGTGTACTATTGCCTGTGTGGGCATATTATAATAATAATAATCCTTGCATTTGATATAGCGCTTTTCACATCTTCTCGACGTCTCAAAGCGCTTCACAGAATACACTGTAAAGTGAATTGACTGTATATTTGTGGGCGAACGCGGCAGCCAATTGCGCACAGCAATGTCCCACAAACAGTCGTAGATTGAAAATGACCAATTTATTATTGTTTTGGGTTTTGGAGGGATTATTATTAGGCTCTGTGTGGAGTAAGGAAACTTGCCCAAGGTTTCGCCCTGTGCCTGGAATTGAACCCAGGTGTCTCGCTTGCAAAGCGAGTGCTCTAACCGCTGAGCTACAGGACTCCACCTGTGGCTGGACTTCATTGCAACTGCAAGACATCAGGCGGAGAAGGATAGCGTGGGATACACAGGAGAAATCGGTCAATGTTAGAACGAGTTGAGAGAATAAATCTGCCAGATTCCAATTCCGGCGGTTTGTCTCCAATGCAAACCCCGCGAGACCTCCGCACTCTCCAGCGAATCCGCGGGAGACGGGATCAGGCTCCCGCTGTACCAAACGCGAGGGCTATCGGGGTTCGCGGGCGGGCGGCCGGGTGGCCGGGCGGCCGGGCCCGATTGACCGCCGCGTTCCCCCCGCGCCAGCGCGTACAGCCAATTCACGTCTCGCCGGCGCCCCCGCGCAAAGCGCCTTCGAGACCTCCGGACGACCTGACACGGCGCTGTAATCGCATTGCAAGGATTACCACTACCATCGTCGTCGTCATGGTGAATTATCATCAACAGTATTGTTATTATTATTATTATTATTAATATCAATACTAGTCCAGGGCAATAGGAACAGCCGACAATAATAAACAACAAGGAATCGGTCGCCACAGCCCTGCGCGCGCGTGGTGTTTAATTGCATACTCGAGGTGGGTTTGCTTCTGAGAGTGCAGCGCATCGCCCAGGACTCTGCCCGTCTCGTCCACCACCGCAGCGCCCGTCTCGTCACAGCTGGTCTCGATGCCCAGGACAGCCCTGGGCTGAGTGTGGAGCCGAGCCCGAGCCCGAGCCCGAGTGTCAGCCCGAGTGACAACCCGAGTGTCAGCCCGAGCCCGAGTGTCAGCCCGAGTGTCAGCCCGAGCCCGAGTGACAACCCGAGCGTCAGCCCGAGCGACAGCCCGAGCGGCCCCCAGCCCGAGCGCCGCCGCCAGATTGACAGCTCGGGCCCCGGGCGCCATGGCTACCGCGGGCCGCGCGACGTTCCAGCCGCGAGACCGCCTCTCCTCTGCGCGCTACACTGTTGCTGCAGCAGCGCTCTTCGCTACCGCTCTCCCCACCGGCACACACACAGCCTCTCCCACTTCTCTCTCTCTCTCACTCCCTCCCTCCTCCCCTCCCTCCTTCTCCCCCACTGCAAAACCTTTCCCCCCAGCTCCCCTGCCCGCAGCCTTTCAGTTCCGCCCCTGCAATGCATTCCGCCTCCAGAGGAAAACGTGTCTCTCTCTCTTTTCTCTCTCTCTCTCTCTCTCTCCCTCTCTTTGCAAGTTTCCTTCCTCGATTGCAGAAATAATGCAATGAAGAAATGGGGTGGGGGTGGGAGGGAAATGCAACTGCTTCGCAAAATGCTATTCATTCGTTCGTTCGTTCATTCGTTTCATTCATTCTGATGGTATTGGGGCATTTACACCGCTGATGTATCTGGAGGTTGTTGTTGTGAGTAACATTGTTTAAATACTCCTATTAATCTAAGCTATTAACATGGATAATAATATATTACTATTGCATACCTGGGTTGCATTGCATACTATTGCATTGATTCATATATTATGGCATTACGCTCTATATTCTGCTCCTTTTGTGTTCAAGCGCATGCAATAGGGGTCCACTAGATGGTGGTAATGTTTTAATGTGATTTGGAGTGTGTTTGTGTGCCAACTCAAATAGGTTACACTGTGCACAAGTGAACTAATGCAGTCGAATCCATACAGGGGCAGAATGCATTGCATAGGGAACTGCAATGCACATAAGCATAAACTGATGCATTCAGAATCAAATATAATTCCTTGATGTTTTGCTTTGCTTTTGTTGCTTTTTCTGTGGCTTTAGTTGACATAAAAGCTACTTTGCACTTTGTGTTCTTAACAATGTCCTTCTTTCAAAAGAAGTAAGTTTCCTTCCCCCCCCCCCCCCACACACACACACACACATTTGCCACCACTTGTTATGTCTGCAACTCAGTACTTTGGAATGGTGCCCATTCCAACCGACTGTACTGATGAGAAACTAAATATTTTGTGCAGAGTTAAACAAGGCTACGTGTCAGCTCACACAACACTGGCAAGAACATCAACATCATCTGACAACTCATGCTTACGTGTTTTTTGGCAAGGAGGGAGTGGGTCTTGAACCTGCATCTAAATAGAAGTCGAACCAAATAGAATCCATTCCAAAATGCTACCACGTTTGGGGGGGGGGGGGTTGTTTTGGAGGGGAATGTGAAGTTGGGTCAATGTTGGTTGATTAAACATTAGAATCGAAACGATTTTGATAGATTTAGGAGCGTCTTATGTCCAAGTATTGCATTAAGACGGTTTAGCCTTCGCATTCGTTTTTGTTTGGGGAGCAATACCTAGATAAAACGTGAGCTAGTATATACAACAACAACAACAAGATTTCATTTATAGAGCGCCTTTCACGTCGGGAGGACGTCCCAAGGCGCTGGACAGTTGGGTCAGGACCCGAGCAAGGGGGAAATGGTCAGGGTGAGGGGAGGGAAGGGAGGGAGCGAGGAGGGGGTAGAGAGTCGAGAGGGGAGCTGAAGGCTCAAGAAAAGTCTTGAGACCGGCCTTGAAGGAGGAAAGGGAGGAGGCGGCGAAGGCACTGGGGGATGGAGTTCCAGAGCCTCGGGGCTGAGAGGCTGAAGGCCCGGCCACCGATGGTAGGGTGGTTGGGGCGGGGGATGTGGAGCAGACCGGAGCCAGAGGAACGGAGGGTACGGGCAGGTAGGTAGGGGGATAGTAGGTCGGAGAGGTAGGAGGGAGCGAGGCCGTGAATGGCCTTGTAGGTGAGGATGAGGATCTTGAATTCGATCCTCTGGGGGATGGGGAGCCAGTGGAGGCGAGCGAGGGTGGGAGTGATGTGGTCGCGGTGTCTGGTGCGGGACAGTACACGAGCTGCAGAGTTCTGAATGACCTGCAGCTTGTGGAGGGAGGTGCCGGGAAGGCCGGCAAGGAGAGAGTTCCCATAGTCCAGCCTTGAGGTGATAAAGGCGTGGACCAGAGTTTCATCGAATAATCATATTCAGGAATCTCTTTGAAAACACTTCAGAGCTTTGTAAATACTGTATCTCTAATACAACTTAGCTGAGATCATGATTGATCTTCTGCCATTCCACTGGAATATAAACACTGCACTGCTAACCTCCCAGGGGAATCATATAAATTCATAAAGTATAAAAACCAATATCACAATATATATATGTTTGAAAATACTAATTACAAACAGAAGAGCACTCATCGCTCCAATAGGACAGCAAGTTTACTGACAGATATGGTCTGAGTATTAATAGTAATACTTGCATTTGATATGGCGCCTTTTCACATTGTTGAGACGTCTCAAAGCGCTTCACAGAATACTACTGTAAAGTGAATTGACTGCGTATTTTGTGGGCGAAACGTGGCAGCCAATTGTGCACAGCAGTGTCCCACGAACAGTCGTGGATTGAGCGCCCAAGCTATTTTAAGATAAAGGGAATATTATAAGCTAAACTGCACAAACCCAAGCACCATATCCCCTCGCAACAATTTCGGTTCCACTAATTACTGCCTGAAGCTAATAATGCCCACTTCTGTCCTATCATTGGTGTGAAAGGTCAACACTGCAAATAAAAAAAACAACTTCAAAAGTAAAACCATGTTGGGGTGGAGCCGAAGGTACATTTTCCTCTCGCTTCAAATAAAATAAGTAACCCTGTCGAGAATTTAGACCTTTCCTTTTTTTAAAAAAAAGAACTCAAATTTAAAAAAAATAAAAATGAACCAACCCACCCCCCCCCCCCCCCAAAAAAAAGTATGAACCTAAAAAAAAAAGTTTTAGAACAAAAAGTATGAACTACATCTCAATCTGAAACAGAGGACGACTATTTGGAACAAATGAGTCAGTTTTGGGGGTTGGAAGAATGTGCAGAGAGAGAGAGAGAGAGAGTTGCAGCTTCAGAAAGTAGGTTGTTGGAGGGACAGATTGTGTTGTTACACATCCTATGATGGGAGTTGGGTAGGTGATGCTTCAGACAGTTGCTTTAATATCATTTTAATGCAATATATTTAATCTCAGACGTCTACTGGGCTGTTGCATCGTTTGCCAGAAGAGGTGGTGCAGGTTAAGAGCTGCAACTGTGAGTCCCAGATCTCAGATCATCTGCCAATGTTTAAACCCACATTTTGCCTGAAGTTGGTTCCAGGGGATTTTTTTTTCTCTCTCTCTAAATGATTTACATTTGTGCCTCAAGCAACTGTTTGCTTTTCTTTTGAAACGTAATGCAACATTATTATTTTTTTTGGGGGGGGGTTAGCAAATGGCTACAGTACCTCGATACAATGTGAGTGAGTGTAATATACATTGAATTAGCCACATGTGAGAGCAACACTGTGAGAACCTTTCAGTCATTACGCAGGTCATTTCAGGAGCCTGACAACCAATGTAATGATTATAATAATCCTTGCATTTGATATAGCGCCTTATCACGTCTTCGAGACGTCTCAAAGCGCTTCACAGGATATACTGCAAAGTGAATTGACTGCATATTTAGTGGGCGAAACGTGGCAGCCAATTGCGCACAGCAGGGTCCCACAAAACAACAACAAATTGCATTTATAAAGTGTCCTTCACGTAGCGTAGCGTCTCGGAGCGCTTAACAGAAGCGGAGCCTGACCCCGAGGGTGGGTTGGGGTGGGAGGTGACCGTAAACACGGTCGAAGAGGAAGCTCTTCAACTTTGAGGAATTAGGATTAGTGGGACTTTAACGTTGCTTTTAATATAATTTATAATTCAGATAGTGTTGAAAGTAATTACGTACTGAAATAACTGACATGTTTTTAGCAGTTCCTCCTTTTATAGAATTTTGCACATAGTTTGTGGATATAGGCGGGAAATGTCTTCATGTTTCAGAGTGTATGAAAAGAATTGTAGTGGATAATCCTGTATTTATGATCTGGAATTTATTGTTATTAGATTGTTGCTATCTGAAAGCATTATTTTTTCTTGCCCTGTTGTCTATTTCATGTTTAACAGTAACACATTTGGCCCATCGAACCTTTGCTACTCTGCACTTAAACCTCAGTGCAAAAGTATACTGATGAAGATTAGTAACATTCGACCACAAATAAACAGTGACTCCATTTTACAGTATATTCAGAGAAGAGCTTTGAGACATCTGAACTACCTGAAAAGGCGCTGTATCAAATGCAAGGATTATTATTGTTATGAACACGCAGTTTATTTTGTAACATTTAGATTAATAAGTTTAGCTGCCAAACAACATGGAACGATCAACGCTTGTATTACCTATTTTGTAAACCAAACTACTAATATCCTTTCTCTGTTGTGGAAATGTGAACAACAACAACAACAAAAACCCTCCTCCTGGAACACAACTTCTAAGCACTATTAATAAAATGTTTCTCAGTCGAATCCTTTCTCTTGTCTGTCGCTTTTATTTAAAAGTAAGTTTCCCACATCTCAGTCTGTATACCATCATGTCCTCCCTATCTGATTTTTTTAAAGAGCAGTCCAATGTCCATTTGGAAACACTTGGCTTCCTTTTCAGACCTTGTAATTTATTGATGTGTAGATTGCACAGCTCAAATGTTTTAAATAAAAGGCCCTTTACCAACTGGTTAAACAGTTATTGTTGACTGGGAGCACAGCATATGCTTAAACATTAATTTTGTCCCAGTCAGCTATGTGAAAGGGTTTGAGATGTCCTCACAATGTGAAAGGCACTATATAAATGTAAATTGTTCTCGTTGCAAACTGAAGCTTTGCCTTAAAAGGACCAGCACAAAAATGTTGAAGAGGACAACCTTAAGAATCATTGCAATTTAATTTAAATCTTAAAAGTTTCAAGTCAAGTGGTTGAATCTCTAGCTCACAATTACCAAACCAGAAGTAAATGATTGATTTATTATCTATACTCATGAAAAAATAGAATAACTATAAACGGATAGATTGCAGTTGGGTCCTGTTTCTGCTTATCTTTTTTTNCCCTGTTGTGCTTAGCTTGTGACTCTCATAGTAATATATCTTTTCATTCTGATGTGGAAGGTATAAATGGAGCCACATTGCAAAAGGAGAAGAACCGAAGAAATGGACCCTTTCCCGTGGGAGATGATTCCAGTTCTTTCAGATGAGAAGTCGGGAGACGTTGAGCTGGTGGAAGCATATGCAGCCCCCATTTTTAATAAAAAAGAGACCTCTCGTCTAGTTAAATTGATGGCCAATATTTATCCACTGAATGATCTACCGCACATCAAGAGAGTTCGAGCTTGCGTGGACAAAGACTGTGATCATCCTTTGGAAATCCTCATTTGTCTGCGTAGCAGTGCGAGTATTGCAGATGTACCAGACAGAAAACCGTCTCTCATCGACTTATTGCCTAGTGGAATGGGTGACTGCAACAGCCTTGGACAACCCTTCCAGGTCACGATACCAGCTAAACAACCATTGACAAGACCTCAGTTTGAAGCAGCCAGCCAGCACTGGCCCACAGCCTTCCATGAAAACAAACAGGTGACCGAAGCCCTCAGAGGCCAGTTGTTTAACCCCGAAGAGAAAGCAAAGATGCAGATGTTTATGGGAAAAGCCATTGAAGCAGCAAGAGCAGGAAAGGAAATGGGGATGGAACCAGTAGGTGCTGTGATCGTTGACCCTGCTACCAACCAGATTATTGCGGTAGGCCACGACTGCAGAAATGGCCCAAATGCATTGCTTCATGCAGTTATGGTGTGCATTGATTTAGTTGCCCACGGGCAAGGTGGCGGTGCCTTTGATCATAATAAATATCCTAACTGCCTTTTTGTGTCCACAAAAGATTTATCTGAGGACAACAACGTAATAGACATTGGTAAACCTCTGATTCCTTCAGACCACCAAAATGCACCTGGTAGTGGAAAAGATTTGCCCTACATATGTACTGGGTATGATCTGTATGTTTCTAGAGAACCTTGTGTGATGTGCGCTATGGCGCTGGTCCATTCCAGAATACACAGGGTCTTTTATGCAACATCATCTCCTGATGGAGCCCTGGGAACGAAGTATAAAATACACACGAAAAAGGACCTTAATCATCATTATGAGGTTTTCAAAGGACTCATGGAAAAAGAATGCCAGCGACTTTTAGCCTAAACTGTAAGCAGCTATTTCAGTTGAACTGGTTTCCAAAAGTGGAACGAAATTTAGTTTGAATACAAATGTAATTTTAAAATGTATTTTTATTTTAAACATTATTTTATTTTGAATGGGCCATAAACGTTCACCATTATCCTTTTACTAAAATTTTTTAATAAAGACCTACTACAGTATCCTTTATATCCACACTCTGCATGTTTTTGTTAAAGAAAACATTAATATTGTCTGCAATAGTTCTGATATGTAAGCTAGATGTTGATATTAATCTTCATTAAACTGGAGTTGCTAAGGTAAAAATATTCCGAGTGTAAGGGACGTGTGATGCTTTTCCTTTTCTAACAAAAAGGTAAGCAGTCTGCACTTCAATTTGAACAATCCTTAGACAGTGTGTATTCTCGGTTACAGACGGAACAGCAACAAGTTCAGTCTAAAGGTATGAATATAATGGAACAGGAATTAATAATATTAATAATAATCCTTGCATTTGATATAGTGCTTTTCACGTCTTCTAGACGTCTTAAAGCGCTTCACAGAGCATACTGTAAAGTGAATTGACTGTATATTTGTGGGCGAAACGCGGCAGCCAATTGCGCACAGCAATGTCCCACAAACAGTCGTGGATTGAAGTGACCAATTTATTATTTTTTTTTCTTGAGGGATTATTATTAGGCGTGTAGAGTAAAGAAACTTGCCCAAGGTTTCACCCTATTGGGAATCAAACCCAGGTCTCTCCCTTGAGTGGCGAGTGCTTTAACTACTGAGCTACAGAACTCCACAAATATTCTAAGGAATTCTAAAATAGGCACAAAAGAGAGATCTTTTCTCTATCCCAAAAGTCGATGGACGCACCTCTGATAATTCAGCACTCACTAGACATTTCACTGGACTGTCAGTCTAGACTATTAATCCCAAAACCCAATTTTGGGCTGTGAGCTCACAACCTTCTAACCCAGAAGTGAGGGAGGAGCAATTCCAACTGAGCCACACGGACATCCTAAAATACTAGAAAATCAGCATTAGAGCGTAATCTTAACCAAAGCAGTTGTTTTCTTTAAAATAGGTAAGACATATTAAATGACTAAGAGCCTGAACAACAAACTCAATAACAAAAATCATTGTCGCATCTTAGGGATATCGATCAGATCCACGGGCATATCAAAGACTACCACATTTCACATCAGGCTGTCTCTGGTGACAATGTTGCTTCTCTGCAATGCGAGAGCTTTCTACTGTTAACTCGGCTTATGCACAGAAATTAGGACACCCATCATGGAAATGGCCTTGAGGGGAAATTGGCATTGTCAGACTTGCTGTACTTGACCCTGACTCAGGTGTCAATTATAGAATGACATTTATGGCTGTTTAATAAAGGATGTTGCCCAGATTTTTCTGCCCTCTCAGCTGAAATCATTTGAGTGCAATGAGTGTCACAAATTAAAGGGAGGTCAGGACATAAGAGAGGTATTAATGTTGAATTTCAAAGCGACTGCAAACTGAGGATTTTATGCTGATCATTTCGCAAGACCCGGTTCTATGTTACTACTAGTAATTTGTCGGCATTACATTGCATAATTATTTTGTTTTGTGAGGAAATCAAGCAGAACATTTGTTTTGTGACTAAATTATTGTACGAACACATCCATATCGAAATAGTCCAATACTTTAAACTATCTGACAAGGCACAATTTACTCGCAGCACTTGGAATACAGCAGCATTAATATTTCCAACTGCCTGAAGTATGACAAATTCAGCAGGATATGAAGATAGTGTGGTTCAGAATAAATTTATTTCTTCTTTTCCCCACAGCAAAATCTGTTGAATAATGAATAATACTGAGGGGAATGGATGAAATAGGATGATTAGATTTTGTTTGGTGTGATACATGGGAAAACCCATCAGTGTTTTCAAGAGTATCCTAACTAGATGGACTTCTGCATATGCATGCAACATACGCACAGAAATTTACCTTCATCTAGAATGGAATGCATCACCAGGAGCTTATTTGGCACAGGTTGATGAGGGCCAAGGCTTGGGGACTCAGAATGTACGTTGGGGTACTGCTGGAGTTTAACCAACTAAAACCACATGAACAACACCTTTAGATTCAAAGGTTGAGCACTTTTGAGATGTTCTTTTACATGAAAGGCATTGCAAGTTGCAATAGACAGAAGCAAAGGTCATTTACATTCACAGTGATATGTTTTCTCATTGTCCACATGAGCAAAGCAGCATGCTGATAAACACCTAATTTGTGAAGAATGGCCACTCTGTGCTTAAGGTCAGGATTTCTGCAAAATGTAGATTATCAGAGTGGATTTGAAAATACAGGATTTGAATTGCTGAATTGAGGATTATGCTCAGCAAAAATGTTTTGAGCGAACTGCAACCAAACTGATTACATTTCAAATTAATTATCTAATTAATTTCTGCTTCTGTTTGTAAGCAATGTTTTGCACCAAGTTAAATTTGCTCATTATTAGAAGGAACATTTGATGTTATTCCAACTTTATACTTATTGCTGTGCCTGGAATGCCTTTCTATACAAGGCATGAATGGCAGTTTGTAAACCCGCTGGATTTCGGTTCCTGTATTCGGTACAGAATACGTAAGGGATAATTTACTCTTTTTAGATATGTATTAGATGTTTTTATTTAATCTTGTTTATTGGACTAGCTAAAAATAAACTAGATTTTTAAAAAAACAAACGATGGAATAAATTGCTAGTGTTGGGAGCTTTTTCTCTCAGAAGTGATGCAGAGAAATATCCTGGACATAATTCGATGAAGGAGCAAATGGCACTAGTGTTATATACAAGATGACCCTTGGATTTCTGCCGCATTGAGCTACCTGGTGGGAGGCACAAGTTAAGAGATTGCCTTGATACTTGGGATTGTTATTAGGCAGTTAATACAAACCATCCATCACAGATGGAATATGCAGAGGGATGTTTTTGGAGGTGGAGATAAAGAACAGGCCTGCACCACTTTAATCAATCATGGTCGAGGTCTGGCAGCTAATTCCTCATCAGCGCTTCCACTCTTGTAGGCTGGGAGGGGATTTAAGTTCTAAAATAAGGAATGTTTACCAGCCATGTTTCTTCTCTGGCCCAACGCACTAAGATATTTAAAACTCCCCCCCACTGGTGAATGCACGGATTCCTCCATTTAAACTGATAACCAATGACCTACTGCCGTTACAGCTACCCAAGATAATGAATAGTAAACATCAGTGGAATCTCATGAGCCATATCTTGTAGCATCACAAATTCAAATGTATTGCATCACGCTGACAGTGTTAAGTGTTTGCTGGCCAAGATTTCTCATCTATAATCGGACTTGCAGTGTCTCTTATGCCTTGAGCAATCTTGTCACATGTAGCACATGGTTAAGATTGTTCAGGAATAGGGAGTAACAGTTGTAACAGTTAACATGAGCATATTGTAAACTGGAATATGCTGTAGAAAATCAGGGATGCATTTGCAACATTATGTACATAACATTATGTACATATCAATAAGATTGTAGCTTAAACTTCTGAAGCTCTTTTTAAAAGAATGCGACGACAAATACCATCCTGGGTGTGGAAACGAGAAGCAAACACGATATGGGAAACAGAAAGTAAAATGGAAGAAACACGAGTGACAAGAGAACATACATTTTTAAATCTTGGTATTCCGGCTCGACTACATTTAAGCGAGTCCTGAAGTTCTTTTGATTTTAATGAAGACAAACACAATTCAGTTAGACAAGCTTTTAGAGTACAACATTGTTTTTTGCCCATTGATTGAAGCAATTTTGTGGAATAAAGGCCATGTTATTTCTAAGGTCAAAATAGGTTTATCGTGGAAAGAATCAACTTCCCCAAAGTTGTTTTTTTTTAGTTGCATATAGAAGGAATATACAAATTATTTTGAAATACCCACTATACCAAATAAACTCATTGTCTCTAGTTTTTTTTAAAAAAAAGTTAATTTGTATGACCTTTGACCAATAATAATGCTACGTCTACTCAAATCTATATACATTTCACAAAAATAAACATCTAAAGAATATGTAAAGAACTTAAACTCATAACACATTTCTGGTCCATTGGCCTTTTGTTTTTTTCTTTGGTGAACTACTATATTATAATACAGAATGTTGACTCAACTAACATTTGTGCCTCTGCTAACCTGCACAAACTGATGAGGAGTGTCCCTTCCTTCTGCCCTTGTGGTTATGATGGGTTGGTAAAAACCAAGGTTAACACCCGTCGGTCACACAAATTGTCTATTTTTCTTACTCTATGTATAGTGTGAGATACACAGATACACTAAATATATTTATATATAAATATAGTAAAAGGAGCTGAGAGGGCAAGTAAATATTCCAAGGCTCCCACCAAATTCACCATACCGAGAGTGGGGTGGGGGGGGGTAGGGGAGATCAATAAAGATCACAAGTCAAGTCATTCGTCATTCAACCCACTAACCTACACCCAAATACTGTATCTCAAAGGTACGGAGGAGATGAGAAACCAAAGGTACCGACCATACACTTTTCTTTTTAAAAAGAATTCTTCTCAGGTAGGACCCAATTGTAGCACTACCCCATCCACCAATGCTACTTTGTGCCACTTGTTCTGAAATACCATTATAAAATATTGTTTTCTTACAGCAACAAAACATGCTATAAATATAAAGCAAGTTGTCCATTGCAATACCATTTGTGTACAACACAATTGTAACAAATTTGCAACTGTGTTACTCATGTCATCAAGCAGGTTCACTGTTTTCTTAGAATAAAACATTACTAGGACAGCAGCTTGTATCTACTACATTTTCCCAAGCAACTAAATGTTCCACCAATTAAACCCACATTTATAGTTGCTTGATAAAAGGGAAGCCATATATAAATCTCGCTAGTGTAACTCATACAAATGGGTTACATTAGCTTGAATGAAATAAGTAGCATTTAGGTTATGATTTTCCACAAAATCCCATCCTGTACCTTAATTTACTTAATCCATATTGGAAAACAGAAAAGTAACAGTACACATATACTCAACACCCAAAGCAACAAATCTTCATGTATAAAACTCAAAACTGCCTTCCATCTTGCACTGATGGGTGTTGCTTCATTCTTCTGTACCTCATGTAGTAAGCAAAAACGCTTTTCAATGTCCTTAAGTGTCCAAAGTCACTGCAATTCCACTCAACATCCTTCTGTAATAATACACTCGTGCCAGTCTTAAAGCCACGTTTGACAATTTCTTCAGTACAATGAAGCGAGTTCCAATTTCAGAGCTGGGCCTGCCCAGTTTCTTATGGGAAGCTTTAACAGTATTTAGCATATCTACCTGCTCCAATTACCAGATTCCATTAGTCGTCTCCTTTAAAAACAAATCAACATACAAATGCATTTTGAAATGGATACTAAACAATGAAAATGGCATTAAAATATAGACTGCTCGGTACACCCCAGTTACAGTTAACAGGACAGTAGATTACCAGTTTTGTCTTCCCAGTAACATAAAGCTAGCTAAAACATTTGGACCATGAGAGTTTAGCTGTGATGTCTTCCAAATTAGTATTTATTGATTCCAAAGATTCGAACTCCATGCAGTTGAGGCAGCTTGGGAATCAACACAGTCAAGAGAGATGCTGTATTGACGATAAAATGTGTCGGATCATATTTAGTGTAAAAACTGGCCAGGAAATACCTGCAAGAATAAAAATTATATTTAGCAAATTCAAACAATTATAAAAGATGCAAAGCACTTTCTTTGAAACCAACACTATTTAACAAAGATCTTTATGGCGTGCATTCTGAAGCATTTGCAAATGACCTGCATTTGTCCTGAAACTGCCCTCACGTGTGTATGATACACAAGCTTTGCGAGAAGACAATCAATCAAAAAATCCTATTAAATGTGTGCGAGAGTGTGTTATATATAAAAATGCGTGACATCAAGTGGCCGCGAATATTATTAAGGGGCTGCTGATCCTTGTCCTCACTTGTCAGAGCCCTCCACGATCTTGCTCCTCTCTACCTCTATGACCCTCTCCATTGGCGGTCAGACCTTCAGCCTTTCTGCACCCACGGACCTCCATCCCTTTGCCTTGCCCACTCCCTTGCCTTATTCAAGGCCCGTCTCAAGACCTTCCTCTTTGACCGTGCCTTCAGTCATCCTCCCACCCCCATCCCCGTTTCCCCACCCGTCTTAATTCCAACCCCCAGCTCGCGTGCAAACCCTTGGGATGCCTTGGGACGTCATCCCGACATGAAAGGCGCTATCTAAATGCAATTTGTTGTTGTTTGCTTTGTAAAGCAGTAAGGCTCCTAAACCCTCTTTATGTGCTCAAACCTCAGAATATCCCTACAACACACACACCACAGTCACGTATGAGATAGTGAGGAAGCCGGTGATCTATTTCTACACTTTTACGAATGCCACTTGCCTCAGTGCAGTAACTTGCCTCCGGAGTCCTTATGGCAGTTTTGCAAATGGGTACAAGCTACGGTAAATCACTTCACAACATAGTAAATTGTAGTAAGTTACAGCAAACTGATGATAGAAAACAGAAACAATTTATTCTTACAGAATAATGGGTGAGATGGTAAGGAATTTTCTGGAGGATGTAAACTGGACTCCATAATCCAACTGTTCCCAGTGTGTCAAAAGTCTAGCTTTGCCCTGGTCAGGGGTTTCGAAAGGTGTCCCTTTAACTGCATGCAAGAACACATACATTCCCTGCAGATAAAAATGATAAGAGGATATAGTCAATACAAAAAAAAACTCCCTAAACCAATTTACAACTATATTAGCAATTTTCACAAGCAGATCTGTAACATTTGGAGGAAAAACTTGAGATGCAATGAGAAAGAAAATATCAAGCCTGTTGTTAGTTCCCCACAGTAGCTGTGAAATTAATGTTTTAGGAGGAAAAGCAAACTCGTTGACATAATTTATAATTTTTTAAAAAATAAAGTGGTATCTTTCAACTTGATTATTATTCTCTACATTTTTGCTCATCTTTGCATTTGATATAACACCTTATCAGTCATTGAGACGTCTCAAATTGCTTCACAGAATATATTGTAACCTGAATTGACTGGAATAGCACTGTGGGCACGTGCTCAATATGAAAACCAACCATTCCAGAGAAATGCACCACCTTGGAAGTGTTAAAACTAAACATCTTTCAGACATCACACAAGCACAACAGTCCATAACTTACTTTCCATCTGGTATGTTTAGGATTTTAAAATCATCACCAACAGTTTTCTTTATTCCCATTAACATTTCATAACCTTCCCATCTATTGCCACCTTTTCATCTATGGCTCCAATCCCAGCTTTCTATCTCAGTGCAGCAATTTTTTAAAAAATCCTTAAAACAAAACAAGCTTTGGGATGGAATGCGAAACCTTTGTTTTGTGTGTGAGAATTATCATCATTAACGCATTTTAACCTCAGGACTGGCAATGTTAATGAATTATCCCACTGCACCAATTTAGATCCTAAGCAATTGCACAAAAAAANTTCATGTGGGGTCATTTCCCCTTCCCAGGATGAAGTCATCTCTATAAGAAGCCAACAGGAACCACTTGTTAAAGATTCGGTTTTCTGTTTAACTCATGAATTGTTAAAAGAAAAGTGATCCCTGAGCAGAATGATAGTGACAACTCAACACCATTACTTTTCTGTTGAGGCTTACTAACTCTCTCAGGTTTTTCAGGTGACAGGTTCCTACAGGTAACTAGTTTGGATATTTCACTATCTCTGCAAGGCTGTTATAGTTTCTTCTCCATATTCTGGTATACAAGAAAGGCCTAAGTAAATCATGTGCATAGTCACAGTACAACCACAGTTTCTGCCTTGAAACTCCAGTGTACAGCATCTGCTTGAAATGATTTACAAGCTTAACATAGTGGTGATTAAATATCTAATCAGATTACACACCCAATTTTTGCTGCATTGATATTCAGGATCGATTCGCTTCAGTGCAGATGTAAATATCTAGGGCTGTAGAAGCTGCACTATTTCTATTGCAGTTTATAAAGAATCTTGTCTACCGTTAATCAATTGTGTGTTTATTGTTAATCAATTGTGTGCCGGCAAGGGATCACTGCTTTAATCAAAGGCTTGAAGGACCACGTACAGACCAGCACCGGCAAAACAGTTTTACTGGTCGATGTAGGTTAGAATTGAGCAGTTCAGGCCCTTTGCAGTGTACAGACAGTCACCTCTACGTCTTATGATGGTGGAGTGTTTTTGTTTTAAAAGCAGTGCATCAATGAATACCATCACCACTGCTTTAATCAGCACTTGCAACAGCTTCTTTGCCATTGACTCTGGGGCTGCTCTTCATGGCACAGTAAATGGGTCAAAAGAAAACTGCTTTGGGCCCTACAGTAAAATGCAAAGCATTCAGCATTTGAAAAAACCCAAAGGTTTGAAATCCCAAACTCTTTCTAATGGCTTCATAAATAGCAGTCGACAATTGAAGACCAAATACTCACCAAGTTGTGGATCACATTTGTTAACGTCCACACAACCGGAACTGTGAAGAAGGGGATACTGAGAAGTACTATGTGAAGCATCCCAACTCCAAGTGCATACGTGAGCCATATTCCACGGCTGTTCATTACTCTTGTGTTGGGATTGACTTCACTGTGTGCCACTCCGACGTTCATCTTTCCGTCTAGAAAGAGATGAGGAAAAGCCAAGATTAAAAAACAAATCACATTTTGCGCTTTGAATTCAGGGCAAAAGACCACAGATCAGTGAACTGGTAGAGAATGACTACTCCGAACCATATTTCACTTGCAACATTGAAGAGATAGCTAAATATCTTTGAACAAGTTCATAACTGCAACAGCACAGCAAGAGTTTCCATAAACATAACAGTGTTTTACTTAACAGGTATTCGCGGGAAGACAAGAGAGAAAGGAAGGATCTAGAATTATAGCAGCCTCTATGATTCAACCATAGAATTTTATAGGACAGAATGAGGCATTCAGTTAATCATGTCAGTACTAGTTTTCTGAAAGTCGTAGCCATTCAGACCTAATCACCTTTTTAAAATGTTTCTTTTTCATATATTTATCCAAATCTTTTTAAAAAGCAATTATGGATTCTCCCTCAAATACCATTTCTGATACATTAGTATCTGAAAGTATTCAATTCAAGAACTTTCTTGGTTTACTTTAACAACTGCGTAGTAATCTGGAGAATTTAACTGCATTATTCAACAACAAATTCCATTTGTATAGCGCCTTTCACTATCCGCACCCAAATTGCTGGTTGGGACCAGGAGGGGTCGAGAGCGGGGAGGGTTGGGAGGTGACCGAAGACACGGCTGAATAGGAGTGTATTCAGATGGACCTTGAAGGAGTCAAGGGATTCACTCGTAACAGAACAAGAAACCACGTGCAGAGTCCAAACTGTAGGAAAACATTTTAGCAGTGAAAGTTTAAGTGCAGCAACAGGACAACATAAGAAACACTAACTGGATTATCTTCAGGCAAATCTCTTCAGTCTAAGGCTTGAAATAGATCGACTCAACTAAAGTATTTACATTAATGTGTGCCCTTTGTAAATCAATACAGAGGGAAGGTAGGAAATAATTCAAGAACCATGTCCTCAAAAGGCAAAGATCAGCTGAAATCCATCATTCCCTTCTCCCCTCCCCCTCCAAAAAAAATGCACAATCCTTGCATACTATCCAGAGAGATGACAAGGTGGATTGATCATGGCAATATCAGACCATCAGCACTGAAAGTTCACAGGCATTTTCTTTCTTAGAAGGCTGAGCCAAGTCGTGTCAGCAAGTTTAAAAAAAAACGACGTTGGAGAGGGGAAAACAAGTTGTTGGTTACAAATTGTTGCTTATAATCAACACTCTAGTAATATTCCTTGTACCAAGAACTATTTCTGAGTGGTCACCATACACAATTACAGTACACCTAAGATTAATAAAATGTTAATTTCGACCAGGTCACTGATTAACCAGAGAGGTGACAAGCTATATCTACAGTAAATAATGGACTCTTACCGCTTTCCAATTTTCCCGTGGATGGACAAGCTTGTGAGTCATTCTCACTGTTGCAATCTCACTGAATGCAGCTGTTATGAATTAACCCAAGTCTTTTAAATTATACCGCACTTGAGTAAATGTAGAGTAGATCCCCCAATTTTTCTGTACTTAAGATTACAATTTGAGCCTGCAGGAAATTATATTGCAGGGAAGAGGCAATGTGCTAATTTATGAAACGAGTAGCTAGTTTTGCTGGTCACTGGTTTCAAAATGTTGCGTTTATAATAATAATAATCCTTGCATTTGATATAGCGCCTTATCACGTCTTCTAGACGTTCTCAAAGCGCTTCACAGAACAGACTGTAAAGTGAATTGACTGTATATTTGTGGGTGAAACGCGGCAGCCAATTGCGCACAGCAGCGTCCCACACACAGCCGTGGATTAAAGTGACCAATCTTTTGTTATTTTTGAAGGATTATTACCAGGCGTGTGGAGTAAGGAAACTTGGCCAAGGTTTTCGCCCTGGCCTGGAATCGAACGCTTGTGAGGCGAGCGCTCCAACCACGGAGCTCCAGCACTCCATTTGAACAACGATGGCAAATATTTGCTGAATTATGTAAATTTTATACGGCCGTTATATTTCTTAAACCTTGTCAGTCCAAGTTAAAACTAAGAATAACAAAGCTAACCCAACTAATAGCAAAACCAGATATTAACCTAGTTATTCAAGACTGGATTGCATTAAGTGGTTACTTACATTGAACCCAAATATTTTACGTAAGACGAGGGCTTAAAAATAAGCTGATTAAACACACAAGTATTGCTCAAGACATCTAATACAATGTTGCACTTACTGCAAAGGGTGAGGGAGTGATCGTGCAAAAAAGGAAAAATAAAAAAAATACCACTACAAATATCATTTCGACTCTTCTGCAGTTGCACTTACTGCAAAGGGTGAGGGAGTGATGGTGCAAAAACAGGAGAAGGATCAAAAAAAACAATACCACTACCGATGGCATTTCGACTTTCCTGCAGTTCAGTGGGTAACGATCGATCATAAAAGGTAACAAACAGATCCATCGCTTTAATCCGAGTTCTAAGAAAGATGCAAAGGATTGTGCAAAGGGAAAAGAGGTTTCAGAGCCACACACACACAAACACACACAAAAAAAATGCATCTTGTGGGCAACCTCCACAAAGCAGGACAAAGGACCTGGACGTGTTAAAAGATTTTTTTTCCTCCCCCCCTCCTCCCCTCCTCTATATTTCATTGCATTTCACCGCATCGAGAACCAGTGGCACTTCCAGTGCTTCACCTTTGTCTGTGTTGTTGCATCGCTCTCCTTAATCTGCAGATTAGTGAACCGTCGCAATCTGCTCCAAACCGTACAAAGTGCAGAGGCCACACACACACACACACACACTCGGGGGGGGAGGGGTTTTTTTCTGCAGAAGAGGTCGATTCCGATCAAGAATTGTTTGACATTTGCAACGTAAGAGCACGTAACGTGAGCCAAAGCCAGTGAGCCACAGGCTGGTCAGCCTCACTGATATACCCCCTCCTCCTCCTCCTCTCCCCTCCCCCCTCCTCCTCCACCCTCCCCTCCTCCTCCTCCTCTCCCCCCCCTCCTCCTCTCCCCTCCTCCTCTCCCCCCCCTCCTCCTCTCCCCCCCCTCCTCCTCTCCCCTCCTCCTCTCCCCCCCCCTCCTCCTCTCCCCTCCTCCTCTCCCCTCTCCCTCCTCCTCTCCCCTCTCCCTTCTCCCCCCCCCCTCCTCCTCCTCCTCTCCCCTCCCCCCTCCTCCTCCACCCTCCCCTCCTCCTCTCCCCTCCTCCACCCTCCCCTCCTCTTCCACCCCCTCCTTTCCCCTCTCCCTCCTCCTCCACCCTCCCCCTCCACTCCTCTCCCCCTCCACTCTCCCCTCCTTTCCTTCTCCCCTCCCCCTCTCCCCCACCCCTCCCTCCCCTCCCCTCCCCTCCCAGAGAGTACGCTGAACCGAACCCCGACGTGTGCACCATAAGCCCAGGTTCGCCATTTAAGGTATAGCTCCTGGTCCCGCACTGACTGACTGACTGACTGACTCACTAGGCCACAGGCGAGAGGTGTTGGGGGGGAGACCCGCAACGCAGCAAACCAGAGAGGGCTGTTTTACGGCTAATCCGCGGTGCATCCAACAGTCGAAAGGGTTACCACTGGAGATGGGGGGTGGGGGGGGGGGAGAGGGAGGGTGGAGGGGGGGGGTTGTGGAGGAGGAGTGGGGGTTGTAGAGGTGGGGTGGGGGGGCTGTGGGGGGGGGAGTTGTGGAGGAAGGGGGGTTGTGGAGGGGGGGTGGGGGGGTTGTGGAGGGGGGGGTTGTGGAGCTTGTGGAGGGGGGGTGTGGGGGGGGTTGTGGAGGGGGGGTTGTGGAGGGGGGTGGGGGGGCTTGTGGATGGGGGGGTTGTGGGGGGTTGTGGGGGGGGGGGTGGAGGGGGGTTGTGGGGGGGGATGTGGAGGGGGGGTTGTTGGGGGGGGGGTTGTGGGGGGGGGGTTGTGGGGGGGGTTGTGGAGGGGGGGGTGTTGTGGAGTGGGGGGTAGATGTGTGTGTGTGTGTGAGCTCAGCTGCAGCCTTACCAGTGGGGGGGGCGGGAGGGCGGCGGGAGCTCCGGGGATTGCCTGCGTTCCACGGGATTGTTACAAAGTTACTGAGCGCCTCAACCCCCCGCCCCCCCCCGCGCGCGCGCGCGAGAGCGGAAGCATTGCATTGTGACGCAACGTGAGTGACAGAGGCAGCGTCCACTCGCGGCCAATCGGCGGCAGGCGGCCCCTCCCCCCCATTGTTACCCCCTCCTCTCGCCCCGCCCACTCCACCACCAGCGCGCGGAACGGGGGCGGGACTTCCCGACCGGGATTCCCCTCCTCTGGACGTTCATGTGGTCGCGTGTCTGTCTGTGTCCCCCCCACAGCGCTGCTCATAGTGTGGGTGCTCAGAGCTGCTGTCCACCACCGCTCTCACCCCGGGGAGGGACCTGACAGCCACACGGTCGGTGCCTTGTTTCAACATCTGCCTCCTGCCCCCCCCCCTCGCCTTCCTCCACCCCCCAACCCCCCCTCCCCCAACCCACCCCCCTCCCCCCCCAACCCACCCCCCCTCCCCCCCAACCCACCCCCCACTTCCCCCCCAACCCACCCCCCTCCCCCAACCCCACTTCCCCCCCAACCCCCACTTCCCCCCCCAACCCCCACTTCCCCCCCCCCCCAACGCCCCCCTCCCACCCAACCCCACTTCCCCCCCAACCCACCCCCCCTCCCCCCCCAACTCCCCCCCCCCCCCAACCCCCACTCTCCAAGGTTCGGTCTTCACTCCTTCAAGGGTTGGCTGGGGTTGAGGCCGTGCCGTGCCCCAGGGCGGTTGGTTACGGCCATTTGGACTGTTGGGATCAGGCGGTGAAGGTTAATAATAATAATAATAATAATAGGTTGTTCAAATGTCTGGGTTTTCGAGAGGCGCCGGTGTGGCGCGTCACCGGGCCACACGGTCCCAGGAGTCCGTTACAGAGAACTCCCAGAATCTACAGGGCCAATCCTTGTGGAATTTAGCGATAATAATAATCCTGGCGTTTGATACAAAAAAAAGGAATGATAGTTTGGTCGCTCAGTCCGCGGCTGTTTGTGGGACACTACTGTGCGCAATTTGCTGCTGCGTTTTGCCCACAAAATATACTCACTTTACAGTATATTCTGTGAAGCGCTTTGAGACGTCTCAACAATGTGATAAGGCACTATATCAAATGCCAGGCATTATTATTATTGTATAAGTGTCTCTTCACATTGCCTATGTCTCAAAGCACTTCACAGGATATACCACAAAGTGATTGTGTAATTGTAGGTTGTGGTTGTGTATTTGTAGGCGAATGCTTTAATGCGTCAGAGACTTGTTTATGTGTATGGTAAACTCAACACATTGTGTAAAGAGAAATTTTTAAGATAAATTAAAATGGAAATTCATCATACACTGGGAATTAATGAACATAATTATAAAATTTCAGAAGTTTGGGATGTCTCCTACAAGTGGAAAAAACAGTATATTTTATCTATGTACCCCCTAGATGATAATTTTGGGTACAAAGCAGATTATAATATGGGCAGATTTTGGATTTAGTATCAAATCCCTGTTGGATTTGCACAATCAAATAGGGATAGCATCAGTAACTTTGATAGATAATATACTTGTTTAATTTCCTGTACCTCCATTGTTGTGTCTGATAGCTTCCTGCTGTCTTTCTGCAGAGAAAGCACAATGTAAATATTTAATTAGATTAATATTTCAGTAATGATATAAATCATAGATGTTTGTCATCCATATTAGCTTTTGACATCCGATCCCAAGTGTTTGATGTACATATCTTTCCAGCGCCTTGGGATATCCTACGGATGTGAAAAGGCTGTATAAATGCAATTTGTTGATGTTGTTATTCTTAAAACATGCACATGCTGATATCCTAGCAGTTCACATAGTTAGTTGACCAGAACATTTTCCAAGCTAGCTATTCAGATCAATTGTACACAAGTTTTAATATGCTATAATTGACTATGGGGATAGGCTGAGGTAGTGGGATTGAATGGATAACTTGCTCTGAGAGCTGATGCAGACTCAGTTGGCCGAATGCCCTTCTCCTGTGTTGGAAATTTCTACAATACTTTGCCATAGATGCTGGTTCTAGATTATTACCGAGTGAGAGATGATTTGGTGATTAATGCCTATGATTCAGTAGTGTATATAATAGAACGGTCACTAGAATTGTTTTGTTTCTAACAATTTTGATTTGGTTTTAAAGTTGTTGATTGCAAGATTGACATCAAGATTAGATTGAAAATAATTAATAATAATAACAATAATCCTCGTATTTGATATAGCTCCTTGTCACATCATTGAGACGCCTCAAAGCGCTTCACAGAATATATTGCAAAGTGGATTGACTGTATTTTGTGGGTGAAACGCGGCAACCAATTGCACATAGCAGTGTCCACAAACATACGTGGATTGAGTGAGTTTTTTTGAGGAATTATTACCTCCGGAAAGCGATCCACCAACAACAACAAAATTATATTTGTATAGCAGCCTTTACATCGGGAGGATGTCCCAAGGCGTTGGACAATCAATGTTTCGGACCCGAGCTGGGGGGTCGGGATCTGGGATGGTGGAGGACAGAAGGAGGGTGATAAAAAGCATGGTCAAGAAGGAGGGTCTTGAGACAGGTCTTGAAGGAGGCATGGGAGGGGTCAAGGCGGAGAGACTGCGTGATAGAGTTCCAGAGAGTGGGGGCAGAATGGCAGAAGGTCTGCCGGCCAATGGTGGAGCGTGCGAGACGGGGGACATGAAGCAGGTCAGAGCCCGCTGAGTGGAGGGAGGGTAGGGGGTTAGGAAGTCGCATAGGTAGGGGGGAGCAAGGCCATGGAGGGCTTTGAAGGTGAGGACCAGGATCTTGAACTGTATCCTCTGTGTGATGGGAAGCCAGTGGAGTCGGGCGATGGTGGGGGTGATAGGGTCACAGAGCCTAATGCTGGAGAGAACATGGCTGCAGAGTTCTGGATGATCTGCAGCCTATGGAGGGAGGAGTTGGGGAGGCCGACAAGCAGGGAGTTTGCATAGTCAAGCCTGGAGGTTATGAATGCGTGTATGATGGTCTCGGCGGCCTGCGGTGTGAGACAGTGGCGGAGCCGGGCGATGTTGTGGAGGTGGGGGAAGGCAGAGCGGGTCATGGTATGGATGTTGGGTAGAAAGGATAGTTGAGAGTCAAAGACAACGCCAAGGTTCTGGACTGGCTCAGAGAGGTGGAGTGTGCAACCATGGATGGTGATGGTGTCAGCGCCTGAGGTGAAGAGACGCTGACGGAAGCCAATCAGGAGGGCCTCTGTCTTGTTGACGTTCAACTGTAGAAAGTTAGCTCTCATCCAGGATTTGATGTCTGAGTCAACGGTGGAGACAGAGAGATAGAGTTGGGTCTCATCCGCATACACATGGAAGTTGACCCCGTGTCTGCGGATGATGTCACCAAGAGGGAGCATGTAGATATTGAAGAGGAGGGGACCAAGGACAGAGCCCTGAGGAAATGTAGTATGATCATTTGCAATATTTGTGCTTTTGGAGTGTTTGGAACAATACTGTCTGTGGCGTTATGCTTTAACTGTGGGAAAGTGACATTGATGCTTTCTCCTCATAGATCCCAATTTAAATTCTTTAAATTCCCAATTCTTTGACAATGCGAATTGACTAACTTAGCAAAAAAAAACATATCTAATCATCTGTGGTGTAAACTGCTTTGAAATAGCAGCTGCTGATATAGAAAAAAATAGCTTTTGCAAACTATGTTTTGATATTAATGTCAGCATTTGTACAGATTGTGCTAATGTCTTCTGTATTTTATCTTTGGGTTTTCGCTGTCTTTAAGTTGATCTTGCAAAATGAACTTGCAGAGACCAAAGGAACCATTACTGAAATTATTCCTTATTCCAGCATTACGTATGAATGCAATATTTAAAAAAAAAGAAACCTGAAATCTGTTTGGGGATGTGGGTGGGGGGCAGGAAGGAGGCTTATGTATTTTTGGACCAAGTTTTTGTTCGCAGCAGCAGAGAGAGGGAGAGCTGTGATGGAAATAGATAGTACAGAGAGCGCTATACAAATGTAATTTGTTGTTTTGCTGTAGAAGAAGACCTAAGTGTAAGGGTGTCCAAATTGTAACTCTGTGTAGCAAACGTGGTCAGTGGATAAGGCAGATTAAACAAAAAGGAAGCAAATGTACTCATTTCTGTCTGATTTTTTTTTGGAGGCATCTCTTCAGAAGTCTTTATAGCCAATATATCTTGTTACAGACCTGAGCTGGTTTAGCAAGGGAATTATGCAACATCTGCCACCAGAGACCATACGACTTCTTTCAAGCTCCCAGACAATATCCTCTGTTGTCAGTGTAGTTAAGGAGCTGGTGGAAAACTCTTTGGATGCTAACGCAACCAACATCGAAGTGAAATTAGTAAGTAATTAGTGCTTTTATTTTCTCATCAAAACTTCATTTCTGTGTTCAGGTTAGGAGAGGTTGTGTTCTGTTTGGGTCAGGGTGAAGTGAAATGTGATCGCCACAAGCTCAGGTAGCAGATAGATTGCGCAAATCAGTTCACTTGTTGACATTTGAGTACAACCTGACACGAGAAGGATTGTATTCGGTGTTCATAACAAAACTGTAATCATCACAAAACTATTTCTGAAACTCTTGTAAACAATATTTACAGGGAATAAATCTCTATAAGGTTTATGCAAACAGCAGAATAAATATCATTTTTGGCATACTAACATACATATTGTTGATCATATATATATATACTGTTTGAACATCAAACTTACAGTCCTCCTAAAGGTCAGAGCCAACTAACTCAACAGCTAGAGATTTGCGACCATTTATGAAAGACACCAACCACTGTATTTACAGTTACTCCTTTTCTGTGGGTACTAGCAGTCACTCGTATTACTTTCCAGTCCAAGCGCAGCAACAAAGATTGTTAAATAGAACGTTTGCTCACAATGTGCTGTGGTTTATTTATTGTTAACTGAATAATTTGGCAAGATACATACTGGCATTTCAGTTTTTTAATTTCATTCAGATTTGGATATTGTGAGTTTTAATGCTTAAAATCTGAGGAAGTTCAAGCTTGGTTCCATTTACTAGATTTGAAAAGGGCTTGGCTTTAGTCTGTCAGGAACCTAATTTGCATCTATAATGCTTCGACTACCTTACATCATTTGTGACTCAATAACTCTATCTTTTGAACTTTTGCAGGAAAATAACGGGTTTGACAAGATAGAGGTGAGAGACAATGGAGATGGGATCAAAGCCATTGATGTCCCTGTCATGGGACTGAAGCATTACACATCTAAAATCAGCCAGCACGAGGACTTGGAAACTCTACAAACATATGGATTTCGTGGAGAGGCCTTGTGCTGCATCTGTGGTGTATCAGGGGTAAATGATTCAACTGCTCATCTCCTAAACTCCTGAGGTCACTCATCCCACCACATTCTCATCGTCTTGGTGGCATTCAGGATGCGAATAAAAATAATTTCTCTTGCGGTCGGGCAATGTAGTGTGTTCAATTGCCTATGTTTGGTGCCACACAGTGGTGGGATTCAGATTTGTTCTTTTTATTTCCACTAATAATTGTTGAGACGTCTCAAAACACTTCACAGAATATACTGTAAAGTGAATTGACTGTGTAGTTTGTGGCGAAACGTGTCAGCCAATTGCACACAGCAGTGTCCCACAAACAAACAGTCGTGGATTGAGTGACCAATTTATTATTTATTTTGAAGGAATTATTACCCCCAGAAAAGCGATCCGCCAATTCACTAACAACCGGGTTCCTACTTACTGTCAGGTAAACAGAGGCGTGTGGAGTAAGGAGACTTGCCCAATGTTTTGCCCTGCCGGGAATTGAACCCAGGTCCTCTTGCTTGCGAGGCGAGAGTGTTGTAAGCTTCTGATCTTTGCTGTGTTTCAGCTAGGAGGGACCATGCAGAGGTCTGGTGTCTTCCTGCGGGGAAGAGACAAATTCAGTCTTTACTGGATTGCTCTTGCATGCCTAGGATAAGACATTTCTAGATGATTTGTGAGGGGCTTGTGAGAGGAGAAAGGGGGTAACATACTATGAAAAGGTAAATTCTGACCTTCCTCATTAGATATTGCTTCCCTGGTGTTTAGGCTCATTTTCTGATCCAGAGACTAGGTATGAAAACTGCTTTAATGGTCTGTTTCTGATGCTGCCATTGAATAAGTTTGTCCTGAGATCTCCCCTAGTTAGTTCCTGACTTCAGGGGGCCCCACTGGGAAGCAGGTAATATTCAAAGGCAGATTTCATATCTAATCACAGATTTCTAAGTGACTACTTTCATAAGGATTTTAGAGGTTAAAGGAAGAGTGATGGCTTGTTGGAAATGCATTCTTTCAGATATATGTTAAATTGAGGATCATTCTGCCCGCTTCTCAAGTGAATGTTAAAAGAACTTTTTTTTTCCTGATTTTTTGGGGGGGATTTTTTCCAATTCTCCGGCCACAATCTTGCTGATGAATTGGCCATTCTTGGCTGTTTATGGGACCTTTCTGTGCAAATGGCAGCATCGTTTACCAACAAAAACAGCCTCCAGACGACAGGAATTACTTGCGAAATACATAGAGGCATTTCAACATAAAGGCAGGCTATTCCTCTTCCGTGAAGGAAATAATAAAACTGCACTTTGCTTCTCGACAGATTATCATCACAACTAAGACCGCTGATGATGAAGTGAGTACACAGTATACTTTGGACAACATCGGACATGTCGTTTCACAGAAACCTTCTCATATGGGACAAGGTAATCTAACGTATTTGTTATCTGAGGGAATATAAGAGGGCGCATGTACATGGGAGTTTTCTTGCTTTCAGTGTTAAAATATGTTACATTTTTCTGTAGGGTTCGGACCTCAACGTTGGAGCTTCAATAACTGCAGCAAAGTTTGAAAAAAAATGAAACCTTTATGTAGGAATACATTGTGGAAGCCATACATGTAGAATTTGTTGCGATGTTTAAAAGGGAGAATAGATAGTTGAGAAGTAAGGGTTGCAGAGAAAGTGTGTGGTAATAGAATTAAAAGTTTAAGGAGCTGATATGATCTAATAAATGGTGGAGCAAGCTTGATGAGCTTATTGTCTTATAGCAGCACATTTGTGGCTGCAATAATAGGAGAATAGCTTCTTTTAGAAATTCCGCTCAGACATCAATAAGAGACTTCATCAATCAATATTGATGGAGAATGGACATAGTCAATGGGAAAATGGGGAAGGAAGGACTTTTTGGATTTCCATAGAAAGACATTTCTTGGAAGTAGTAAAAAGACAATGGAAATATGTAGGGAAATGTCTAACTAATAAATATCAGAAGTTGATTCTTTCCCTCAATGTAAAACATTGAAGGCCACTTTTAGCATGGCAAATGCATTGATGACAGAATTTCCGTGATCTGTATTATTTGAAAAGAATGAATTCATCATCTCTCCAGTATTGATATCATTTTATGTGTCGGTTGGTGTTTTCTGCTTATATAGGAACAACTGTGACTGTTCTAAGACTTTTTAAGAACATCCCTGTGAGGAAACAGTTTTATTCCACTGCCAAAAAATGCAAAGAGGAACTGAAGAAAATTCAAGACCTCCTCATGGCATATAGTATAATAAAACCAGAGCTCAGGATCGTTTTCACACATAATAAGGTACGGAAACCTCATTTGTTCTTTTTAAAATTCATGTGTGTATATTTTTTTAAAAACAATATCAGTGGAACAATGATAAGCTTGTCACAAGGTGACGCGAGTGTGTTGCTAAACTGTTGGAAACATAAAACATCTTTTTGCAATTATTTTTAATGGGATATACAGAAATATACAGTTGAATCCTGTTATAAGACCTGTTATTGTTAAAGGGGTGCATGCATTCTCTGTTTTACTTGCAGTATTGTGTTACACCACTAGATGTCTTGGATTAGCTACAATTAATTTTTTGCATATTTAACCACACTAAACTCTTAGGGTTTATTTTCTTATCGTCTTCCACTTCCTCTTGTTCTATCCTATCACTGAGAGAAAAGACAAGCAATCTGCTCCCTAGACTCTGTTATTATGATATTTGAGTTGAGCTAACTGCTAAGATAAAACAACATAAGACTAATACAAAGCAACTTGTTTTCCAAATCCACAATCTTTTCTTTCATAAGTGCTTTTGTTCTAAAGCGATCCGCGTGAAGGGTACCATATAAATACACATTGCTGTTGTTGTTCATATAGCATCAGGTATATTTCTATAATGTATCTCATAAAAGTAAAATTGGTAAATGTCCTGAAACTAAGAACATTGCTAATAGTCTAGAAATGACCTAAACAAGTAAACACTGAACTCCTTGGAAGGTAAGTGATTTCAGAATTTTGTATATTGAGGTATGTTTGGGGGATGTGTTGAAAATACTGTGAAACAAAATTAAAAATGTTAGGTACATTGTGAGAGTCTTTATATTGTCTAATGTGCTGAAAGTAATTTTTACTGTGAATGTTTATGACATGATCATTGACAGTGTTTGATGGCACAGATTGAGTGCAAAAGTTATTCAGAGAAAGTTACTGAGTAGGGTAGGGATTTTTAAGAGTAATCTGAGAATCCAGCAATAAACATATACATACTAAAACCAGTGGTCACAACCTTAAAATCAGAGGCCAGCCCTTTCGCACTGAGTTGAGGAAAAACTTCTTCATTCAAAGGGTGGTGAATGTATGGAACTCACTACCCCAAAGGGCTGTTGACGCTCAGTCCTTGAACATATTCAAGACTGAGATAGATAGATTTCTTATTGCAAAAGGGATTAAGGGATATGGGGATAAGGCAGGGTTAGGTTATTAGCTGGAGTTAGATTAGAAGATCAGCCATGATTGAATGGCAGGGCACGCTCGAAGGGCCGAATGGCCTACTCCTGCTCCTACATGTTAATGTTATATGCATCCTCTAAATATACAAACACCTTCTCAATAAGAACTCACTTCTTCAGTTCCCCGTTAAGCAGTTTACAGTTCACAATGCAGTTCACATATTCAGCATCAGTCATCCTGACAACCTCTCTGATTGATTCATTGAGATTGATGACTAGTGGGTAGTTGGCCTGTGCCCATTGGGATTCATGTTGAGACAGTTCAGCATCATTTCACATCAAATCCTTATTTGGAGCCAGTAGAGAAGACCTTTCATTCTGTTATTCTGGACTGGATTTCAACCTAAATCCCTGAAGTGGTGTTAACTCACCATACCGCCCAATCCTCAGTGTTTGACATTTGACGTTTTGCACTCTCTGAGTGTCCGAGCTGTGACTCTCTTAGATTGAGAGGATTGGTAGGATTTCATGGTTTTGATCGCAGTTGAAACAGTTTTCCTTATCTGGATTTAGAGTTTAATAGACTATAACATTGGTGGGAAAGAATGTGTTACACTGTGCTGTGTAAGTATTCGTTAGCTGATATTTATAAACTTTTCATGACAGTTATGTTCCGTTTCCATCAAAACATCCCATCTTTAAGATTGTTGACAATCTTTGTAAATCAGTTCTTGAAGTTGTCAATCTACTTATCACAACATGTGGGGAAGGAGCTTTTATTTGGTTGACAACAAGCTTAATGTAAGAAAAGAAAAGCAACCTTTTTTCCACCTCATCTTTCTTCCATTCCTTGGAAAATGTGGTTTTTTAAACTGTAGAATTTGTAAAAGAAAATGAATGGAAATAATTATCAACAATTGGACAAAATAACATTAAGAACTCTAATCCAATGATCTGCCTTAATCACAATCTCATAAGAGCACTCACATCAATGGAAATATTTCCACTTTCCAAACCTATATCATTTTAATCTTTGTGGGAAGATTGGTTGCCTTTGCTAGATTGGGGACATTGCCATTTGCTTTTTCCAATATTTCACCCTTCCTCTCCTGAAGGCACTTAACTCCCTTTTCCATCCACTGAGGTATGATCACCCATAGCTGCTCAGGTAACTTATTCACATGTATTACCTGTAAGGTGCCCTCCACCCAAGTGGTCAAATTTTGCTTTAGTGATTCTAATTCAGTGCCATGGCAGTTTATACAGCTTCAGGATGCATCACAGCTGATCCTGATCTTGTCTCCACATGCAGTTTGCACCAAGAGTGGTTGTATAGAGATATAGTTCTGAAATTCCATCTGTCTTATTCTATCAAACCATTTGTCTTAAACTTTAGGATCAGATTGTGCAAAATTCTTGGAAGTCATAGATCTGCTTTTGACATAGGAGCTTTTATTTGATTGCCAATAAAATTAAGTCTTAATTTGGAAGCAGTTTTATTTTAAGAATTGAGAAAAAATGACTTCCAAATTAAGACTAATTTAAGAATTTGATATTAGGACAAAATGGTCTTGCAGATTAAGATTTGGCAGTCTCAATTTGCCAAGTCTAATTGTATCATATTGTTACTCTCATTGACTGAGATAAGTTGACTGATTTTGGAACCTTTCTGTTCTGTATCTCCAAGGGGTATGAGGATGAGGCAGGATTGAATGAACACTTTGCTCTGAGCGCCAGTACAGACTCCATGGGCCAAATGGCCCTGCTCTATAAATATCTTTGATTCTATAATCCTATTAGGAAGGGTGGTAGAGGACTAAATGCTGGACTCGTTTAAGAAAAAGCTTGATGCTGTAATGGGAGGGTGGTAGGATGGATCTTCTGGAAAGATGAGTTCAAGTGGGTCAAAGGATGTTCTTCAACCATAGCTCTCTTGTGAATAGGTGTTCGAATCTCAGGATTTTGGGAGCACCATTACCATACGGGATCACCGGTATTGCAAGACCAACTTGTGAAGCACGTTACTTCCTCACACTGATGAAATTTCAGTTAGATTCTGTAGATGGCAGCAGTGGTTCAGATTGCTCCATATTTTAAACCTAAAGACTCTAGTTCAAGAAAGTTGGAAATCTCCAGAATGAAGTTTAGTTTTTCTAAGTTGATTACTTATCCAAGGAACCCAGATGCCAGTTCTCCTAATTAATCAGTCAGTCCTTTTAGACCAGAAAAACATTAGTTTACCATAGTGTAGACCAACCCAGCGTTGCTGCTAGCATAATAAATTTCAGATGGAACTAACATCTTGTTCTTGTGCTGAAAAAAANCTAACCTTTGTAAGGTAAAATCATTGATATTGTATTACCTTTCTTTTCATTCATACAAAATCAGGAGGGAAGGAATTGTTTCAGCAAAATACATCAGTCCCAGAGTAATTCATTAAGCATACCGTAGCACCTCCCTATCTCTCTGACCTGCCCATACCCAACTCCTTTGCCCAGCCCATTTCACTCAGCTAAATGGCCCAACCCCTTCACACCAGCACCAGTGGCTGTGCCTTCAAGTCACAGGGCCCTGATTCTCTGGAAATTCCTGCCTCAATCCCTCCACCTTGCACTCCTCAATCTAACCTTCAATCCCATCTCAAAACCTGCCTATGGTCATCGCACCCTTCTTCCTTGCTCAGTGTAAAGCAACTGTACAGGATGTCCACAAAGACCTGTTACCCTCCCCCTTTTGTTTCTACAGCGCACTAACCAACAACTGATAAATGTGAAAGTATACTGATAATTATATTTAATTGTAAAAGTATTTAATTGTATTCAGTTCAGGGTTTAATTGTATTTAGAAGTCTAGAGGATCGGTGTGAGCGCTATCATTTTCATGGCAGATAATTATCCGTCACCATGTTCGGTGTGACATCTTCCATAACATGATAGAGTGATGAGGGAAATGCATCTCTGATGCTAGATTCCAGTAACTTCTCCACAACTGAACTTAAACCGACATGTTTATACAGCAGTTACCTGGTTTTTCCAGGCAGGGCAAAACCTTGGGCAAGTTTCCTTACTCCACACGCCTAATAATAATCCCTCCAAAAACAAAACAATAATAAATTGGTCATTTTCAATCCACGACTGTTTGTGGGACACTGCTGTGTGCAATTGGCTGCCGTGTTTTGTCCACAAATATATGGTCAATTCACTTTACAGTCTATTCTGTGAAGCGCTTTGAGACGTCGAGAAGAAAAGCGCTATATCAAATGCAAGGATTATTATTATTATTCTCCCTCCCTTCTTAAATAACGCAGCGACATTTCCGATTTTCCAATCCATAGCCACCATTCTTAAACCCAGCAATTGGCTCACTTGTACTCAAAGCTGTGTGGTATACTTACTCGGTTGGTGCAAGCAAGGTAGATTTATAACCTGCTGAACTCAGGTAAACCACACTCTACATTGTGTGTTGAGTTTGTACCTACACAGTACAATGAGTGAACCAAAGAAGATGTGTGAAGCAGCTGGGGCCTGTATATATATATATATATATATTATATATAATTAACCAATACGCACACATGTGCTAAATCTAGTCAATGGCAAAAGTACAATCAATTGGAAAGCTACAGTACTTTATTTAGCAGTGAATCACTTTCGGTGATTATTAGATGCTATAGGTGGAATATGAGGAACCCTTTGACCATTGTTACCAAATTTACCCCGTGGCCTTTTGGTAAATTTCCACATGTATGTGGATGATACCCAACTCTTTCTCTCTGCCTCCACCCTCAACTCCAGGACTACTGGTGTCCTGACTGACTGCCTGTCCGACATCAAGTCCTGGATGAGGGAGAACTTTCTCCAACTGAACATCAGCAACACCGAGGCCCTGCTGATTGGCTCGTGCCAGCGCCTCCACACCTCGGGCGCAGCATCAGTATCCATGACTGCACACTCAACCTTCCTAAGCCAGTCAGGAAACTGGGTGCCCTGTTTGACCCTGAACTGTCCTTTCTCCCCCACATCCACGCTATGACCGACACTGCCTACCACCACCTCCGCAACATTGCCAGACTCCGCCACTGACCACCCCTCAGGCTGCCGAAACCGTCACCCACGCATTCGTCACATCAAGGCTCGATTATTGAGACTTCCTCCTCATCAGCCTTCCCAACTCTTCCCTTCGCAAGCTGCAGATCATCCAAAACTCTGCAGCTCACCAGGTTCCTTGACCCCATCCCTCGCACTCTCGCCCGACTCCACTGGCTCCCCATCCTCCAGAGGATCGAATTCAAGATCCTCGTCCTCACTTTCAAGGCCATCCATGGCCTTGCCCCCTCCTATCCCTCTGACCTGCTGACTCCCTACCAACCTGCCCACTCCCTCCGTTCAGCGGGCTTCAGCCTACTCCATGTCTCCCGCCCGACCCGTCCTACCATCGGTGGCCGGGCTATCAGCCTCTCTGCTCCCACACTCTGGAACTCCATCCCACAGTCCCTTGGCCTCGCTTCCTCCCTTGCCTCCTTCAAGGCCGGTCTCAAGACCCTCCTCTTCGATCGTGCCTTCAGTTGCCCTCCCACCTCTCTGCCTTCTCTCACTCCTCCCCCACCCTTCCCCCATGCTCGGGTCCTAACCCCTGACTGTCCAGGACCTTGGGATGTCCTTCCGATGAAAGGCGCTCTATAAATGCAATTTTGTTATTGTTGTTAAATAACCTTTGGGACAAGTGCATGGAACCTTTAAATTTGAACTTTCAAGCATTTTCATCCTAAAGTATAGGGCAAACTTGTTTATGCATTAGTTTTTCCTTCAGCACTTCACTACTTACTGAATTGTTTGATTCACTTGTTATGCTCAAACAGTGTTCTTCCAGAAGCCAGAACACATTTGGTGTCTATCCAAACATTCCTTTCGAATATGGCAGTCTCTGATCTGGATGTGGGTAGGTCACTTGTAAGCACTCTCCTCTATTAGCGGTATCCAAAAGCCAAGCCAAGACCAACAGTGATTTGAATAGGGAATCTGCTAGAAGGATCTGCTAGAGGAGTATGATCTCGTATTGCCTTTTGGTTTATACATTTTGGTCTGATACATATTTTACATTCCATTCTGAAACAAAAAGTTGTAGAATCACACGGCATTGCTAGAAAGCACCATCACTAAATCTTGATCAGAAATTTTCTGGGAAGTGAGGAGGTTCATCTCCCATTACTTTCTATGAAATTTAGTACATGGTCGCTCAAAGATTGCTAAATTTAAACACATCTGATAACATTAAGGTTACGTTCTCATGCTTTGGCTATGTTAACCAACAAGTGGTGCAAAGAGGAGAGGTCTTTCAGGGCAAGTGCTGGCACTGAAAAGGAATGGAAGTTATGGGAAATAAATCTTCTTCCTACCATGATGACACTGCACAAATGTAATGTCAATTGGTAGTAAATGCTGACATAGGTAAATTACTAACTTATCTTGGAAGCATGGGTAATGGGCTCAGTTCTTCATTTCGGAAATTCTGTAGAGGAACTCTTACTATCAAAAAGTTGTAAAGTGTAGTTTTTTTATATAAACACTTAGGAGTATTTTTGAGCAATCTCTTGTAATATTTTCCTGGAGAATTAGCATGTGATGGGATTTTAACTGCAAACTTACCCTTCATTTCAAAGCTGGCATTCAGCACTTTTATGCAGAGCTTGTATCATGTGTATAGCACTTGAACATTGGAAGCTCCTCAAGTTTCAAGCAAGCTGTTTATTATTTGGCATGCAAATTCAACTGATTAACCTTTAAACAAAATCATCTCCTTGTTGAAATGTGTATTTCTATTTATTATTATATATAGTTTATACATGTGGAATCAATTAGATTGTTGCAGCACAAAAATACTCCCAATTGTGAAGGCCAGGTTGATATCAGGAATGAATGCTGGCGTTTGAATAGAGTGACTCATGTTGGTTAAATGAGGAATAGTTTGTTTTATGAATTTAAAAAAATGCGAACTGTGTATTTTATTTGATGAATATAGTGAGAAACCCTTCTGATATGAGCTTGCTTTGCCTTGAAACTGTTTAACATGTTTAATCAATACATTTGTCAAGTAATGTCACTTATTGTCTTTGTACAAAAACATTTGCAGTGTTTATCTTAATTGCATATAGTGTGGACAGTGAAATGCTTACCTGGTATTTTACTGCCATGCATAAATCTCGTGGGTGGTTGAGGGATGGAGCATTTTAGTTTGATAGACTAGTGTGTAGAAGGTGAGGGAAATCCTGTTTTACAGTTCAATGTTAGAATCAGTTAACTAAATCTGGTACTGTGCAAATATACATTTTTGTCTCTTGTGCGTGAATCAGAATCATTCACTGTTTATGGTTTCCTTGAAAGAGGACCCTTTTATTCAATGAATACCATGTGGTCCAAGTCATCATATAAATACCACTGAGTGTGAATGACACTAACTCATTCATTATGGTATTACAATACTGTTTTATCTCAGTGGCTAAAAAGTGTGCAATTCTGTAACCAACCAATTACTTTCATTTAAAAATTACTTGTTAACAAATTATACTTTTTGTGTGATTTCATTTGACCAGGTTTATTATGTGTTTATTACATGTGAGGCATTTCTTTCTGTAAATCTGACATCAGAATAGAATATTGTGAACTTTTTAGGATTATTTTGCAAGAAACCAATTTTAAATGTTTTCTGAGAGAGTCAAACATTTTCTGTAATTGAACTGTTTAGTTGTATTGCGCCCAGAATTGCTTTGAATCTGTTGAATACAAGTAGTGCCTTCGGCCACTGCGCCCCAAAGCTATGGAACTGCCTCCCTCAATGCCTTTGCCCCCTCTTTCCCCATTCCCCATATAGGGATTGCATTGTATTCCAAAGAATCACGTTGATATAACTTGATGTTATTATGATCATTATCCTGACATGTAGCATTCTGCTATATGCAATTTCCTGTTCAATGAATTATTATGTAATGCTTCAGTGTATCCATCAATGTCAAGCTCTAGGAATAATACAAGTATATTAAGTAAAACTGTACTCTTGTGTTAACTGCTACCATTTGAGGCTTCTCCAATAGAAGGAGGGCAAATATTTAGTACAATTTTCTGGAAATATGTTAATATTGTGTAGGCACTTAAACCTACATATTGCATTTGCTAAACAAACCTAAATTTAGTAATAAGAATTTGACTCTGTGCCATCATATTTCAGGCGATTGTATGGCAAAAGGCCAAGGTGTCGGATCACAAAAAGGCCCTGCTAACAGTTCTGGGAACTGCTGTTATGGTCAGCATGGTACCTTTCCAACATCACGAACAAGAGCCAGAGGTCAGTATAAGGTTACAGTGAATATGTTCTGAGGGTGGGGGTGGAGAGAGAAAAAAATTGGTACTCAGCAATTTAATGTGATTAGTTTTCCAAGCACGTCTCTTGTAACCACTTTACAACTGTGACAGTCAACATTATTTTAACTGTTTGAGGCGAAAACGGTTTAATAAACAAAACACATTTTTCTCACATGTGCTGACTACTTTTTTGTTTTTTAAAAAAAAGTGAACGAGTATGAAGCAATTTTTTTAAAAAGCTGCTTATTTAATGTTAATCAACTGTATTTTGGCTGATGTCTTTACCTTTTAGATGAACTGATGTTTACGAGCTCTTCAGGTTTTGTAATTCAGGATTTAAGTTCATTGAACGTTCCGAGATGCTACCCACATGAAGGGCGGACCATAAATGGAAGTTGTGGTGTTGTATTTGTTTTTCATAAAGTATAATTATAACAGCAGCTTTTGATATGTGCTTTATCACGACATTGAGACATCTCAAAGAGCTTCACAGAATATACCATAAAGTGAATTGACTGTATATTTTGTGGGCCAAACGCAGCAGCCAATTGCAGACAGCAGCCAATTGCACACAGCAGCGTCCCTCAAACAGCCATGGATAATGGGATCTATTGTTTGTCGTGTGCAAACCTTTTATGTAAATGGATATCAGCCTCGCTCAGTTGCAACTTTCTCGCCTCTGAGTCAGAATGTCGTCGGTTCAAGACTCATGTTGAGACCTTGAACTCACATAAATCTAGGTTGACACTACAATGCAGTGTTGGGGAATGTCTGCATTGTTGTAAATGCTGTCTTTTGGGTGTGTTGTTAAACCGAAGTCATGTCTACTTGTTCAGGTGAACGTCAATAGAGCCCACGGCACTTTTTAAGAAGAGAAGGGTGTCTTCCTACGTGCTGGCAACGATCCCCCAGATATAAAAAAAAATTGGGTCATTCACCTCATGGCTGTTTGCGGGAAATTGGCTGCCACGTTCACCTAGAAATACAACAACAAGATTACATTTGTATATAGGGCCTTTCACGTCGGGAGGACGACCGTGTACAGCATTTCAGACCCGACTACTCTTTGAAGAAAAACCTTGAAGCAGTTTGAGACATTTCATGGTGATAAAGCATTCTAACAAAGAGTTATCGAAGACACCTTTAATTGGGTAATTGACAACTAAGACAGAGGTTTGGTTGCTAATTATCAGTTTAATGTCTTATCTGAAGGAGAGCATTTCTGATTACGCAGCACTCCTCCTTGGAGCTGGTACTGAATGTTCCACTCTCATCCCTTTATAGTAATTGATGACTGGATGTCAGGTGGGATGAACTCGATAGAGCTGTCCACTGATGGGAATCCCACAGCTCTGTACTGTAGTATTTTATCATTGCCATCAATTTATTAAAATTAAATGCTACGGAAACCGCATGCATTCTGTCCTGCAGCTCAGTAGATAGGTCACTCGCCTCGCAAGTGAGAGACCTGGGTTCTATTCCAGGCAGGGCAAAATATTTGGCAAGTTTCCTTACTCCACACGCCTCTGTTTATCTAGCAGTAAGTAGGAACCTGGTTGTTAGTCGATTGGCAGATCGCTTTTCCGGGGGTAATAATCCCTTCAAAAAAANTAGTAATAATAAATTGGTCACTTCAATACGCGAGTGTTTGTGGGACACTGCTGTGCGTAATTGGCTGCCGCATTTCGCCAACAAAATATACAGTTACTTCACTTTACAGTATATTCTGCGAAGCGCTTTGAAACGTCTCAAAAATCGTGATAAGGCACTATATCAAATGCAAGGATTATTATTTATTGTTATTCAAGATTTTTTTAAAAAAGTGATTCATTTGAAATAGCACAGCCTTCCTTACTCAATTTTTCTTATTTCAACGAGTGATAAAAGTCAAAAAACAGTAACATAATGTAATCAGAGCATTTTGCTTGATAAAGACAGGCACATCCAGGGAGTTGAGTAGTCTGAAGGATTTTGAATACTGTCGGTTACAATTTTTTTTAGTGTTTCTAATAAGGTTTCTCCTTCAACCCTTTCCCCCCTCTCTCCCACACACGCACATGCACGCACATAAACACGTACACACATACATATGCACACTGCCAACAGAAAATCTCTTGGACTGCCAAATGCAAGTATACCTACACAGGAGTCCATTTGCAACCTGGCAGCTTGAAAACAAGGTTATTAGGAACTGACAAATGTGTTCTGACTGTGAAGTGGAAACTTCACTAATTACTAAAATAACTGAAGAAGCAATGCATGCCTGATTTTGTATGCGGTAATTATGTTGGAAAGTTATAAACATTGACCGGTTATTTGCACAGTGTTTTTATGCAAAACATTTTTTGAAAGACTTGACAGCTTTTCAGTCCAGCCTTACCAGTGCATGTGTTAAAAGATATCACTTTGTGAAGTAGTGATTTGTTATGCTGTTCTTTGTCCTTATTTGTTTAAAATGTCTTCTAAAAATACCTTCAAAAAAGGAGATGCTGTTTTGTAAGCAAAATAGATTTCTTAAACTAGGATCTGTAAATATACCATTGATTTTGCTGGAGCATTTAATGGTGTTCATAAAGGTTTCTTGTATGTTATTTGTAGATGGTTATAATTTTGGAGACGCTGAAAATTTGTTATGAAAGATACGAAATGTACTAATCTGCAGTGTAGGCCTGGGAAGTCCCATGATCTATTAATTTGACATGCCCCACACAGCTGTTAGCTTGTAACAATTTTAGGATGTGATCGTCAAATCATGGAAAAAGTTGTATTTCTAGGATGTATTTCACTGGAGGGAATGTGACTTCAATACAGGTCACGTAAAGTTATTATTTTTAGCAATGTTCAGAATCTGGATGAGCTCCAGGTTACTTCCAGCAATTTAGTTTTTGACTAGCTCGTAGGTTAGCAAAAACAAAATATTTGAAACTATGCTTATTTTGCTGCCTTAATTTTTTTTGTTAACAGCTTTATAGGTTTGAGCCACACCAAGGCGTTTTTTTTTTCCTCCTGGATATTAATTCTGGATTAAGTTTGGCATTTAACAGCTCACTAGGGTTCTGTCAAAATATTATACTGTAATTTGATAACAGTACACCACTCAACTGGAAATTGTACAAGTGAAATCAGATTTACACGAGTTGACTTTGCTTATACATTTTACAATACAATAATGTTTTGGCAAAGAGTTTACCTCCGTCAACTAGACGTCTCGACAACGTGATCAGTCACTATCAAAATGCAAGAATTAATATTAATTATTAATTTCACTCACAAATATACAGACAATTCACTTTACAGTACATTATTGTGTATATGAGTCTATTTTCATCTTGTGGAGTGCAGTTCCGAGATGCTACCTCGCGTGAAGGACACTATATAAATGCAAGTTGTTGTTATAGGTTTTTAAAAAAACATGCAACACTGTAATAAACTGCTCAAACGTCAGAAATAGGCCCCATGAAGGCAGTGTAAAGTGATAATTTATAGCTAATGCGATTTGTGCACTGCGGTGCTTTGTACCAACAACAACTTGCATTTTCCAGCGTCCCTCACGCAGAATACCATTGCAGCTTTGGGATTGAAACTTCCTCGTGGCCAATCTTTAGACTTTACAACCTCGCATGCAGTGAGTCTTGTCTACGTTCATACTGTTTCTCTGCGCTGTTTAATAGATGGTTGAGCGGTGACAAGAATGACCCTGTTTGTTTTGCATTTTACAACCAGTAGATAGCTAGAGTACCTCAAAGGACAAGATGAAGATCAGGGGCGGGAGAAGCAGCAGGTCATTCTGAATAAAATGACAATCCAGCTGTTATTTTAGAAATCTTTCACAGTGTATGTAACGGTTGCATTGGTTCATAAAATCTAATTTATCACTTCTGACAGATGTTTTTGTGCTGACCGCCATGTTTACTCAGTAAATAGAGATTGCCTTTACCCTTTGCCTTACATACATTCCAGCAGACAGTCATGCGAGGGAAAAAATTTGGTAGTTACTGCTGGACGAGATAAAGTAGAGTAGTACTGACTCTTATGTGTAGACATAACATTTCCAGATATTGACAACTTGAAACAAAGGCATTTGGGGGGAAACAATTATTGGGGAAAAGATCCAGAAAAACTGAAAATTAAGATTTTTTAAAATATGAAATGAGGTATGAGAAACTTAATTACATAATGCAATATATGCTGACTAGCTCGAATAGCATAGAATACTGGAAAATAGTATGATACGTTTGCATCATCTGAAGGTAGAATAAGGTTTGATAAACTATTGCTATTAGTGTGTACCAGCTCCTTGGGCCGTCCTCCCAACGTGAAAGGTTCTATACAAATGTCATTTTGTATTGTATATATTGATGATCTTGATTTTTCTCCCTTTTCTCTTTGCGGGGTATCCATGCACATTTTCTGGCTACAAGTACAAGTCCCGGTGCCAGTCTAATCCAGGCCGCTGAGAGTTGCTCAGCAGTGGTCTGTGTCACTTGGCCCTGTAGTTGTTTGTTTCTCCTCAGAAGGCGCCTTGTCCCTGCTTAGTCTTGCCATCTCCTAAGGTGCCACAGTGGGATGAGGAACTCGGCTTAGGGGGAGTCCACGAGCAAACAACCTCTCTGCTGTGCATCCCAGCTCCAACATGCTGTGCTACCCTCCTGAACATCATCTTAATGACTGCAATAATTGCCTTGCTATAAGAGTGTTTCTTTTTGGTATTTACAGATATTTCTCAGCGGTTTTCTTCCCAAATCAGGCTCCAACTCTTCCTTGACGAGTCTCACGAGCCCTGACAGAAGTTTTATTTTTGTTAATTCCAGACCTGTTCACCACAAGGAAATATTAAAGGTACACACGTGACTTTAGTGATGTCTGTTTGTTGCAGAGTTTAAGGTGTAAATGTACCTGCAGGGAACTAATGTATTACATTTTATTGCAACTAGATTAGACATCTAACAGTTAACATATGACAAATCTTGGGTTCAAAGAATTACAGTAAATGGTAATTGAAATGCTCTTTTCGATATACCATTTGGTATGACACCTTTCATGTCGGGAGGACATCTCAATACACTTCACTGTAAATTGTATTGAGATGTCCTCCTGATGTCCTCCCGACATGAAAGGCATCATACCATTTTGTTTTGTAGGCAAAATGACCAGGAAATGTCTTTATTGCATGAAACATCCTATATTTTATTGTGTGTATTGTACAAGGTGCAGGCAATAATGAAATCACTAAGTCCCCACCAAGTTTGAAATTAAGTGAATTTGGCTGCTGTTTCCAAGCTAATTATCCAAAGTACTGACCTGCCAGGTTGTGACTTAAGAAAACAATGATTCCTCTGGTAGATTATTCCATATTTGTGCAGCTGACACTTAGGTTTCAGCAGTGAAAGAGAAGCCCTGTGCGCATAGCTGAATTGTATTACATCCGTAATTGTTTTAGCACTTTTCTTCATTTTGTGCCAAAACAGTGGGTGGTGCAATTAAAAAAGACAGTTAATATGTAAGCTGACTCATTCATTACACTGGATCCCGCTGATATAAAAAGATACAAAATTCAATAATTAATGGTTCCAATACGATGTTCGTAGTCAGTGTGGTGAAGTGAAAGTGCTTACTCTTTCCACTCTGCTGCTTCCCATCTTTCAGCCACTGTGTCCCACTCTCGGGAGCGCTCCCTCTCCCTGTATCCCTCAGCCGTGCACCCTCCCTCCCTGCTTTCAGATCCTTTCTAAAAAGACCTGTCTTTGACTGCGCCTTCGGTCATCTCTCCCTTTTAGCCTGCTTAGTCTCCTGCTCTGTCTCTGTGAAGTGCTTTGTGGTCTTTTCCTATGTGAAAGGCTTTGTACAACTACAAGTTATTGTTGTACAAAATTATACCAGATCCCATGCAAAAATAATCTAAAAGTTTTCTTGCTTTTGCAGATGATTCGACAGTATTATGCTGCTCAGTCCCAGAAGGATTCTTCACATATTCGTTATCCAATTTGTTTCCTAAATATTTTGGTTTCAGCTGCTTTTGTAGACGTGAATTTAACACCAGATAAAACACAAATAATGCTTCTCAACAAGGTGAGGTGTTCTTTCATGTTTAAAAAGGCCATGCACTGTAATCAGTTGTTTCACCATATCAATAATACAATGAAACTTTCTGTATTTAACATGTGTTGAATGATTGAAATGTTTAAAGACTCTCCAGTTCTCCCCCAAAATCTTCACCAAATTGTGTTAAATATTAAAGCACCACCACCAAAGAGTAAGGAAGCGAGTCAGGGGAAAAATAGTTTAAGAGCAACATGTAAAATGTTTATAATTCCTCTCCACTTTTTTTTCCACAAACAATATATAAAGCTAGTAAATATCTCCCAGTTTTTTTTTAAAGTTTATTTCAGGCTGGTTTGGAATTGAAGAAATTATCCTCAGTTGTAAAAAATAAACTGTATGTCAGGGGAAGGTAATCTGTTTTTTCATTCTGTGGCTAATATAGTAGTTGGATCAAAGCACTTTTATTTAAAGAGGATGATCAAAACCTGTACTATAACCAAATTGTTGCAATGATTTATCTGCCACCAGGAAGCCATCTTATCTGCTATCGAAAAGATATTGATTTCAATATATGGGACACTTCCTACAACAATGGCTGGGGAACCATCTTCTGAATGTGCAAACAAAATTGAACAGCTTAGCAGTGATATGCTAAGTGACTGTCGTACCATACCATTATCGGAGACTTCTCAAGTCACAGAAGCAACAATTCCTTGTTCTAAAACAAAAGAGGTTTCTGGTGATTTGGGTAAAGAAGTGAATGCGGTCAGTAATGTTGCTCTGATTGAATCAAGTGAAAAGTCTCATAAACCTGGGGACAAGCCTTTGTGTAACATTCTAGAATTGGATTCAACACTTGCACTAAATAATAATAGTATTTTTTCAAAGCCTCGAGATGCTACTGTCATGGACATTTGTTTTGAAAATGCTAATAATCTAAGCCTTTCACTTGAGACATTAAAGGAAGCACAGAAATCCATTCAAATTGAGCAAGACACCGTTGAAATGAGTGCTGAGAGCTGGAGCATGGGGCATGGAGTGAAAGACTCTGCTGGACAAATAATTGAACCTGTAAAGATCTTAATACCTGGCAAGATTGGAGGTCAAAACCAAACAATCTGTGACAAAGATACACAGCAGACTCCAACCGATACTAGCCCAAGCAAATATCAGAGTAAAAGTTCTTCCAATGTAGTGCAGGATAAAACTGGGCAGATTACACTATACGACTTGATCAGCAATCACACAATAAGAAAGGCTTTGTCACCCTCTGCCCTTTTCATGCAAGAAACTCGGCTAAAACTGCTAGCAGAGAACCCAAAGACCAGTCTACAAGATATCAGCGTGGAACTTGAAGATATGTGGAAAAATCTGAATGAAGAAGAGAAAAAGAAGTAAGTTTTCAGTTCCAACCTTTTAATCACACAACCCAGTAGTTTCCATTCTATGTGACTCATGGTGTGTTCTTTGCAGTGAAGAAGTCCCATTACTTCATGAAATATTGAGCCCAAAATTATTTTTGGCATTTCAGAATGCCACGCAAGTCTCCATCATTGATGTTTTATGTGCTGCATCTCCAGATTCCTGCAATTAATTACTTTGCTGTTCTTTTCCATTTAGTTTTTCCCTTCAAACATATTTTAATGGAGAGCGATGATGAACTTTGAAGAGAAGTGAGTTTCTCCCAGTGTCTTGGCCAACAATCCACCAAAATAAAACTGGTCGCTCATTCCATGGACTGTTTGTGGGACATTACTGTGCGTAACTGGCTGTCGCATTTCCCCCACAAAATACACAGTCAATCCATTTTCAGTATATCGTGTGAAGCACTTTGAGACATCACAACGATGTGATAAGGCGCTATAGCAAATGCAAGGATTATTATTAACACTGGAAACATAAGTGAGAAAGGTAGTACAGACTTTTGTCGGAATCGTTTTGGAGGTCAGGAAGAACTACCTTGTATAATAGTGTACCTGGCTTGACTGAATCAGCAGGTTTAAAAATGAAGGTACAATTTCAGACACTGGAGATATCATCTTAGTATAAGAAAAGATGTCTGTTATGGAGTAAGTGTTCACTGTAAGTTTATAAAGTACTTCCCCACATATCAGTGATTCACAAATATAGTATTTATTGACCACTGAAAGTTATTTCTGTGAGCAGGAAAACTGTTTTCCAGATGACAGAATCTTATCTGAGTCCTGTAGCTCAGTGGTTAGAGCACTCGCTTTGCAAGCGAGTGACCTGAGTTCAATTCCAGGCAGAGGGCGAAACCTTGGGCAAGTTTCCTTACTCCACACAGAGCCTAATAATAATCCCTCCAAAACCAAAAACAATAATAAATTGGTCATTTTCAATCTACGACTGTTTGTGGGACATTGCTGTGCGCAATTGGCTGCCGCGTTCGCCCACAAATATGCAGTCAATTCACTTTACAGTGTGTTCTGTGAAGCGCTTTGGGACGTCCTTCTGACGTGAAAAGCGCTATATCAAATGCAAGGATTATTATTATCAGCCAGCTATTTATTTCTGAACCTGAATTAGATTGTTCTACCAGTTTGCTCCACATATGTTACCCTGGATTTTAAAAGGCTAACATGTTTGCAGTACTGTTGTCTTCCACAAGATAGCTTTCATTCATCTTGCTTGTGACCATGTTTATTTAACCTTGCAGATGATACATTTCGAAGGGTCTCAATTTACTTTGTTTTCTAGAAGAGTACAAGTATACTGGAGCAATAATCTAGGCAAGGTACCTTATCACCCTTATTTTTATGTTATAATCCCAGTTGCATCAAACTATCCAAATCGTTTTCCAGAGATTTTGAACTTCCAGTTAGATGGTGCAGTTGTTATTGACATCAATTACCATTTGTTATTGATATTTTTGATAACTATTAATATGTACATCTTAATGGTTAATTGAACACTTGATATATATCCTAATAGTGAATCTTTCTGAAATGAGATCCACTCCATCCTCTTTTCAGATGAGGATATTTGTAGAACCATCGTATAACTTTACAGCAATATACAGCAATAAAGACTGGGAAACATTCCAGCTTCACCCCTGGCCTTTGCTGAATTGGCTGATCTCATTTAGAGGTGGCGGGAAGGTGCCAGTTCATCTCAACTAGAAAGGTGAAGAATAAACCAGTGTTTTTGTCTTCACACTGTCTGTTGTATAATACACATATGCAGACAGTGCCTTGATCTGTGATTCTCCTTCATTTGAGCACCTCATCTCACATTTAAAGAATGTGTGATGTACAAGAGACTTCCTGGCTCCCCCACCCATGAAACTGTTTTCCAGTTTGATACACCATCTTTGGAGGGCTGCACTAAATTAGATTGAATTTAGATATTTTGTTCCACTCTCTGTTTGGAGAGAACTAATGGAAGTTGAATGTCACATCATGTTTGCTGTTGGGAAGGAGAGGAACTATTGCGTTGGATACCGTATAAGCATCTGAGCTGCATACTGTCTTCTATGTCAACATGGAAATTGATTTTTTTCCAATCATCCCATCCTTTTCTGTTCATCACTCCCATATTGCAGTATCATTTTGCTCCACCAAGAAACGCAAGGTTATATATACAACTGGTCTTCCTTAAAATTCCAAGAAGAACACCACAATGTCTTGGTGCCAGAGGAAGATGACTGAAGGTTTTCTGACACTTGGTTCAATTTACTTTGTGTGTCGTGCTGTGCTGCCAGTTTGCCTGTGGTGACTATAGGGGAGCCTGCAGTGCCTTCAGCTGTACCCCTGGCTGAGGTAAATGAATGGGGGTTGGGGGGATAATTAGTATAAGGTCCAGAGGTGACCACACCAAAGACTTGCATAATCCAAAAAGAAGCAGACTGTTTAATTGGTAACAGTACATAACTCAGTGGTCAGGTCAAAGCTGTAACTCTGTTAAAGGATTAAGTTTCTGTTGAAGTGAATTTTCCCCTCCAGCTGTACAGGTAGCAGATGGTTTCTATCTCAATAGTTATAGTTGAAGCAGTCCCTCCACCACTTCTTCGATATGATTTATTACTTGTCCCAGGGACCCACTTAGATTCAATAGACTAAACTGAATAAAGGTACCATATGTGAATTCAGTAAATGATAATTAGTTACAACTGGTGAAGAAAAATCCATGTTTTTTGCCAACATATTTTCCACTATATCTGCACTTAATTAACTTTGAATGTTCGAAATAAGAACGATTAGTTCTCAGTACATCACAGGAAATGGTAAATTGTGCTTCACAACAATATATATTTCCTTAATAGGAGAGAATTTTTTACAATTAAATTTGCTGTGTAACCATGTTGTAATGTTTTTCTTAAAGTTACAATATAGGTGCTGTGTCAAAGTTTAATGAATTCCAGGTGTTAAGATCATTAGCCTTGTGTGTTTTTTTGACAACAGTTCTTTGCAGGTTCAAGCTAATCATTGGAGAATTTCAGTACATCAACATGGGGGGAAGAAAGCAAGCCTGACTCCAGACTCTAATAGTTACATTTTAACTAGAGCTTCAAACTTCATTTTTAATTGCCATTTTTTAATTTTCCAAACATATTATGGAAACATTTTCACGTACAAATCCTGAGATGGTCATGGCCTTCATGGGATTTCCATGCTTTTTCTCAGAACACTGATGTGAGTGAAAATATGTGCTGGACTCTCCTGAGTCTGAAAGACTGGTTGTCCAGCGCCTTGGGATGTCCTCCTGACCTGATGGACGCTATCCGAATATAGTTTTTGTTGTTGAGCCCACTGCTTGTTTGAATCTTGACTGAATGTATTCTTTCATTATTAATGTTTGCAGTTCTTCCTTCCTTCAAAGGTCTTTCTCAACTTGTTTTACAATCCTGTTGAATTCACACTTATTATTTTCAATAAAAGTGCTGAACTAAGTCCCCACCACTTATGCATCATCCAACTCCAAATTATTGGTACATTATGTTCATAAATTAATATCCCATTAGCCCCTCTCAATAATCCTATCTGAATACACTCACTTGACTGAAAGTAAACTCTAGCAGCAGATGCTTAATCATTTCTTATTAAAAACAGGAATGTTGAGAATATTTTTCTACCTCCTGCTAAAATTCAATTAAATCAAATTGAAAAAGTTAAAGCCCAATTAATATTTTTTTACTGGTTTCACAAGACCTTGTGCGAAATAGGTTTAACTATTTTTTGTTCTATATCCATGTGAGTATCTTAAGAAGGCCTTCATGGAGTTGTATTTCCATTTTTTTTAGTTTTTAAATAACAGCAATTTTTTTCTTTAGGTTTGAGGAGAAAGCGGTAAAAGATCTGGATCGCTACAATTCACAGCTGAAGAGAGTGCAAACATCTCATCAAGGAGAGAAACAACAACCTAAATTGAACTCAGTAACAAAATTTGTTCAGAAACACAAACGTAGAGCACCACTCTCAAACCAGCAAATCTTAGATAAACTCTTTGAGTCACAAACTCAGAAGAAAACAGCCTTGGAGCCATCTCGTAAAACAGTTGAAGTTCCGTTTTCTTTAAGCTCTTTGAAAACACAACTCCAACAACTTTCTAAAAGCTTTGATTCAGGTGGTGAAAGACTTCAGCTCATCAATCGCCTGTCCTGCTACAATGGATGGGTTATTGCCTCTGGAAGGAAACTGATGTTGTTAAATCCATTTCGGGTGGAGGAGGCTTTGCTGTACAGAAGACTGATGGAGAACCACATCCTTCCCACACAGACACTTGATACACCAATATCTCTAAGTAACAGGTACTGTGAAAGTAATAGAAAAATGTTGAATGGGCAATAGATCCCACAGCTTTTTAGTATTAACAAACTTGAAAATTCAGTCTCAGTGCAATAAATATTTCTAATACATTTTACAGTTCCATTAAGCTCTCTTTTGCCAGCTCAATTATGATTTTTGTGTTTAAGTTGTTAAAACAACATTTTAACTATTCCCTCCTGCATACATTGGTTGTACTTCAGAAAAAATAGAAAGATAATTACTTTACATCTGTGCTTTTACTGTTAAATTCACAAGGCAGCAAGGTACCGGGGAATATCTCTATGATGCCAAGAACCAATGAATTCATCCAATGATTAATTGTTCCAGTTCACGTAAAGAATTAACAACTCTGACTTGCTCCCTCCCTTACCTGGTTCAAGGCCCTTCTGAAGACCTATTTCTGACCGCACTTTCTGTCCTCTTTCCCCTCCCTATCGTCTTCAGCTCCCACCTCGCAGTTCGGGTACCCGGCCATTAATTTAAGAGGTTTGGGATGTCCTACAGATGTGAAAGGTGCTGTAAATATAAATTTGCATTGTATAATATCAAAATATTCTTCAACTCAGATTTTCTTTCGGGGTCTGTGGTTTATGTTTTGATCACACTTATTTATTTACTTCATTCCATTGTCATTCATTCAGTAATCAAAGGAAACGTGCAACAAGTATAGTCATACTTCTATTTATAAGAGCTGGTACAAGGAGGTATGTGCGAGGCATTGGACCCGAGGGTGGCATCCAACTAACAAAGAATTTACAAAGGATTTTAGGAGGAACTACTTACTATCTGATTCAACCACTCGGCCCAACCAGCCTGTGCCAGTGTTTATACTCCACACGAGTCTCCACCTATTCCTCCCATACCTTTCTGTTCTTCTCTCCCTCACGTGATGGTCTAGTTTCCTTTTGAATGTATCTCCGCTATCTGATTCAACCACCGCTTCAGGCAGCAAGTTCCACAATCTCACTACCATCTGCATCAAGTAGTTCCTCCTAAAATCCTCTGTGTGAAGCAGTTCCTCCTGAACCTGTGAAAGCATTCAACCATTGTGAGGTTGTGAACTTAACCTATTTGTCTGATTAATTACAGCCTGCTTGGTGGACCCCAGTACATAGATCGTCTCTGTAAAATGCAAAAGGAATGCTCAGAGTTGAATGGGGTGGTTTCTTTTACAGATCCCAGGCTTGTATTCAATGGCTTTAAGATACAGCTAATACCAGGTATGTTATAGGCAGAGATGTAACTGTTTTGTAACAGCTTAAAAATATAACCCTACTCATAAAATTGAACGTTTCAACAACATTAAGTTTGAGGAAAGTTAACTTCTCTTTATCCCCAAGGGCTATATAGTATTTGTCATTCCAGTTTTATTTATTGCCGTGAACTTTAAAGACGTTGTATTTAATTATTGTTCAATGCAGATTTTAAGAATCTAACTAGCACATCTGACACTTTTCCCTTCTTAATATTGCTGGAAGCAAAGTGATAACCCTTCCAACAATACACTGATGTGAACAAGGAAGTCTGATGTATATTTTCCACTCCTAATCACATTGGCTAAGTTCTGAGGAAAGTTCTAAGCACTCTCTTAGATTTGAGCTCGGAACTCCAGTACTCTTCTGTAGTGTTATTAAAGCACTCAGTGCACGACAGTTTTTTTAATTAAAAAAATAGCAAAAGACTGCCAAAAGACTTGACATTACTTTAGAGCAGAACCTGAATTGATTCACAACCACTGCTGCATTTATACTTCAGGGGCGCTAATTAGTCTGCTCCTGAGACCATCTTTTCAACTTGGTCTCGACTGCCAAGCCTGGCTCCAACATGATTCACTATGGGATCAGGCTGCTTAACCCCAATTTGTGCTGCGCTTTTCAAGACAATTTGCTGCAAAATGCTGTTTAATCACAACATAAGAAAGGCTTTATCCGAGAGAAATCACTGAATTTTTAAAGTTCATTTTAAAGGGCTTATTTTTGGCCTGTTTAAAGCAGAGTTAATTTCGATGATAGCTGGTGGACAATATAGGTTTTTTTTATTTCAGTATGTTTGTGTACAGCAAATCCAATAGATTATTTGCATGTTTGGCCTCTTATGTGGATTTTAAAAACAATTTTGATTTGGGATATAGAAATTACACAACAAAAAAGAGGCCACTTGACCCATCTAGTCTATGCTGTACAAACAATTCCATTGCAGCTAATTACTCTAATCCCAATTTTCTGCTCCCTCCACGTAACTTTTTTATGTATTGTTTCTATTTGTATGTTTATCCAAGTCTCCGTTAAACTTTATGATCTTCACTTCAGCAACTACGTGTGATAAAGCAGCGCCTTGGGACGTCCTCCCGATGTGAAAGGCGCTCTATAAATGAAATGTTGTTGTTGCCTCTGACAAACCTCTGCGGGAAAAACATTTTTGTAAAACCTCCTCATCAACTCTTCCAGTTATGCTCCTGATCTTACGCCCCTAGTTACTGACTTAGTAAGAAGAAGGAATAATCATGCACTATTTATCCTCTCAAAGCCTTTCAGAATTTTGACGACCTCTATTAGATCCCCTCTTAACCTTCTCTGTTCTTTAGTGCTGAGAAAGCCCACTTCAAGTTGTCTTAATTAATATTGATGAGATTAACACATTTATTTTCGCCATAATAGTCTTTAGTATATATTCTTCCTTCCCCCTCTCCTCCAAACCGGTGTAACTGAAAGGTTACTTTAGCCTGTTAAACTATATTTAAGCCATATGTACTAAAAAAAAGCTTTGAGGTGTAAAGGCTCACTGACATGACCTCTTTGCTGGTAAATGCAGTTTTTGGGTCAGCAGGAATCTATACATAATCATCCATAAAACATACAAAATGTGTCAGAGATAAGGCTTTCCACCCAATAATAGCAATAAATTATTCTGACAGATTTGCTGTGTCAGTAACTGGTCAGTGCAAGAAAGAGCACGAGTGTTTTTGCAGGCACACCTTCCTCACATGGAAAACATTTTAAAGGTCTAACCTTTGTAGCAGATTTGCGGTGACAGCACATCAAACCAGAGCTATGCACCTGGGGGGAAAAAGTTGAATTTGGCCTTTGGCACAAGCAGAAACAGTTCCATTTACGAAACTGCTTTCCATTAATTCTCCCCGTGCCAAATGGTTGAATGTTGAAATATTTCAGTTTTCTCATTTGCTGGTATTTTAGAACCCGCATAGGTTTTGAGAGGTTTCATGGGGAGTTTTTGTTAGATGTTTATTATAAGCAGAGTACAGTAAAAATTGCTTGATGTAATATAGTGACCAAAAGATAAGCTTCAGCTGGTTTGCCCTACAATTGATATTTGGCTATTCAAGAACTGAAGATGTAATTGATGCCTATCCCCGTTTCCATTAGTTTACTGTTGACTAATTTAATTGATCCCATGTAATCTCACTTAAGCCTCTGCAATCTTTCAAGTAAGCTTGATTTTTGAAATTGCTTATTTAAACCCACAATTTTGTAAACAATGCTGAACGGTGCCCAAACACAAAGCAAGTGCTCCTGGTATACATTATAGAATTAGGATTTGAAGTTCCAATTAGGAAACCTGAACTAGAATCTTATTCTTGATTCACGTGTTCAATGAAAACTTTGATGAGATGGATGGAGGGATGGAAGGAAGGAAAGGCTCATTTATATCTTACAGTGATGAGTGTACTTCCTGGTGAGTTGATGAGGAACATCACTGACAATGGAGATGTCTGGATCTTGGACGATCCTATCCCTCTACTAACAAAGGGGATTAAAGAGGCATTAAAAGGAGTAATAATCGTAATCCTGGCATTTGATATAACGCCTATAAACATAAAAATGTCACAGGTAATCTCACAATGTTATCTATATTTAGGTGAATGAGAGGAAAAAATGGGAAATTACTATAGTATTGTTAATCTTTCTCCCACTTGATTTATTTTGAAAGAAATGAAAACAAAAGAGTGCCAGTTTCTGCCATTGCGGATTGAATTTTCCTCGGGACTGTATTTTGGCATTTAATAAATGTTTTAGAGTTGTGGAAGCTCTGTTACTAATCCTGGGAGCTTTTCTGCAACAGAGAAATGATTTTAAACATGTTTTGTGTACTGAAGTATAAATCTTTCTAATGAGTGTGGATTTTCAATGGGTAGAACTGGAGAATATTTCCACTTGAGAGTGCTGAAGTTTAAAACTGAATGCATATTTCCAAAGAACGGGTACTGTGCAAAGATTTATTTTCTCCTTGTTGAGCTGATGGCTTCTCAGTGTCCTTGCCAAGAAGTTCTCCTAACATATATGTGCAATTCAGCAATACGTCACTCACACATTCCACTGGGGCTTGCTCCTTGTACAGGGTGATGGCAGGCATTGACCCTGGATGAAATTTGTTATTAAACATATTTGACAACTGATTCCTTTTCTTGGGGAAAGACACACTGTCTTGTTTAAATCTGCTTAGCACTGCCATCCCCGAGAGGTTGCCTAATGTCACTCAGGCCATGTGGGAATTGTTAACACAAGGAGCAAGTCACTGCCTGAAGCAACAGTTGATAAACCTTGCAAAGGTTTGCAGCTGTAGTTAACTTCGGCTGAAATAGCTTTAGCACTTCAATTTCAAAACAGAGCTCATTTGTATTTGTCAGTTCTTTTGCAATACACGAAAAGTTTGAAGCTGTTGTTTCATTTGGTGCTGTATTGAAGTCTTTAATTATCAGTCATAGTTTTTGCATTTGTCCACTTATTTAATTGACTGGAAACGATGCAAACAATATTAGATATGATCTTAATATTGAAATTTACCAAATCTAGAACTGTTTTTCTCTCTTTTTGTGATTAGGTGCTTCAACAGCAGAACAGCACTTGCATATCCAGGAAATGGCCAGGTGTTTACCCTATTATGGTGTGTCAGATTTACAAGAAATTCTACGTGCGGTTTTAACTAAAAATGCTCAGAGAGTACATCAGTGCAGACCTCTAAAAGTTGTAAATTATTTGGAGGTAAGACATGTGCAGGGGTGGTGGGGGGTATTGCAATAAGATAGCAGGTGATCTTAGTCAAAGTCAAAAGGCTTCATAATAAAATGCTGATTGCATCGGACCAGCAGAAATTCTGGTCTTAAACTGGTTTTGTTTTGCACCAAATGAATGCAGACACAATTAGACTTTAGATGGATATGTTTTTGTAATATTTACCAATGTGTGCTTTTTATGATTAATTATTTTTCTTATTCTCGTGTAATGCCTCCTTTCGATGACTCCAATTAGACTGATTGGTGGGGAAGGTGTCATTGATAGGCCCAGTAATGTTGCAATATAACTGGCAACTGGGGAAGTTCTCACAAGTAATGTCTTAATCGCTTTATCCGCGCCCTCCTCCCCCCATCTCGGAAGGTGGGAAAAAGGAATGTATTATTTTCCATCAGTGCCTCCTTAAGCAAAGTAGAGAATTTCAGGCACAAACTTCAGTATGAATGCAAACAGTATAACATGTGATCTTATATCTTAAGATATGATTTTTTTTTAGCATGAGGTCTAATTTGGGATGTTTGCAAACCGCATTGGTTGTGTAAATGGTTTTCGAAAGTGCTCTGGGACCCTACTCTGCATGAGAGGCGCTATGTAAGTGCAAGTTGTTGTTGATGTTGTTGAATATCGACGTATTGCCAAACTCGTGGCAACATTCCTGACTGGTGAAATGTGAAACTCTTGTCGTCAACATCTGTAAAAAGGGAGATGAGCAAAACGCCGACATTTCCTACTAACATTTGTTTGTTCACCAGCCTTTCTTCGGACTTTGCCAGTTTAGGATTTGTGCAACGGCAAATTTCACAATGCAATTAACACGACTAATCTGGTATATTGTAAATTATATCCTCCATCCTGACCTATTAACCTGGTACCTGGCTGGCTTAAATGTTTTAATAACTTACAAGACACAAAATGAATTGCATGGTTCATTTCTCCCAAGTTGTAGGGGTGGTGTTTTTCTAATGTTCTGCATGCTGATAGTATTCATTACGGTTGTCTGGTAAGTTACAGGGCAGAATTTATTTGCTTGACAAAGGAGTAGGGAGGGGGGAGGCGGGGTGAGGAGGAAGAGTCCGTTCATGCTAAAACTCGTCTACTTGTTTGTAAGTGCATTTTAGTAAGATTGTGGTAAACCTTAGTGTCTTAAAACTCCCATAATTTCAAAAAGGAACACTTTGGTGAATTTTTGCCTGAAGGTGACACTACGCATAACCAATTTGTGATTTCAACAGGGATTTCCTAACTTGATTTACATATGCAGTGCTCGAGACTGGAGTGAACTGAATTGCCTTCCATTCTCCACCCCCAGAACAGTGACGTGCAATTGGTTCCATTTGTGACTGCCAGTAGTGCAGCATCTGGAATGGGAATTTTAGGCTCTATTTATTTTTATTTTTTGGCAGATGTTTGCTTTTCCACTTTCAACGGCCATTTTTCTGAGAATTCTTTTAAGTAGGAAAGGGAACGTTTGCGCAATCTCGGCGTCATGTCACTAGTTTGTGTTCTTGGAAATAACTCCAGTACTAGAATCATGTATCTGATATTAAAGGTACTGTATCTCAATTTTAATAGATATGTTGTTCCTTTCTTTTCCCTAATATTCCCTACTTAACAGCTCCACTATTCCTGCACTGTGGCTACGCAGAAGGGAAAAAGTCTTTGTCTTTGTTCAGTCCCTGCTTGTGTTGAGTTAGGCAGTCTCAACCAAACAATATACTCGGCAAGGACTTTTGGCATTGCTGATTCTGGGAGATGGGGAGGACATATTTGCCAGGATTCCTGCCCCAGTTTATTATCCAGTGTGGTTTGCTGGAAGTGAATGTGCTTGTACTGTCTGCAAGAGCTCTATCCTTCTCCCCTCTCCCCCCCAATGATACCCAGTGGTAGCCCCTTACACAGAGAATGGCTGCTTGGACAAGCTATGAGAGAGCTGCTAGCATTTGTGGAACTGTGTCCCAGCATTGACTCAGTCATCAAGAGAATGGTTGAAAGAGGAGAATATAGGAGGCAATGAATAACAAGATATGTCCAGATTTTGTTTTGATGGAAAAATCAAATAACGGTGACTAAGGAACTACTATCCATTGGAGCAAATGCAAAAAATCTTCAGGAAAATATTGACTTCTTCCAAGTACAGGCTGCCAACCACTCATAATTTTCTACAGATTTTATATTGATGATAATTTCAGAACTGTGCCAATGATCAGTGCTTTATCCACTCATGTACACCAAGGGAAAAACCTAGTCAATGTCAAGCCACAAAGTGACTTGATTTGCATTTTACTAGGGTGGAAAAAAGGCTGGCTTTACTGTGAAAAGATTGGTATATCTAAGCTAACCCATAGATTACCAAGGTCTACAGGAACATCCATTGCTATGAGCCATAGTTGGCTTCATTTTTAGTTCACAAGATTTGTCCAAATGTCAAAGGTCCTTTGGCCCATCTGAGCTCATCTTTCCAGAACACCCACCCTACAGCATCCAGCTGTTTCTTAAATGAGTCTAGTGTCCTGGCCTCAATCACCTTTCTTAACAACCTGTTCCAGTTATTAATTACTTTCTGGGTAAAGAAAAACATCATAATATTGGTCATGAAGCTGCCCTTTGCAACTCTAATCATATGTCCTTTTGTTCTACTGTCTTGGTACATACCAAAGTATTGTTCTTGGTTTACTTTTTCAATCCCATCTAAAATAGAATCAGTCATGCAATGATACAAAAGGCTGTACAATTGCAGCATTAAAATTACTGAAACACACTAATATTTAACCTGACCCAGTAAAACAGATGTAAAGTTTTTTTTATTAATGTTATTTATTAAGTTTAGCGTTAGGTAATTTTAGTGCATTTTTTAAACTCATTTTTATTCTCTCTTTCCTATTTTTTATTATTTTGTTTGCTGTTTAAATTTTCTATCTTTGAAACCAATCTTTCTTCCATTTTGTTAATACAAGTTCAAAACAAGTCTGTCAGACTGCTATTGCAGCCAATCAAAAGCTTAAAAAGTCGATAATTCAGAAGTTACTGAAATGGTAAATCTGACTGGGAATTTGGAGAAGTGAGAGTGGGTGTGGGCTACAATTTTAAACGCACGTCGATGGGTCTCAGATGTAAACCCCATCCTGAAGCTATCTGACGCATTGATAATGTAGTGTGAATGATCTTTTGCTTGCCTTAAAAATTCCTAGTTATTTTTCGCCAGTGATAATATTTGTGTGCTCATGTGCCTCCTATGTAATCTAGCACCTTCCACCCTGAAGATGCTCAAGTTTTCACAACTGAGGTCAATTTCAGGAATGCCTGGTTTGTATACTTGTGCTCCTGACCTCTGCTCTTTGCCCTCCGTGTTCCTGCCAATCACAGAGCCAGAATCCAGGGGCAAAGAGCAGAGACTGGTAGCTTGAGTGCAACCTTCCTAATCTGCAGTCGAGCTCTGTTGAGATAAAATAATTATAAGTATCTTCACAATGGATGAAGCTCGAGAGTACATTTGTTAATTAGTAGATGTCCTTATCTTCTGTCTCTATGTCAGGTGTGGCGAGGGAAGAGGTTATTTGGTGATCACTGTGTGGCACTGCAGCTGTCTTAAGTTTGGTGATTCTTGTAACGTTGTTGTGATTGGCATAGTTAAATGTTCACATTTATACTTCCTGATCTCTTCCCCGACACGTGAAGTGTTAAGTAATGGATTGGTGCTTCCCTACAAGGAAATAAATTTAGAGGGAGACTTGCCCTGGGCTGCTTCATATCCCTTTTAGTGAACCATTACAGCATTTTATTGCTTTGGCAGAGGCCTTAGAGCAGATTGCCTGTGATCTCAATACTTTATGCCTAAAGCCCTAAAGGTAATCCAGAGTAGCTCTAGATGGACTATAGAGTCAAACCTGTTTTCAGCAACTACTTGGGACTGGACCTTTATTTAAGTGACCTTTATGTAACGGTGGCCTCTGAGTAAGGATTCATTGATATGTGTAGAATTTTTAAGTGTATAAGTATTTAAGAAAATACAGTGTACATACAAACCCATAAATGAAACTATAGGTAGTTTTTAATAAATTAGATTAATTTACTGCACTAATTAATTTGTCAGTGTATGCCAACATCAAATGCATAGTAATATTGCAGAGAGGGATATTCTGGTTAATTTTACACAAACAAAAGCCAACTGCAAAATCGCTTCTCCATTTCTCAGATTCCATTTTCTCTCATTTGCAAATCATGTAAATGGCTAGAGGTTCCCTTGAACCACACTGAATCCTTCCCCATCTGTTATTATCTGCCACCAAACTCAACTGTTCATTTGTACACGAGTTAGAGCCCATGGGTCATCTTTAAAAATACTCCACATAGGTTTTCTAAAAAAANTATTTTACTGAATATCATTCAAAGTAATGATCTCACTGATGAGGCAGGAAGCTGTGGGTAGCACATGGGCTGCTCAGTACGGAATTGGTAAATGTTCTAGGAGTCTAGTGGGAGTCTACATGTGGACTGGCAGAAATTTGAAAAGCATTACCTGTACTGTATTCACTTAGAACTGACCGATGAAAAGGAATGTCTGAACATCCGACAGGGCTAAAATAAACTGGTTGCATCGGACAGGTGGTTGCTGAATAAAGGTGGTTTATTTTGGAAAATCGGTTGGGATTGTTCTGGGGTAGTTGTTGACAACAGATGGTGGCTGAATAGAAGTGGTTGCTTTAACTGGTTTGACTGTTTATGCATCCTGTACTTCTCCACTTTCAACCCTAAATGCATCCGCTTCCAGTTGATTCCAGCAGCACAGATCATTGACCACATGATTGTCTCTATTAATATGCATATAACTCTCGGTCCTCTGCCTCAAAAGAAAAGTGTGGCTGGGAGTGGGGGCGGAGAATAACGTTTCTTTTTTTTCCATTTTGTAAGCAAACGTGTCTCAAGGTGCCAATAAAACTCAGTACAAAAAACAAGTGATTCACATTGGAGTAATTATAATTGTAGGTAAAGACAAACTAAGATTTGACTTACTAAGTTTCTTTCATGTTTGCACATAGGGAGAGGCTGTTCGTCTGATTCGACAGCTACCTCTGCATCTCTCGAGAGAAGACATTGAGGACATGCTCGTCAGGATGCAGCAGCAGCTGGAAAAAGAATGTAATACATGTATTCACGGTCGCCCATTTATACACCATTTAGCAGATTTACCAGAACCGGAGTGATAAGCGTACAATGCAGAAGAACTAAACTGATGTTGATTGTGGTAACCAGGAAGCTATATAACAAGGCCATCACTGAAATCTTTGAATGTAAGCGAGAAGCCTAATGTGTGGAAAAGCTAGTATGGTCTGAGCAGTATTTCATTCATAATATTGTTTTGTGAAAAATTAAAATATTTTGTTTTTGGAATTATGTGCAACTTTTTTTTTGCCTGAATTCAACCAAAACACAGCACTACCACAATTGCATATTCTACAGTGTGGCAACTATATAGGTATGTTTCCCCCTCCACCTCCAAGTGTTTCATCATTCCATCTGGTTAAGTACCCCGTTGCAATGAAATTTCAATTCGGCATTACACTTTTGGCAATGTCAGCTGTTAATGAGATTTCCTTATTATAATTACGTAACTCTGGCTGGCAATTCAACTTGGAGATCTCGCACCCAGGGTTCTTACTTTTGCTTGCTCTGTTTGCAACACAGGTAGTTCTACAGGTGACCAAAAAGTTGTGATGCCACCCTCTTATCTAAAAAATAACTCCAAATATCATCATTCCTTCAAGACTTATTAAACATTATAATAGTATCATGACTTTTTGGTCATTTTGTATAGCCACATTGTTGAATGCAGTAGAATTTAATTGCTATCCCCACCATTTGTAAGAACACATCATTGGCTGGCCCAACTGTTGGTAATTTTTTTAAATTTCTGTTTTCTCAAGGTTAATGTAGAAAGCTGTTACTATTCTAGCTTATCAATTGCAACCTAATCATCTGTTATTGAATTAATAAGTTATTTTCTATTTCAACTCTGTGTTCAACACTTTCTCTCTCAATTTAGGTTTGCATTCCACTATTGACATCCCTCATCCTAAGCATTTTCAATCCTTTTTGTGAATGAATCACTATATTGGGTAATAATGGTTTGTTCTGCTTGTTGATTCCTGTTTGTAAGATGATGTGCCAGTTTAGCTTTCTGATAGCCAGCCCATGTATTTTCAGGTCATTTACTTAATGTTTGATACTGCTAACTTGTATACAACTTCAGTTTGATTTTATTCCCTTTATAATTTTAAATGCAGTGAAAATCTTTTCTGAAAATTATTATTTCATTGTATTGCTTGTATTTGTTGCATTGCACTAAGAGGTTTCAGTTACCGTTAAACTATCCCTTTGCACTACTTCCTTCTCATTGCATTCTGCAAGGATTTCTCTTATTTCAACAGTTGAACAAATATTTATTGTACTATTTGTCTGTTGCAGATTTACACGCACAAAAAAGCATGATAGACAATCAATGCAGTTCCCCAGTCAATGAATACAAATAAGTTGAATTTGCCTCCAATAGACTTCCTGGCAAATGTTAGATATCCAGTTTACAATTTCATCATTGAATCTTTTTCACATTGATAAAAATGAGAATAAAGCTTGTGAAATTCCCATTGCTTCTTCCTCTAAAGTATTTATGTTAATCAGCTTAGGTTTCTTTTCATAGTAAATGTTCATCCAGCATTATTGTTGCTGCTTAACTGACCCAATCAAGTGTTTTTCCGAAAAGAAGATACCAATTTGTGTAGATTACTGCTAATAAAAATGCATTTATAAAGCATGATCCTCTCTACATTTAAGTTGATAAGGATTATGCTCCACCAAAATTCATCGTACAAAGCAATTGCATAAGTTGACAATTCTTACATCATCCCCAGAAGAACAAAAAGAGAGAGAAAGCGAGCTCGAGACATCTGGCCAGCAACAAAATTCAGGGTGGATTGGAAAAGTTGTAATATTTATTTTAACCTTCCCCCAAATGCTGGGTAAACATCCAGCTGCAGTCCTCTCCTGCTGACAAGGTTCCAGCATTTTTTTGTGAATCATGGTTTTATTCATTATTTGACCCTTTATTTGCTTAAAGTAGGTTCAATGAGATTTTTAAAAAAATCTAAATTGCCTTGTTTGTTTTTATTTGCATTGATGGGCTGTATCATATTTAACCTTCTGATGCAAACTTGCCTCTAAAACCCATGTACTATCAAAGATGAACATAATGCTTATTATGTAGGGATCTCAAGTGACAAGCGGGAACCAATTGTTTTTACATGAAGAAAATTTCCAATTGATGAATGCAGCCCATCAGCAAGTTAAGACAGCTGGATTTTGGTACAGACTGCCTGAAACATATTTATAGTGATAATGGCAAAGATATCTGAAGTCCTTACATATTTTGAAGTCTCCTATTTGAAAAGTTTGCAGTATCTGTTTCAAAGGAACAAGTTTAAGGTGATTTTCAGCGAGCTCCATTTTGAGGGCGCAGTTTTGGATGGACTAGTCTATGTTGAAATAGTCTACATTGAACATGTTATCAGAACTTTAAAGAAACTGGTGACTGGTTTTGGATCCTCTGAGTACTTTATCTCGAGGAGGGTATCTGACTGTACTTCATGGTAGCTGTAAATACTGTAGTTCTAAAGAAAAAAAACTTATCAATTGTTCGTTTTAATAATCTGGATTACGCTCATTTTTTAATTAAATTTCATAGTTACACACTGTCGTTGATCACAATGCATAATAGTTTGTTATTAAAGTGCTGACAGTCTTTTTTATAACTTTAAAAATGTCATTACCATTTTTCAATGTCCTGCTTCAGGTTAATGGAATTCCAGTGTAGATTCTATATGTTTTTGACCCTGATCCCACTGTCTCTTGAAAGGATTAGTCACACAGATAGTGGATTATCATAGAATATGACTAGAATATAGATTAGATGAAGAAACGGAGCCTGTGAAATCTAGATTGCTTTACTGTATCTAAAAGCTTCATTATTGTTCAGAAGACCATCATTTGAATTAAGATCAGGCACAGGAAGTTAAATACCCAGAAAAGCTTAATTCTGGTCCTGGTCCCAGATCGTGTAAGAGCTCAGGTTCTGGTTCCACATCTGAAATGGTTTGTCTCATTGTAACCTACTGTAAACAAGCTTTTCACAACAAGAGACTAAAACCAGCCTTGTCAATTACAAGGCATTATTCTTGCTGCCAATCTTGTGTAAGTTTATGGAAGCAATAGGAACATTGCTTGTTCACTGCTTTAATTGCAGCAATCTATTATTTGGTTGTCAACTTGTAACTGTTTCTCTTGACATCTTCCATGAAGTTTGTGCAATAGTCTTTATTCCATTCCAGAAGATTTGGTGAAGAATGAAAACTTTGGTTTAATACAGACCCAGTCTTGTGCGGGGTATTTGGTCAGTGGATGAAATACTGGTTCATGATAAATGACTCATTTCCTTATCACAATATCGTATCTATATGACAGTCTCTCAGGAAATTTTGCCTGCTTTGATCCCTCTATTCCTCGTGTGTTAATAATCTGGTCTGGTAATTATCTGACTGTACTTCACAAGAGCCCTGTGTGAGATAGGTTTGAGCAGACTCACCTGAGTTTCCAGTGAGTGGGCCAAAAGCACAAACGTACAAAGAATGCACAGCACAGAAACAGGCCACTGGCCCCCAACAAGTCCGTGCCAGTGTTTATACTCCACACGAATTTCCACTCACTCCCATACCCTTCTATTACTCTCTCCCTCATGTGAAGGTCTAGCTTCCTCTTGAGTACATCTATACTGTCTGATTCTACAATCCTTCTACCTCTCTGGTTGAAGTAGTTCCTCCTAAATTCTCCTTTTGATCCCCTTGTCACTATCTTATATTTGTGTGCCCTGGTTATGGACATCAAATCAGTGGAAACAGCCAATTTGTGTTAACCTTATCAAACCCTTTTATAATTTTAAATATTTCTTTTAGGTTCTCTCTTAAGCATTTCTTTAGCAAGAAAAAGCCCAACCAACCCTGTTGTCCTGAAAGCAGTAAAGCTAGAATAGCTTTATCTCACCCTAATTTTCATAAATGGGCAATCCTAACCAAAGAGGCCAATCCAATGACTGGGTGCGGGACCTGAAAATCTCACATGACTGCAGTAAAGTTGTTCTATTGAGCCTGTAGCTGAGCTATGTATTGCAGTTAACACTGACCACCATACATTGGTAAAATACCAGCAGAAAACAATTCATTTATTCATTTTACTGAACATTTAAGTAGCTTTTTATTAGGAAACAAAATATTAAATTGCATTAATATTTACTGTATTTAAAATTGCTTACCTGCTATTTATTTTAATTATGTTAACGGTAGGTTAATCTCATCGAAAATGAAAGGCCTGAAGTTTAATTATGTTCACGAGATCAGCGGTTATTTTGCCCAATGAAAGCTAGGCATAGTATAGTTCTGCTGGAAGCAAGAGTTTTGTTCAAAGCACTTTATGGGGTTTTATTTTCTTGATCACACGTCCAGTCAGTAATGGGCAACGCAATAGAAATATTTTCAGTCTATTGCAAACTGTTCACTAAAACATCACGTTTTTGCAGTTTTGCTGAAGCTCAAACCAGATTAAATAGACTCACTAATCCAGGAATAATACAATCACAAATGCATGCAATGGGAAAAAAAAGAAAGGTACAGTTTGTGTGGATTTAATTTGGGTTTTTTTCTGTCAAACCAAGCAACACAACCATGGTAGTCAGAAGCCCCAAATAATAATTCAGAGAGGTGTTGTGAGAGCAGCTCAGGTAGTTTTTAAAAGATGTAACCAGCACATGCTGTCTTTGCAATGAGGCCGGAGTGAGAGTTGGAGGTGTAACTTTGGTTTGCTGGGTAACCTCGCTCTATTGGAGCCACCACATCAAACGTCATTTAACTGTCTCAGAAGTATTTCAAGGGAACCTCAACGAAAATTATTAGATGAAAGAGTATTTTTTGACAAGCAAGCAAGCAATAGCACCACTTCATTATTTCTTTACAGTGAAACCTAATCCAGATTTTTCTTTTAACTGCACAACGCATTTGTAGCTGCTCAAAATGAAAATCTTGCCGATTGAAACGTTTATTAATGCTGTTTTCCTTCACGATCAACCCGCTGGTATGAAATATGGTGTTTATCAGTGGTAGTTTAAATAGAAGATCTAATTTGGAAACCTGGACCACGTGATGAAGTGCTAAGTGATTGCTGTATAAAGTGCTGACAGGCCTATAATCCATTCAGATTGTTGTTCATTCCTCTGTGACATGTTTACATCAGTAGTATAGCAGATACTAAATCAACATTGTTTCAGTGGCACGTGTAGGCTTCTTGAT